GGGAAATTCCAAGTTCCATAAGGGTACCTAAAAGAAACAGCAAGACAGTGTATGCTTTTGAATACAATAATTTTAAAAGGGGTTCTCTACACTGTATGTACAAAACTGGCCTGATGGATTTTAGCTTTAAGTAGGTACACAATCCCTAACTCAAAAAATTAAAAAAAAAACTATGTTACACTTTGACAGCAATGATGAAAGCATTTTTGTCAATCATCATTAAAGGGTTATTTGCAACATTTTTGCGCCTTAACATATCAAACACTTAGATTTCTCATTCAGTGTTTTGTATCGGTCCAAAATGTTTATGTGATATATACCAACTTTGCATATAATTATTTCATTCAAAAAAAATTAACAGTATCTTTTTTAATCTTATTCTCTGCCTTCTAGTATAAGCAAAGACACTTTAGCTACAGTGTATCTTCCAGCTACTTAAATAATTTCAAGAGGCGCAAACTTTCACGCAAAAAAGATCACCAAAAGAAAGGAGAAGTAGAAGTATTTGTATGGGTCCAAACTGTTGATTTGATCATGAAATAAAAGAAAATATATATCATTGCATGTGTGATATAGGAATATTTTCAAAATACAACTAACAACTTAAAAGTTGGACCTTTACAAAGAAACGAACTTTTCCCTTCCCCTGGTAAACGTGAAAATAAAGACCGCAGAAGTCTCTTAAAATGGCCACAAGAAGTTACTTCCTTTTTAGAGAGACATTCAAATGAGCAACAAAAACCCTGAGGATCAAAGTAGTAAAATAAAAAATAGGTAACTAATAAACGCAAAATTTTCTTTATTTTTAAAGTTACGAGAAAACAGCTGAGGATGTGGTGAAATTTTTTACCCGCACAACAAGATCTAATTTTACGGTTACTGGTTTGAATTTTGGACGGGTCAAAAATATATAAAGGTTGTAGAACTTACCCCTGTTAGAAGCTAAAATTACTCTCATCCAGTAGAATGGATCTGCAGAATCCGAAGACATGATGCCAAACAAAGGAATCTAAAGAATAAAAGGTCAAAATTGTTGGGCACTTTCGACCCTGAAATTACATTTTGAATGAAACCGTAAAATGCCGGTTGAACAATGAAGAGATAATATAAAGCTTACGTGCGCTTAAAAAATATTTGCGGTTCGAACTTCTGATGAACTTCAAAAGAACGAAAAAAGGTTTACCAACCTGGCAACAAACAAGGAAGATGAACAATGTAATTGCAGTCCATAGTACTTTTTCCCTAAACTGGATCTGTAAGAAGAAAGCCATCATTTTTAGAGAAACTTGAGAAACACTATCCATTTATTTTCCTATATCCATTTGGCCACACGGGTTAGTCCACGTACCCTTAGTGTTAGCCAAACAATTCTTCTTTATATGCAGGCAAAAGTTCAGCAAGAAACGGTACAATTCTACAGATAGGCAAAAAAAGGTGCTTCAGCGTCTTCTGGAGCCTTCTCCGACAAAACTTACCTTTCTTTCGGGCTTCGAGACTTCAGGCAAAACGGAAATGAACGGTCGTAAAACCTCGAGAAATTTAACTGTGTGAATGAGAAAGAAATCGATCGTTATTTCTACTCGAAAACGAGCATTCAGTCTTAAGATTGCTACATTAACGAAGTCTACTGTGTTTAAACTACTTACCACCCATTTTTATGATTTTTTCTGTGGCCAGAAATTGAAGAGTTTACAAAATGAAATATAAAATTTGACTGTGGACAGACAATGGCCACAGCGAGTAAAGAAGAGAACTCGACACGCAAAGCGCAGGCCCTTTACGTCATCCGGTACCAGTCCTTCGCATTACTAAAGACTGCGAGAGCATCTCGCATCCGGTTTTTTCAACCGAACAGTCACCGATATCCTGATCTCAGGCTCAACCAAAAAGGACTGCATTTTTCAATGGATGCATTCATTTCTTACGCTCAATTCTTGACTCGCTAAGCATATTGTAATATCCCAGGAGCCTGAATATACATAGCACAACAATCTAGCTTCCCCCCGATATCACTTTTTAGTTGAATCAACACTAAAAAGTCCTTCGTCGGAGGCGCGGGACGCCTCAATTATTCTTCCCCGATATCGCTTTTCGCTTGAATCGACTTGTAGGTCAGAATCCCAGTGGTCTATTATCAATGCTGCATTCTGATTGGTTGACCTAGTCCACTAGAAGCGAAAAGCGCCGCCTTGAAAACCAAAACAATGGCGGGTGAATCGCGTTTTGCTAGCTAAGTCTCGATATTTTTGACTGGGGGACCAACTAGTTAGATTTTACTAAAACAATTATTCCTCTCCCACTCTTGGCCTCTGAGTCAATAGCCCATTCGGCCTTCGGCTTCATGCGCTATTGACTCAGAGGCCTTTCGGCCTCGAGGAATAATTGTTAAATATACGTGGTCCATTCAAAACTGATAAAAAATAAATTCTATTTTGGACGCAACGTTACAAAATAGAATGGCCGGATCCTGGAAAAGGATCTAATAAGCTATAAATTAAAATATCGAACAAAAGAAGCAAAGCTGATTTTAGACATTTCATAGTCGGGAATTTTCCCGGTGCAAGGTGGTCACTGACAGTCAGAAACTAGGGACCCGGAGACTCGCCAGCTCTATAGATACTATAGATACTATCTATTTTAAAATTGGTAGAGGAACTTTGAGAGCATGTGTCCACAACAAGACAGATTTTATCAATAAGAATTCTTTACGAAACTTCGAACAAAAGGGGGTCCCCCCCCCCAATAAAAAACTATGGTCACGAGGGTGTGCGATTTTAAACCTTGTGTTTGTACTAACCGTCTTTAAAGCAAAAGGACCCGAAGATTTTGGGAATAAATGCTGCGAGAAAAAATAGTGCATAGAATACAAGATCGCTACTGAATATGCTTCACCAGGGAGCTACAGGAGCAACTTTCTTTTCAGACCAGCGCTTGCACTTGTCGACACGTCGGCACATCATCACACTACAGCTCAATATACCAAACGTATTGGGTGAGATTTTATCTCATCTAGATTACAATCATTTGCAAAACTACAGGAAAAGATGAGTCAAATAATAACTGTAGCAGATCATGGAGCTCCGCTATTTAAAAAGGACGGAGGATTGGTCAACAGGCTCTCCCTTTCCCTTACCCTCCCTACTTGCTTTCTCTTCGTATCGGCTATACCCCATAAGAGTCAGGGTCAGCCAGAAGGGGAGGTAGTGGAATTCCAAAATCCCAGAAATAAACCTTCCAATATACCAAAAATTATACTAAAACTCGTGTAAAATACCAAAATTAAGAGAACCACGGTATACTTTATACCGAAAATTAGTTGTGAGTGAATACTTTATACCCAATGTTAAGTATAAATATCCTGACCTGAAATTAAATACCCCAATATACTGTATACCCAAAAACCCTGGCCGACCCTGAAGAGTCTCTCCACGGGCTAACCTTGAATTGAGTCAGCAACTAACCCTTGGTGGCCTGCGTGCAGACGTACGCACAACAAAAAAAATAGCAGCTGACTGCACTAATTCCCTTTTAATGCAACCAAACTTACATCTCCCTGCATTTTGTTTTAGATGGTCATACAATCTTCCTCTTCATCAAATCTTCATCGCTCATGTCTATGATACTTCTATTGCCATTTAAGAGCAATGTATCAACATAAGTAAGCTTCAGTAAAAATAAGACACAACTGCGGTAACAAACATGATGAGACAACGCATAAGTCTTTAAAATCCTAGTTTTTTGGAATATGCGTGGTTTCATCATGTTTGTTACCGCAGTTTGTGTTATATTTTACTGAAGTTGAAAAGGCCGAAGAATAAGAGTGTTAACGAAATAGATAACCTTGTTACGGTATGTTTAATTCAATAGGCTGATGAGAACGTCACTGACGACGGGAAAGCGCGCGGAAAAAACTAAACTCGACTTCCGGTGCACAATTTGCCCCTCAGCCATTGGTCGAGCCAGTTGTTTGATTTGCGCGCGCGGTCATCGACTGACGTTCCCGTTCTGTTGCTAAATCAACGTTGACCTGGAAAGACTGCATATGCTTCTAGTCCTGCGGCTGGTGGAGAAAACCCACTCTCCCACAGGTAAAGAGCCAGCTTGCACATTGTGGCATTGTGTACTACGGGTTGCAGCTGGTAATCGACTCCTGCTGTCGCCTTTTGCAGAAGTTGCCTGAGAAAACAGCCGACGTTTCGCGACGTCACCGCTGGCTTCTCCTCGAAACGATCTCAGGGTAACGGGGGAAGAAACTCCATACTTACGACGTGTCACCACCCTGATCTTCTGAACAGTTAAAACAATTTTCTCTTGTGGCACGATCGCAATCAGAGGATCTAGCCAGTGGGTAGTGAGGCACATCAGTATGGAATTTCTGCGCTCGTTCCGGGAAACCAGTGGTGGAGTCGCGAAATGTGGGCTGGTTTCTCAGGATATGAGTAGAACTGGATACTTTTACAATTGGCCATTTCAGAGTTCCCCCGGGCCTCTGTTTCAAAACGAGGGTAGGTGCTCATCCTTTGATATGGAAATCATTTTTCATTCTCATGCAAATATAACTCATTTTCAAAAGAAAAGTTGTGCACCTAGCCTCATTTTGAAAGTGAGGGTTTTTAGAACTCGGAAGTGGCCTATTTGCCTCGCCTTAATTAAGTCCGCTTTTACTATCGCTGTATTAAAACTTAAGTAACAGGGATACTGGACAGAGATTCTAGCCCGAAATAAAACGTTAAAGGAATAGGGGATGTCAGATATCAGTCTAAGCAAAATTCTAGACTTCTTGCTGCTGTATGAAAAGGCACAAGAAAGCCGATATTTAACATTAAAGTTATTCCTTTAAACGCCACTAGTCGGAAGAAAACGTCCATTAAATGGGGAGAGGGGGAGTTATTTAGACAAAAACCTGAGTAAAGCGGAATTTTATAGCTTCAGTGTTTATTTAAATATTTCTCGTATACATAATAAAACTGTGGGCATCGTTTGCGATTAAAAAATGACACCATTGAAATGATATTCATTTGCATAAGCTATTTACAAGATATAATTATTGTAACAACCGATATTTCTATTGTAAAAGAATCCTTTTGAGATTAATGGGCGTTTTGAATTGACCGTAACCGCCGCGAGGAAACACTATTGAAATCCAGCGAGATAATCCGCTGACTTTACGTACTATTTGCACTTCAAGATTCAAGTGCCTTCCTAAGGTATTTGCAAATACATCGTACTTCAAAATGTGACTAACATTGCAGAAGGTGTCGATAGTGTTTACACTCAGCGGTAACGCTAAAAACAAAAAGGCATTATTGCGACTTCTTCAGATTGCACCTCTTATTGCAACGCAAAATATAATTGAAAATATTTATAACTTGAAATACTCTTAACTGATTATGTAAAATGACTGTTTCTTGGTGTTGTGGAAACTATTGTTTGGCTTTTGTGCAATGTGGTGGATATTGTTCAGTGTATTTTCAGTCTTTTGTATTCAGTCATTTGGTGACTGTACCCATCCACAACACCAAGAAACCACCTATCAAAATAAATTAGACAAAGCCACTGAGTTGTTAGCCTGCGAACAGCAGACGTATTTCCGGTCGTCGCTTCTCTCCCTCTATTTTTCGGAGGGGCAGAAGCGACGCCCGGAAATACTTCTGCTGTTCGCAGGCTACTGAGTTGTCATCCTCGAATCGAAATCCTTCACAATCTACCGTGCAAATACCTTAACATTTCCCTATCGTTCAGTTCTCACTCAGAAACAGCACGAGAAATCAAGTGCCGCAGATTTCAAGGGACCGTGATCCAATACATCTGTGTAGTAGCGGAGGAATTTCGATGATTAGAGTCGAACAGAAAAAAAATTACAGATCAATCCTCAATTTTAAACATAAATGACAGTGTAACCTACATAACAAGACGTAAAAGACTATAAAAATATACCTAACTTATTACAATCTGTACAAAGCACTATCACCTTAAAAATACCAATAAGAACCAAGTTTATTGCATTACCGGCCCGTTTTTCTGTGCCATTATTTAAAACGTTTCCAGGTTTTCACCCAACGGTTACCCTGACCTTATGCCAAGCTTTAAGATCGTCACGGTGTGGATTACGAGGCTCTAAGGAGCCTCAGCAGTTAGCATAACTTAAGCTCGGCATTTGTTTGGCCAGTTTTATATTCAATGTCTATACAAATTAATTCAAACGACTACAAAAAAATCCTTCTTTGTTGATGCTCATATCGAACAACAATATGAACGAGATGTAGTGAAATACAATCCATGTAATTATATCTCGAGGACTAGTAGAAATCGTCTATAATAATCCAGGGCAGCTTGTGGAATCCTTCATTTATTTTCCTTAGTGATCTGGAATATTCTTATCCCAAAGAGAAATGCATCCCTTTTTATGATACCCTGTTAATGAATTCAAAGAGACTGGCAAGTACTCGTAAGCACTTTTCTATAGATTCGCAGGGTCTCAGGAGGACTAGCAAGATATTAGACAGGTTTTGATGTAACTTTCCTCCTTCCATCCATTTTTCTTCACACCAGCGTTGCTTCTGTCTCGTCAGACGCTCTCCACTCGAGCAAGTCCTCTTCAAATATTGACGGCCCTGAAAGCCGATTAGTTCGATAATATCCCGGGTTTGTCAAGTAAGGCGTAGACATGTGAACTTGAGATTTGGCTGTTCTTAAATTCGAATCAGACTTCGTGTTTGCTTTACTAATGGTGGAGAGAGAAGTAGAAAAGTATCCTCTCCTGGAAAGACCAGGCGGAATCTTTGAGTTATGATTGACAGAATAACTGCCAGCGGCACCAGAAGTGCTCACAATTCCCAAGTCACTAGTATTTAGGTATCTCACTCCCGACAGCTTTGAGTTTACAGGACGAGCATCAAACGAAAATGATCGTTGAGTCCGCATGGGGCCTGGACTATATGGTGAACTGCTACCTTCCTGATCACTGTTCAGACTCTCATAACTCTGTCCGGCCGAGCGACTGATAATCAACCGGGGACTGGGGCCTCGACGCTGATTTTCATTTAGGCTATCGCATGAGTTTCCCATCCTCCGGTGAGGCCAGTAAGGTTCGCCATTTTCTTCCGAGTTCGCATACGAACTAGCCGAAGAAGGCTTCGTGGACGAGTCCTCGCTATCCGAATACTGAAATGCCGGAACTGCTCGAGAGTTTTCTTCGCGGGGTGATAATCTCCCCGCTCGTGGACGGTTAGAGGGCGGGCTACGCATCCGTCTTGTTTCTGGAAATCCCTGATAAGATCGCGTGGCAGGGCTTGGGGGAGCTCTCCTATACGGTGACATGACCGGAGAGGGGGGTCCGCTGTAGGACTCCCGGTCGCTTGGAAAGCTTTCCGCGCTATAAGTGCTTGACGCCCGTGAACTAACGCTCAGGCTGGCACTTGTTCGATAGCGACGAGGGTCTAACCTTTCAGCTTTTGTGTAGCTGTTGGCGTCGGAAGATGAAGTCGTACGATAAAGCCCTATTCAAAAGAACAGAAAATCCAGTTACTTATTGATTGACTGGTAAAATTGACTCAGTTACTTTATCCAGTTAACACTGAGACCAGTATTTTCTCCAATTAAAGTCACGTTATTACGTGACTGGCAGCAAGGATTAGCACAGTTGCTTAGTAAGCGGCCTACTGTGTAAGAGGATTCGAGTTCGAGCACAAGTGTGACCTGAAATCCTTATTTCAACAATTTTCCTTTCCGTGTAGCTTAAAGTAGCTTTAAATATCCATTAAAGGGAGCACTGATGGAGAGAGAAGGGGGTAAATGACAGCACCGTCGGCCTCAGGCATGTCAGTGTAATGTGTACTGTTCACGAGTTACCGACGTAAAATAAAGGCCTTTCACTTAAACTTCTGGCTCTGCTATCAGCCAACGCGCAGCGTAAGACGTTTTTAGCCAAAGTACGGTAAGGGACGTAGCCTGAGAAAATTGCCGACATTTCGCGACTCCACCAACGGTTTCCCCGATGGAAACTGAGTAACGAGCGCAGAAATTCTATACTGATGACGTTTCGCTACCGCAATATGGGTAGTGCTTCTGATTGGTTGAAAACTTGCTTCAACCAATCAGAAGCACCACCCAGAGCTGAGTAGTGGCATGTCATCACTAGTACTATGGAATTTCTGCCCTCGGTTCTCAGACGTCATTTCGCGGCGAAACCAGTGTTGTCGTCGCGAAATGTCGCCTGTTTTCTCTGGCTATTGCTTGACCTTGCTACAGCTTACTTACCTATTCCAGCATTGCCATCTCTTAGACCTGTCAAAAGTTAAAAAAACGAAACAATAAAGGTCAAAAAGAGCGTAAAAAAACAAGGACAGACAGCCTCTTATCTTCATGGTTCAAGAATGCGAAGTTTACCTTCGTTGAAGTGAAATAACCTGTGTTACGATATTTTCTCTTGGATTCAACTACCTTAGTAGATCAGGAAAATGAGGGGTTCAATGTAAGTAGGTTCACAACAGGGTTGTCATTAAGAGCCGGGGGCCGGAGATTTTCCCCGGCTACTTTTATTGGAAAATAGAAGAAAAATAGAACCAAAAGAAATCCCTAGCCGTTTGATTCCCCGCCTACTTGTTGTGTTTACCCGGCAACTTGAAATCTTAGTGACAACCCTGGTTCATCATGACAACTGAAACGATTGCCGATCAAACGAGAGAATAAGAAACCTCCAGCCGAGAGGAGAAGTGATACGTGGAGGTGTCAGTGTGTACCCAGCGTCTCGCGGAAAATAAAGAAAAGTTTTCACTTTTCTATCCCAACTTAAACTTTACCAGACTTATGGAATTTTTCTGTTTGCCACGTCACTTTAAGCCTCACTAAATCACATAAATGATGATGCAGTGAAATCACTTAATTTGTAATCGGTACCAGTCTTAACTTGCATTACCGTGGTTTGACTCCGAAGCCAATCGAGATCCTTGAACTCTTCTCAGATTCTCCTCCATGTCTTTTAGCTACAAGAACGAGTGGAAAGATCAAGGTGGCATGCACAATCAGAATAGAGACAACAACAGTTACAAGTATGCAATAAAACAAAAGCGAAAATAAAAACATGGAAAACAAAAAGGAAAAATAAAATACTCACTCTTCTCAGAGACTTTTGGTAGGTTAACTTTCTGGTCTTTCTCACATTCTTATTAGCACTGCGGTCTTCCGCTAGTTGCTAGAATTAATGAATTAAATTGTTGAATTAATGCGTATATAAACAAACAAACAAGCAAACAAACAACAGTCGGCAATTGACGATATCTACCCTGCTGCTGAAAATCTGTTTCAGTCATTCAGAGAAAAGCCAAATAGTAGCAGAACAAACGTTACCTTCAACGGGTTTTACAAGTGAGCGCGACTATTTACCTTAGTAATTTGAGTTCACTCGCGATTGTTTTAGAGTCGATAATCCTCAGTGGTTGGCGCATTGATATATTAAAATAGGTGAGGCAAACAGTCGCTATGCTACCTTCTTTGAACAAAAACCAACCAAACAATATGACCAGCGCATGAAAAAAAGGCCAAACGCGGTTTGCCATTGAATCCTTCCTCATCTTATACTTGTTGTTCCACTGAGATGGGAGCTCCACACACACACATTCAAAATTCACCGGAAGAGAAAACTCCCCGATTTTGATAAATGATGTTCATGACAAAAGTATTATTCTGCCAGCTTTACCACAGAAAGGAAGAGACTGGGGCGAGAAAATCGGGGAGAGGCCTAACGCCAAGGTTAGCATGAGATCCCATCGGCCAAAACTCCCTTGGACACCTTATTAAGTTTAAACAACATAGTATTCCTTACCGCTTCAGTTTCGAGCACTGGACTAAAGTGATTAAGGATAAGTAACAATACTGATTAGGATTAAACACCGACTCTAAACGGTTAGTTTCTATTTAGGGTTAGGGTTGTTGCTATATAGCTTCAAATCAAACCAATGCTCGCCAGCAAACGTCGTGGTATAGGTGATGGACTGCATTCACTACGTTCCGGGTTCGATTATTAATTTCGCTTTTCTGAATTTTTTCCCTTAAAAATTGAAGAGACTTACCCTTTCATGAACATTTCCTGGCTGAGCAGAAATGCCAAGAAACTTAGAAATTTTATCCAAGTGTAGAGTAGAAGCAATAAAGAATACTACGTTGTCTAAACTTCATAAGGTGTCCAAGGGGTTTAGGCCAATGGGATCTAATACTGACCTAAGGCGGGAAACTGGGCCGAGTTAACCTTCGCAAACACCTCTGGGACTGTTACTAGGGACAGGGAAAAAAATTGGCCAATAGCTACCACCGGCGCGTCTACAGCAACGATCCCAGAATCAATTGCGGGACGCATTTTGGCTCCAGTTCACCTTCAGATAAGGAAGGGATGGCGGTCACAAAAAATTATTTTTCGCCTCTTCGGGCCTCAGTTTGGTCTAAAAATAAGGGGGGAGGGCGTCCCCGCGGGCCCCTCCCCTGGATCCGCCACTGCAGTTCCCTTCTCGTTTCTAAAGTGGCGAACTGCTTTGCGTCCTAAAATCGCTAATCGCTTGGTAAGATTTGCAAGTCCGAACGATACAAAACGGCCAAACGTCTTTCTGCTTCATGAACAATCAAAATGTTTCACTATTCTCTTTTGTTCTTACCTGAGCTGCATTAGTGATCTGAGTCTGGATCTCAACTTCTCTGGCCATTTTCTTGATTTCCTCGTTCTTGAAGAGAGACAGAGGGAAAAAAAATAGCGGAGATCAATATAGAAACATTCCAAGATTCCAAAATTTAATATAGTAAGCCATAGCCACTTCATTTACAGTTCGAATGACTCACATATACTGCACAATACGGAATTTAGTAACATGACTAGCCGAATTGCAGATCCTTGAATACAAGTTCTCCCTCAGAGCAAAATGCGGGAATTTGCCTTTGCAAAACGATTTTGCACTAAATGCCGAAGGTGCGTGTGGATTTTTAGGCATCAACAGTACTGGGTGAGCGCTTCGTCGGTTATACCGAGAATGCTTATTTAAATGCACAGTCAAGGTATACAAACCCTTACAGGGAGGCGCAGGCTTCGTTTTTAAAGGTGGAAAACACACTAAGCCCGGGACACGGAAAACAGACTGAGGCAGAGCGACATCAGAGTTTGCTGGTCAAACGTAGTTTCACTAGTTTAATAGTTCTAGAGTTTGTTGGTCCCAAGTGATTGTCGAGCGTAAAAAGAATTCAGCGTAAGAACAGACAGAGTAAGTAGATGCAAAGAAGATCATCGCAGTTTAAGACAAAACTTATCCAATTTATTTAATCTTCATCTTTCCCGCGTAAGTTGCGTCTTTAACTACCATGATCTTCTTTGCATTTATTTCTTCATTCCGCAGTTCCAATATATGAAATTCATATATTCATTATCTCAGATAGATAGAGTCTACGTTAATCAGTGTATTTACCTTATCGTTCTCTCCACTGATGATGAACTCAGAAAACTCAAAGGCGGTCCGCACTCTCCGTCTGATGGGTGGGAGGGGCGTTCCAGGGGTATATGGTGTCTCAGGAGGATACTCGCCAGTCAGCTCCTTGGAACCAAAAAAAAAGAAAAAAAATTTGGTTCACATTCATAGCTGTTTTAAAGTCTTTTAAAATAGCTACAGGAGTGTCAAGGGTCTTTTTTAGTCTGCTTGACATTCTAAAAACTTAATACAACTGAAGCTTTCGAAACGTGAGGATCCAATTCAAATACCCACATTGGAAACCTCAGAGCAATGTTACAGTTTAATAAATGAGGAGGAGTCTCTAGAGAGTTCCAGGCAAACATTTAGAGTACTTGTCCCCTTTTTATATACAGTATTGGGACCTCGCTATAACGAATCTCTATGGGTCGGTTATTTAAACAAAGTCTAACTTAAGCCGCGGTTTAACAAATCTTTGGACCTCCAGATCTCTTCCTTAGTGGGTTATTCTAAGAAGATAATGATTGCTTTTTTGTCTACTTTATATGCTTTCATAAAACTGTTCATAATAAATGGTGTTTAGATAAAACCGTTGGGCAAGTTGAAAATAGTTTAGAACGCGGTTTTGTTAAACACTGGCTAAAGTACGTGTAAATAACTCGCCCTATGTAACGAAGTGCTATTGTAGGTATGACGAACGATAATCCTCGCCCCAGGAATAGTAAATTATGAGGGAAAGAACATCGATATAACGAAACCTCGTAATAGCGAACATGATTTGCCAGTTCCTCAGACCCTTCGTAACATCGAGGCTTCACTTTACTTATTCATTATCTTTCGATTCTATTTTATTTTCATTTTTCCATGTCTTTCCTTTATTTTGGTGGGGATGGGGAGGGGGGAAGAAACTAGGTTTTTTGTCTGCCCAGCCTAGAGGAAACTGAAAGAACCTAACAAGTTGAAAACAATTGACTGTCAATTACTGCATCTTTTTCGTAACAGAATAGAGCCAAGAGAGATGGAGAGATTCAGCAGAATTGAGAAGAGTGACAAGCATAAGCTCTACCACGTCAATGAAACGATGACTTGCTCCATTATTCTCTTAAGGTTTACGGGCAATTTATCACTTTTATTATGGCACAAAGACAAAAAAAATAATGACTCTTGGAGGCTTGTTTGTAGCACCTATGGAACCAGACTTAGAACACTTACTGCCTCTTGAATGCACAACTTTTTCAGTTCATCCATCTTATCTGACAATTTTTCCAAAAGAGCTTCTTTTCTTGCCGCCAAAGCTGTTAACCTCTCACGATCTACAGCCTTGGGAAGAGAAGACAAGTTATCACCTGTAGGAGGAAAAAGAGTATTCAAGAAAAGTTTAAACATTACTCAAGTAATGATGCTAATTTATGTTGATTTGAGACAAAGTCCCAAAACTCATTTTCCTTAATCACTGTAACCTTGACCGCTACTAACTATTTGCAGTCACTATTTTTACGTCTTTTTGAGTTCCTTTTTTATTCACTTCACCCCTATTTTAAAATTCTTCAGAGTGGTAAGAGGTGCACTGCGTTCAAACTTCTGAGGCATTTTTCTTTTTATCCAGTGGGGTTTCATTTACTATGAAGAGGATACATGTATGTCAGGGTAAAATACGTTTTCAGGTTAAACCAGGAGCTCCTTTGTCTCCTATGTCTCCTTTGTCTGCTGTAAATATTTAGGGCTAGGAAAAAAAAGGAAAGTTCTAAATCAAACTACAGCTGTAGATTGAATGCTGGTTTAAGCCGAGAACAGATTTTACCCACAACATAAACACAGGCAACAATGTCAGGAAAACGTAATGAAAGTGACTTAGGGGAGGGGGAAGGGGTGTGGATTGTTTTGTGTTCCAAAGTTACCCAGTTTGAGGGAAGTATTCGAGAATACAGAAAACAAGACTAAATTTACCTCCATTGATGCTCAGGCTGGATAAACTATGGGACTGGTCACTCTTTGTGCTCAGGCTGTCTGAAGTTGATGATGGGAGAGAGCCTGTGGACAGTGACAGCTCACGTGCCATGTCTCGAAGAGTTCTACGCAACGTGACCCTAGCCTGCAACAGTGCACTCGCAGGATTACAACTTCACAAATACAATGTAAAAGGACTGATGAAATTTGCCACAACATGGTTGCAGCCATAACACTTATGGTGACCAACATAAATGATGTAACAAATTGGCATTAATTTGCACAACTCCCATAATACCCCTTCTGTGCCCCCAAAATTTTGCATTACCTTTGTTGTTAATTCCTTCTGGGCATTACAGTTGCCCCAAGAGAAATTGAAGACAATGATTATACTTTTGTTTTGTTTTGTCTGGAGGGGTGGGGGGGCAAGGTGTATTATGGGAAATGTGCAAATGGCACATAAGAGAATTGCTGACAAGTAAATTTTTAGGCAAAAAAAAGAAAAAAAATTGATGTACTGCATTTGACAACATGTACTCTCAATCCATTTTAGGGATATAACACAACAGGAAGGATACATACCCATAACCCTATCACGTTAAACAATGATATGGGCTTTCTTGCAACTTAAGATCAAGAGACAAGAGCCCAACATCACTACTACCTACCCATCTAATAATTATTATCTGATTTGGGACAAGGGTTTAAACACAGTCAGCTTTGTTTCCCTCTCACCTCTACTTGTTTCTTGTCCAGGTAAAACTGATGTTGGCTTATCGCCATTGTCCACATTGTTTTTGCTGACGCAGCGGTACTTGAAAACCAAGCATGAACCATCATACTCCCTGCACCTGGTCTGCGAGTTATTGTATTTGACCTGACAAGTTAAAAAACAATTTTTTTTACAATTCAGTTCACAGTACATTAATTTCATTTACTTCCATGCTCAAGCATAGCTCAAGAAGGTTCTACGGATTTGGTTATAATAAATTGCAAATTAGCTGCACAACTAAGGTTTTAAAATTGTTAGGAGCTTACTTCAATGGGTAGTAACTTGATGAAAAATTATCATTTTAACATGAAATTAAGGGTCAATGTTCTAGTTATCTATAACATTCTAACCCATGGATCCATTTTAGTCTGAAAAAGTTGGTTCTAACTTTAAGTCCACAGATAAGCCATCACAGGCATTAAAATTAAAGATAAAACATTGCTGGAATTATTACAGAAATTGAACCATGAACTGATCTGTACCTTAATGAGGGGAGCTTAATCTATTCTTTTAATAGTAATTCATGTTTGGTTGAATTTAGTTGGTAAATGAAAGGACTACTTAAATTTTTTATTCCAGGTGAATTGACTGTAAGTTTAATAACAGATTCTACTTTCATTTTAAAATAAAATTTTTATCTGTTTATCATACATGCAATATTCACAGATGAGTTATCATAAGCAAAAAGACTTTTAACAAGGATGTCCACAAACTGTGACATACCAAACTTTACTGTCCTTAAATTCATATCTGGAATATGGAAAATCACAAAAGGTTGTAAGAGGTTTATCAAAGCATGCAGAGTGAAAAAATAACTGAGCTGAAAGGGTATTACACAAAATAATTTTAAAACGTTTCTTTTACAACTCAAGTTTACATCTTATGTACAGATCATCTGACTAATTTTTTGCATTTATGGGCAGAATAGGAAAAGCATTGATGATTCTTCTTAAAAGTGTTAAAGGGACAGGTTCACGGTTCAGCACATGCTCATTAATGAAATTACATTTTTAATTCTATCATTTAATAATCCCAATAACATGTCTCTCAGCAATCTCAGAGTGTATTTCAAACTACAAGTGTATTTCAGAGCAACCTGAAGTAAGATGGAGGAGTACTAAAAAATTAGTGGATTAGTACTAAAAAATTAGTGGATTATGCCAACACCAAAGGATTAGTACTAAAAAATTAGTGGATTATGCCAACACTACCAACGCTGAATTTATTGTTGACTGGAAGGTTTTATTCCATGGTTGATGAATTTACAGCTATTTGCACATAAGTTGATCAAGTGCCTGCCAGGGGAGTGTGCGGCTTGGTTCCTTGACAACATTATGACACAATCATATTGCTTGCATAGATGATACAGCATGTCCCGGCAGAAAAACAGCATTTTGACTAATGAGCACACACTGAACCATGAACCTGTCCCTTCAACTATACATGGCTTAGTACCATTAATACAAAGTAAAGAAATGAAGATAGCCTTATAGCTAAATGTATCTATTTCAGTTGTTTAAAGTGTTTATTTATTGAGTAGAATCAAAAACAACAGAGAATAAAGTTAAGGAAGTCTTGAAAACATTTGGTGTTGTTTTGTACAACTATACCCTTGACTTAAAATACCTCTGGTGTACTAAAAAAGTCACAAGTTCTTGTTGGTTAGCCAGCCACTTTTTTTAGCTAAACAAAACTTCTGCAATCATCCTCATCTTGGAAAAATTCTTCTGAATTACATCAGGCCATTTACACGGCCCGGGGAATAGGCTATAATAATTATTATTATTAACAGATAATTATTAGTGAAGAGCAAAGGTGATGCAGTGGCAAGAGTGCCTGCTTGCCTCCTCCACCTTTGTGGGCGCCTAGATTTGAATCCTGGAAAAGACAGGTTGAGTTTTTTTTTGTTCTTGCCCTTGTTCTGCATGAGAGGTTTTTGCCAAGTACTCAGGTTTTCAACCCTTCTCAATAACCAATATTTCTAAATTCTAATTTGATCAGGAATGGTAGACAAAGTTCTTACCATGTAAATAACAATGTATGTGCTACAAGCACCAATAAGTTATCATTGATTTATTATTTATTTATCAATAACAGGATTATTATATCATTGTCCTACAATTTTTTTACAAGTGAAGGCCTATTTGCACTAGCGGAAAAGCTGTTCATTTAGACAAATTCTCTGTCATCCCCAATGCTTAATAAATGCATATGGTTTGTCGTGATTTTACATACCGTAAAAACTCGTGTATAAGCCGCACCTTTTTGCCGAAATTTTGAGTAAAAAATCGCGGGTGCGGCTTATACACGAGACCATTGCTCTCAAAGGGAGTAAACAGGCTTGTAGGGGTCACAAATTGAACTGAAAACCTTCAGTAAATAAAGATTAAACATATTGAAACCTGTCGTTGATCATTGCTTTCAGTAGAAGTGGTGGCTCCTAAAGGAGCCGTTTGTTTGCATCTGCAGGTTCTATACCTGAATCTTGCTCGCCAGTAGTTCTTTTAAGCGTTTCATCTGCGCTTTGTTTGAGCAGTTAAACTCTAACTGGCACGGAATCTGCATTCCTCCGCACAGCTGCTTACAGTGTCGTCTGCGACCGATCACTTCAACGCTGATTTCCCCACTACGTGCAAGAAAATACCATGCTATTCGAGAGAATTCGTGAGGCAAATGGCCGACCGTTTCGTCGTCCTTCACTACTTTCACGGCGTGTTTGTCCATTGGGTTGTTAAACTCTCGTTTAGCAACAAGCTTTTCCCCGATCGATGGTTTCCATACGTCTTTACAAACATGATATCCACGCACAGCTGATGCGAAAGCGAACGTTACGCGTGGTTACTAAGCAATCGTTTTGCAGCATTCTCCAGCGCTTTATTTTCGTTCCATCGTTCCATTTTCATTTCAACTGTGGGCTTTAGCAATGAAGAGAACTGTTGTCTTTTGCAGGAAATGGGGAAATTGATTAAAGAGAACCTTTTAAAAGGTATTTTCAGAGTTGATTAACTTATTTAAAATGTCACTGCAAATACACAACATTAAATTTCCTCAAGTTTATTTGTGAACATTTTGATGCGCGAACAAACGATCACCTTTTTTACAAAAGCGCATTTTTGGTTTTTTTTTTTCAAAATCATGCTTGAAAGTTGGGGGTGCGGCTTATACACGAGTGCGGCTTATACACGAGTTTTTACGGTACTTTGTATGGTACAATCTTCAAAGGCGCTGTGGACAAAATTTGTCACAGGTAAAAACTGGACAAAATCAACTAAATAAATGAAAATGTGTTTTTCTTGTCAATCATTTGTTGTAAAGCCATTATTCTTTCTATTAAGTATGACAGATGCCACAGCCTGTTAAGACTAAATAGTTTCCAGTGTGGATAAATGTTTTCAAAAGCAAAATTGTGACCTTTCGATGATTTCAAAGGCAAATCCAAACTTGTCTGCTAGTGCAGATAGGCCCTAACAGTATTTGAACAATAATGATTTAGTCTTCAAACTTTTTCAGCAACATTCAATGCACAACTAACCTGTAAGAGTCCCTTATTTCAAGGGAAAATTTACGGTCCCGGAAGTAAATGTTCTCAATCTGACTCCACAAGAAAATCTGTTGTAAAAATGAATTGCATTACAAATTGTATGTCAAAAGATCCTCTAATTAAGCAAGGCAATAATATTACAAGAGTACCTTTCTGGGCTTAATTTTGTCTCCATGATCATAGACACCAATTCCTTTAGGACTAAGTCCAAGCCACCAGGGCATATTGCTCTTGTCCTGCAGTGAAAAAAACAATGGTACATGTATGCATGAGTGCTTAAAGCTAGTTTACATTCACAAAGATATGACTGCTATATGTGTATATGTATAGTTTATTCAATGAAAAGGGGTATTTTGTCAAGTTTAAAACATAAACAGCGATTATTAACTGGCTTTAAAAATTTCCCAAACATGTCCATTTTTTACCAAAAATCAGTACCTTTTTCATTGCTAATTATTTTTCTCTAAGAATATCAAAAATAAAAGCTCAGCCAAAGACACTCAAAATTACTAAATATTAGTATCTGTATCATTTTTGTGAGAATTATTAATGTGTTTTGAAGATTGGTTAACGTCCAGCATTAGAATATTATTACGGTAATGATTTCCTTACCTTGACTTCATAATAATGCACACCATATGTGGGTAAGCTTTGAAAAATACACAGATACCTAAGTGGCAGGATTAGAAGTGCTTTAATAATGGTAGAAATTATCACAACAGTTTGTTAATGATAACTTTCTGCATTTAAATTTTTTAATTGGGCATCTATTTAAATAGTTTACCTTATAACAGATTCTCCTCTTGTCTGGCCAGCAGACTTTTTGTAATATGCTATGACTTTATCTTCACTAAAAAAAAACATTTAAGAACTTGACATTATCCTCTCAGGATAGTTGAATCATTCAAATAACTGACTGATCAATAGGTGGATGTATCTGCCTCAATAAATTTATGCATTACTATGAGTCCCTGAGTCTTTTGCAACACACAGATAATCTGAAGACAGACTCCAAAACTCTGTATTACAGTTTACTGAAATAATAATATACTCCTTTTATTGTAAAGCACAACAAAGACTAACAGAAATAAGCATCGTTTAACAACAGCCACAAGAACAGCGACAGAAATCACACAAACAGGATATTCTACATAAACATCTTCAGATCGATCAATTGATCTTTCCGTCCTACGGGACACGTGCCGCAAATTATTTTGCATCTTTAGGGATTTTTCCGCGTCAAAGACACAGGACACAGAAGTAACAAAATCACTGTAACTGGTTGGTGAATGGGTAGATATATCTGCTTCAATAAATTTATGCATTACTAATGCAAAGTAAAGCTGGCAGGGAGAAGATCAGGGCCGTCTCTAAGAGTTCAAGTTGCCAGGTGTATGTAATTTGTAGGCAGGGAATTGTACAAAGAGGAAGTTCTCTTGTTTCTATTTTCCTTTTGCTTCTAATGAATTAGAAGTAGCCAGGAGTCACTATCATAGTAGCTGGTTTAGTAACAGCCTACCCAGGATTGTAGAATTCTATAAACAGACTTCAACTGAACTCACCATGAACTTATTGACGGACGTTCTTTCAATGTTCTCATGGGGAGGACAGGAAGTTTCCGGAGATCTGCTCTTGCTGTTTCTTCACTGTAAAAGAGTTATACTATGCTTACTCCACAATCCTCTAGACCTATCGATTCTGCTGACAGTTACGAGTTTATATATCCCTGCTAAATTCTAAGAAAAAAATGTCTAGCTGAAATGCACTGTTCCCACTGTAAAAACTGAGCAAAATATATCTTTGTATTTCAGGGTCTTCCCTGATGCACAAATGAATACATGTCTAAGATGTTCTGTTCAGCTGAGAAACAAAAAAGGGATGCAGAACAGCAAGCGAGTCCTCTCTAACGCCGAGTTTTTGGGCATTAGTTTATTAATAACTTAGTTAAGAACTGAGTAAAACTGCAAAACTCTTTTCTTGAGAATAAAAAGAGACTTTTTAAGTTCTTTTTTTCTGACTCCTTTTTCAAAAGTAGCACACTTAATATTTGAATAGCTCTCAACAAGAATGCTTTTTCAGTGTTCTGATTGGGGATTCACATTGGAACTCTTTGCAGAAGCCTGGGAACTAACACTTTCTTGAGGGGCACTGTCATTCTTAGTACCCCCACTGCTCCTCCATTGGTTTGAGGTGTCTTTGGGGACTCCAAACAGAAAAAAGTGAAGAAAAATCTTAGGATTTATTATAAGTCACCACTCTAAATAATTTTCTGGAAATCATACAAATAATGATATTGCACGACAACAAACCTTGTGAAGTCTCCATTAGTGGCATGAAGTGCAAGAGCAGCAAGTTCAAAAACAGTTTCACTGTCACATTGAATTGTTCCCTAAATCATAATAAATTTTAAAATACTGAAATCAGATAATTTCAAAGAGGAAACTAAGAGGAACCTAAGAATGCATAAAACCAGTTTAAACTGAGTGGTTGGTAATAAATGCAAAGTTAAAATCATACCTTAAAAATAAGAATTCTTGCTTGAAGGAAAAAAAGTTCTACGGTGGTTGATTCCTTCAGGATTAAAATATTTGGGACAAAAAACCTGACAAAAAAAGGTTAAAGTAAACATCAGGTTCAAATTACATATATCCTTCTTTTGTTTCAAACTCATTTTCATACATTACTATAGCCACAAACAAAGCAGAATAAAATTTAAACCACGGATAAAGTTGAACCCCAAAATATACTCAAGAAGCTTAAAAAGTACACAAGTGGCGAAGATCCTCTTCAAACATAAAGTACACAGACATGCGTATGTTGTCAGTGGAAATTAAATTCAGGTAACAATGTTTTAACCTGCATGTAGGTAGATTCCAAATTTCCTGTCTCCTAGTCTTAATTTATGAATAATTAAGGCTAAAAGACAAAGGATTGAGACTCAACCAACATTATTGTCTAGGTTCAAAAAATATCAACCTGAATTTAATTTTGGCCTGTAGCATAACACAGAACTACAGGGCTATTGGCTGTCACTAAAACATCAAGTTGTGGTGTATAAGTTACATTTTATTCAAAATTACATTCACGTTAAAATTGTTTAAGCTGGGTTGATTATTGATTTCTTGTATCTTTAGCCCTAATTCATGACTAATTAGGGCTAGGAGATAAAGAAAATAGAGCATTTTCACATGATGTCACGTCAGCCATATTTGTGTTCCAAAACAATGGAACTGCAGCCATGTTGGTGTTCCAATTATTAACCAATCCTGTGGGAATTAAACTCTTTTCTTATGTAAACACTTTCTTTTGTTCCAATAAATTTGCACAGATGAGTGCAACATGAGTGAAAACACTCTATAACATCTATTTAGAAGGTGAGGATTTCAACAGCTCAGTGTGCAAAGAAAGTCATGTTTGATAGCTCAGGGTTAGTGGATTTTGCAATTGGGCTGGTGAATTCTGTTCTTAACTTGCCCAACGCTTAAGTGAATTTTTTGGGGGCAATTCAAATTATCAATCCTGCTCATCAAAAATGTTTATCAGGGAAGTTAAAATGACTCTTGGGCTGGTACATGCTATCTACAGTTTGCCCGAATGGCAAACTGTAAAACTTACTTTCTTTGGACTTTAACAGCTAGGAGGTTCTCCGTGTTCTCACCAGGATTTTCCACCCCCTTTTAGCTTCTCTATGGGTCCTGTGGACCCCGGGTCATGAGCGAGAAATTTGCGTCACAATTTTTAGATACAGGTAAATCAAAGTTTAACTCACAGGTCTGAGTCAGAGTAAATCCTTCATACTTTCTTAGATAATAAAATAATATCCAATTTTTACATACAGTTAACTCAACGTTTTACAGCTCTGAGTTAGAGTAAAGATGCCATAACCAATTAAATTTTGGCTTATATCATAAGGAAATGTACGTATGTGTACGTATGTTTTGTAATAAGCTTTTTTTCCTTCTTTGTGCCCTTGGGACCCTTTGGGCTACTTATAGAGCAGCATTTCCTGAAAAAGTGCGGCCATGCCGTGGTCTGATAAGAACACTGGGTTCTTTTGGTTCTGGCCCAGAGGGCACGTTCATAACAGCCAGGGGAAACCCCTAGCCCCCAGCCCTTAAAGACAGCACTGCAGCTTGACTCCACACATCAGTTGGATATCACAAACACCTCACTCAATAACTGTTGATTATTAACCTCGCCTAATAGCATAAGTCATGAGACAATTTATCATTCTATTATTAGGATACATCTGGTGCGGTTAGAAGGGTAGTGTTCCACTCTCAGGGTTAAACAAGTATTAAATAGAGATTTACTCCCAATTTCTTTTGTTTCTTAGCCCTAGCTATTTATATCAGACAAAGGTATTCTGTTTTAACCTGAGAACAGACACCTACAACAGATACCCTAACCGATTTCCTGCTTTAAGCTCAAAATGTACTATAGAGGAAATGGGTGCAGGGAAAGCAAATCTCCAGATGCATGAATTCATCCCAGATGTGGGGTCTCATCTACAGGAAATACATCAATTAACCGGTTGATAAAACAAGGATATTGGGGTATGCATTTTAAATCCCTGTCAAGAGTGACCTATAATTAATTATTAGGTGACTTCTGGAGAATCTATCATCTAAATTAATAGCTAATTTCATTAGGAAAGGTAACATTAAATGACCAACAACACACACAAGTGCTGAAATACAGTGTTCATTATTAATAATTTCAAAGGTTAACAATCTTTACAATTCTTTGCTGCTTTCGCAGCAGAGATGATAACCAACTTAAATAACATTATCCATGGACCAAGTTCAAAAGAACAGTCTTTTATAAAGATGTAATCTCACTTTTTGTACCTGACACAGAACACAAGTAAGACAGGCTCCTGAAATCTTGGAAGGTCATGATCTAAAACCCGCCTGTCGAGTCGCAACCAGTTCTGGTTACTCCTAGGGAAGGAAAGGCATGAATTTTCATTCATAAAGATAAGAACATCACTTCCTGGAAAAATGGCCATTATTTTCTTCAGTTATCCCTGTCAAAATTTCTCCTTTAAATAAATGACATCATTTTCATGGCTGAGTATGTCACCCCAACCTTCCCAAAGGAACTTAATTCTATAGCAAAACTAAAAGATGATTTCATGAATGAAAATGTAGATGTGGCCTCACTATAAATATTCTAACAGAAAAATACTGGGATCCTTAATTTGCTAATTAATGTAAAATACTAACCAAAAGACCCAAAATTACTCTCCGTAGAATAGACGAATATTGTCCCATCTGCATGTAAGTGTCACCACATTGATTTTGTTTAATAGAAAGTCATGAACCCAATTATTCACACTGGTTTGCCTTTGAAATATTAAAATATTTATTATTTTAATATTTATTGTAACATACATATGGGTCGGGTGTAAAAGAGGGCTTTGGTTACTAGTCAGGCAGCAGCAAACTTTCAAATCTTCTCCAATACAGAGAAAAAACTAAATGCATTAATAATTTTATCAGTTGAAACTTTAATATTTTGTAGTACCGGTACTTGCAAAATCAAAACCTTGAGCTTAGCTTTAACTTTACAAAACCTGCTGTTAAGTAGTGCACTTATACATGTACATTCCTATTGTAACTGGCAAGTGTCACCTTCTCTAAATATAGTCTCCACAATAACTAGTAATATTTATTTATTTGTTCTAAGATATTTATATAATACAATACATTTTTAGACTGTAAAGACGGAACCTAATCTTCTAAACTCAATCATATGATATTTCTGTGATGTTCAATTTTGTTTTAATCATTTTTTCTTCTTACACACTAACATTGCATTTTTCGCTTGCAATTGCAATTTGAGTCTTATTTCTTAATAAAGACATTATTATTCACTAGTATATAAGTAAGTGGCCATTAATTAAAGCTATAAGATGAACATGTACAAACAAGTTTACTATTTTCAATTTATTGAAATAATAAAAAAAACAACTTTGACCAATCCAAAAGCAGGAAAAACCCTGAGTATTACATTGCAATTAAGTATTAAATATTTATTGTTGTTGAGTTTCAAGTTAACTTCCTTATGGTTGAGTTGACTTGATTCAAGCGGTACATTTTACCACTTGAATCAGCTTAGCCCAGTCATCTATGGGTAAGTTAACATGAAATTCAACAAAACAAAAAGAGAAAATCTTTCACTTAATACTATAGAGCTCAATTTTGGATATAACAAATCCAAGATAAGTGTCGCAAAAGTTTTAAGCTGATAATACTAAAAAATGTCATGGTGGTGCATCAGAGAAGGGCTATCATCTTTCAAGACAAATTTCCCTATAGGCAAGTAAAGATTGTCACGTTTTGAAAGAAAAGTAATTCTAAGCTCATGGATCTTCGCTGGAACACTGAAGCATTAATATTATGTATTCCTATGGACATGTTAATTTTCTTTTTTTTTTCCCAGGCAGTGACATTGTTTTAATAGTTGTTAATCACCCATAAAACCCATAAAAAGTATGATTGGCAAAATCACTGCCGGGGGGGTTAAAGACAATAACAAGTCTGTGCTCTAAGGAAAAAGGAAGAGAGCGCAGTACTCTGAACCTGTAAAATTTATGGTACTCAGCAAAGAAGTATAATTATGATTTGAATGAAAAAACTAAGATTTTCTGGTTGCCCGAGTGTAAAAATTGGGTCACCGAGGATCACTGGGCTCTGCTAGAGCACAACCCAGCATAAACAGTGATCTATGAGGAAGTTTCACCTCCAAGATCATCCATAACCCCTAATATACTGTTTCAATGCCTTTAAAATTCAAACAATACATTTCTTTGGACAAAAGTTTCATTTTAACCTGACATGTTGCTCAGTTATTGTATGCAGTGACTTCCACTGTTTGCTATTTCCATAAACCCATAATGATTATCAATATGACATGATGCATGATTAGGGCAACACAAGCCACTTGAGTTTCTCTGTAATGCATGATGTTGTAAACACTTACAACTCACCAAAACTATAAATACACTTAAAGCTCAAATGAAACTAAAAATGTTTTCCAATGATTGCGTCTGATGGTTTCAATATTTTATTTGTGTTATTTTCTTAAGAAATTCAAGACATGTCTAGCCAGTGGCAGTAACATAGACTTTCCTGGTGTCACTTCTTATTCCAAGCAGATAACTTAAATCGTAAGTAGGCATGTAATTCAATTATATCTTTAATGACTCGCAATATTCACATACATGTAAACGACAGGTTTTGTTTTTAAATAGGGTACATGCAATCAAATCACTTTTCTCGTCATTCAGGGCATTGAAGAATAGAAGAATAAAGTTTATGTTGTAGTAAATATGAATTGAGAAGTTGGGATGCCAATAACTGGAATTCAATTAAGCAGTTCCAATATTTCACCCTGTTTGCTTTGGGTATAGAAAACATAGGAATATGACGCATAAAAACCTTAGGAACATCTCTAATCTCATTAGAGGCATCCTCTTGTAAAACACCCTTCTATCGTCACCCAACAGCGCCAAAAGTTGGCTATATTTACGTAGTTTCCTGGTACAGAATTGACCCAGGAAATGCTTTAAATTTGCTTCTTTTGCGGAAATCCATAACGTTCAGGAACTATGTTACAGATCTGAACACACAACAAAAGTGGTTTGTGTGTAAAGAAAAATAACGTGTTTCGAGGTTATACATGTGACAAAAATTTTACCGTCCAAACGTGATTAGCGTAATTAGTCTGATCTAGCGCCTAGTAACCCTTGTGCTAAGTATAGCGATGAAATTCAATTTGTTTTGATGAGCGAATATGTTCACTCGTTGAGCCTTGAACATACGGACTAAAAACAGCGAGGAATCAGCAAGGTTCTGTGAGAAAAAACAACAATGCCCCCTAAGGATAACAGGGCAAAATATTCAAATCTAAAAGCCTATATGTTTTATGCACTCGAAAACCGGTAAATTTGCCAGAGGAAATAAAATTATTAAATTGGGAATTTCAAATTTGAGAACTAACTTAATAAATTCGAACAATCCAAGTGTAACAGCGAGACAAAAGTGAAATACTAGTTTCAGCCCAGCGAGGAACGCCAGAGCAAAATTGGAGAGAATTTGGATAATTTCACAATGAAAACTGGAACACATCAAATTAACCTAAACATACTCCTTAAGACAACGAGTTAAGCTATAAAGTGTCTTGAAATGGTTTTAAACTGGCAAACAGTATACGTTTCCGCCCAGGGGCTTCCATGGTTTTAAAAGAAAAAATTGAAACATTTACAAAACTAAATGAAAAAACTTGTTCAGAGAGCTAGTGGTTTTAGAAGGAACGACAGCGAAATGTTTACATCACTTATATGCCAAGTTTAGCGTGTCTTTACTGGGCAAAATAAACCGTTTAAGCTGTTAAAATCATTGCACAAATAATACTAATCAACCTACATGTCATCTTGGTAGGAAAGACCGAAATATTCCTTTTCGTGTAGCCCGACTTGAGAAGCGACCATATCCAGTAGATCGCCAACCATAAGACGAGGCTGAAAGCGGGAAACATATTCACATATGATATTAGCCGCACTGTAACAAATCCACTGGCTTTTGCGAACTTTTTAAATCGTCGGGCTGGTCAAAACAGACATTTACGTTACCTGAACCAAAAGATCTAACCGGCGATCGTCCAGCATTATAACCTGGCATCTTCGCGGCTTGCGAGCATCGGTCATTCTACACAGAGATACAAACCGCGATCGGTCTGGTCGGCTTTTCTCTTGGAACTATGGATACAAAAATCCGCTACAATGAAATGCATAGCTTCTGAACTATGCCTTTTCTTGCGGCCAACATGTCACCCTCCAAATAACAGTGAGTTGGATTTCATCTGTCACAAAATAAAGACTTTCTTTCATACAAATCTCACTCATGCATACAGCTTTGCTTCGGGTATTCTATTTATGTGCCGACTTGCTACTGGAATGAAGGGAATTCATTGCGCATGCTCTCAGACGCACTGTCAATCATCCTTCAGCTATCTTTAGATGGAGCCGCGCAATACCGGCCCAAGCCCCGGAACACAGGGGGAAAAATAATCTTTTTGATCATTAATTATTGTTGGCTTTTGGATTTAGGCATTTAAAAATGCAAATTTAACTGAAAGTAGTCCTCGGCTCGTGGATCGTCGATTTTTCATTGGCGTACGGGAACTTTCTCCTGATAGGGTCGGCGCAAGGTGACGCGGCGCGCGTTCGCGCGATCGCGCGCTTTTCATGTAAAATCGACGCACACAGGTCGTACTTTCTGGGCTAAGGAAAATACATCTCACAGAACGCGATCACACAAGGAATTTTTCTTCCCTGTAGCTAGCTGGATGCTTTGCTACTAGACTGGAAACTAATGAAATGAATGGCTGGAGCTTGGATCAGTAGATATATATACAAATGTATTAACTGGCATGGTAAAAAAATAGTGACATACTGGTCCATTGTTTTCACCCGACGAAGGTTTGTGTATTTTGACGAAATATCCGGTACAAAAATATAAACATTTCCAATCCGCAAGAAGTGGTTCCCAGGCTGTTTATTGCGGTGTTGCTATGTTTTGATCGTGACGTCACGCGCCCGCAAGGAAGCCGGAGAACATTATGGCGGCGGGTTTGTGGTTGCACTGAATTCCTGTGTTACCCGAAAAACACTAAAATGGTAATTGAAAAGTTTTTGCACTTTACACCATTATTTCCTTGACAAGCTTATTAACTCTTGTTTTTGTTTCATGAAGACTTCTGGAGGGACAAATGTTCGGGTAGCTGCCCGCTGCAGGCCGTTCAATGGTAGGTTTAATACTCGTCATATTAAGCCTCATAACTTACTATTTTGCTCGGTTTTAATCGTGTGAAGTAAAAGTGACTTCTTCACTAAATATCTGCGTATAAAAATGATACCTTATATTAAGCCTAGAGCTAATATAATCTCAAGCTTAAGTACTTTTAATAGTAACAAAGATACCATGTATATGCATGTATATTGTTCCCTCTATGACTGTCTATGACTTTTGATGCATCGCATGCAGGGGTAAAACTTTGATCCTAATCACTGGAAAAATGTGGTTCTTTTGGTATAGGATCCTTCTTGATCAAATTTTTACCCTCGCGATATCTAGTGTTACTGTCACTTTACAGTCAAGGAGAAACAGTTCTCTATGTACTTGTATAGGATGTGCTCATTCTGTTCAGGTCAAACTCATTTAGTATTTTTACTTGATTTGTTACCTGAGAAGTGTCTAATGATAATATAACACTGAGATTTTGAAGATTTGTAACCGAGCAATCAATATGTGAATATATTCACAAATTGATATGACAACTGCTGAAAAATTGAGGAATTTGTCTATTTATTCTTGTAATACAATCCCGGGGGGGGGGGCACTTGGGTATTTTTCGGGTGGGTATGTGCCGCCCGGGACTCCAAATTGGCACCCCGTTCTAAAAAAAATTTCTCCTGAAATTGATACCCCGGTCTAGAAATGGGCCAATTTTTTATACCCCGTTTTAGAATTCGCTTTAAAACTGATACCCCGTTCTAGAAATGGGCCAATTTTTTATACTCCGTTCCAGGGTGCAACAAGAGTATAACAGTTTGCTTGTTAACGCATTGAACCGTATTTTTAAAAGCAATCTGTCCTTGAATAATTTCAAATGGCTGCTTACAAAAGTGGAGCTTTCGTGCATTCAAAATATTATACCCCTTTCTAGAAATCGCCTCTGAAATGAATACCCCATTCTAAACCAGGAGCTTCAAAATCATGACCCCGTTGGGCGGCACATACCGGTATAGGTAATGTATGGGAGTGCCCCCCCGGGAATACAATCAACCTCCCTTATACAGATACCAAAAGGGACTGAGCCAAGTGCTCACATAAGCTGTCTGTATTATTGAGATATTATTACTCGTTATTCCTATCTTACATAATAGTAATTTTTTTTGTTATTATTGTTATATTTGTTAGGAATATGTTTTGGGTGGGACAAAAATGGTAATAGTTAATCAATAGAAAACGTTTTCCGTGTTTGCATAGCCTGATATAAACACGAGAGGGATTGGGAGAATTCAAGACAGTTATGAAAACCCAAGACGAAGTCGAGGGTTTGCATAACTGTCAAGAATTTTCCCAACCCCTCAAGTGTTTCTATCAGGATATGCAAAGACAGGAAAAAAGTTTTCTATTGCTTTTATGAAATAACTTTCAAGAGAAAAAAGCAAAACTCTCTTGTTCAAAGCACTGATTAAAAGAGAAATTCTTACCAGTCGCGAAGTCTTGTACACTAAGCTTCTACGCGTAATCAGTCCTTGTTTTGCAGAGAAGATGCTTTCTAAAATACAAGTTTTTCTCACTTAAAATGTCAGCTCTAGCGAAAAAACGTTGACACTGCATGTTTCTAAAGATTTTCCAAGTTTCAGCTGATGAGGAAATGGGTAAATAAAGTAAACTTGACAAGTTTTTCAACTCAAAACCTTTTTCAAATTCGTGCTTGCACGCGAAAAGCAAGACATCTTGTTGTCATGACCCTTGTTTACATACTCTCATGCAAACACGGCTCTCGGCCAATCAGAGTGTGCGTACTATCTTAGTTATTTTATAAGACATGTCCAGTTCAGTCAGTAATCATATGATTTTTTGGGAGTTAATTTGCAATTTCTGAAATTGTTATTACCACTGCGATGATCATACCTTCATTTAAATTTGAATTTCTGCAGTTCACATCATCTTCACGTTAAATTTCATTCCTTTCATCGGTTAAGATGAACTCAACAAATTGGCCTGCTCTCAATGTATAGGTCTTTATAGCTCAATTGGTTAGAGCATTGCAGCAATAACACAGACGCCATGGGCTTGTATCCCGTTGAAGTTCTGAATTTTTTGGGGGGGGGGGGTTAATTTGCTCTTGCTTAATTTGAAATTACCACTGGGACGATCATATCCTCATTTAAATTTGTATTTCCACAGGTCACATCATCTTTATGAATCATATGAGGGATTAACAGAATTTGTTAATCACGATTTGTTCAATCAGGAGTATAATAATATTACAGACCAAATTGGATGACACAAAGTTCTGTTACCAATAATCAAAACTACATGTATAACAAAATTAATTGTGAAAGTGAAGAATGATCATCGCAGTAAATTTTCCAGTTTAAGCAATTGGAAAGAAGAAGCCTGAAAAAATCAGGGCTTCAACAGGATTCGAACCCGTGACCTCCGCGTTACCAGAGCGTTGCTCTAAAATTAATTGTTATATGGGCCAATCTTTTAAGTATGTATCAGGACCTTAGAGATAAATGGTATTTCCAAAAGGGAGGTGTATGTTAGCACTTTATCTCACATCACTTATGCAAATATATTTATTACACAGATAGTGAAAAGGGTCGAGCTGCCACAAGAGTGGTGAAAATGAGTGCTGAAAAAACAGTAATACATAATCCACACCCTGGAACTAATACAAAGGTGAGTAAAAACATGCTTAAAACAAAACAAATTATAAAAAAACATGTATGCTAGGTGCTCCAAGTTGTTTCTTGCTGTAACTGGGAAAATTCATCTGAAGGTATGGATTAGTTTAATTCATACCCTCAAGAAAGTTTTATTCTGTCATTAATATTCATGATACTTCTGTTTTTCTGCTTTATAAACAAAGAAAATTACACAAAGTTAAGACCTCTGTACTAATTGATACATATTTTACTACACATAAAAAAAATTGTTTGTATCAGCTTGTTGGTGAGATTGGAGACAGTGCTGTCTCAACAAAATCTTTCTGCTCCAAAAATCTTTCAATTGAAATCTTTTCTTGATTCCATAGGCTGTGGAACATTTTATTTCTTTTTGAAATGTGGTGGGAATCATGGTACTCCTCACCCAGCTCGAACCCCTATTCAAACTTCCCAAAATATTCTTACCTCTTTCAGCTTTCATGGAACATTCAATTACATGTAGCTTTCCACAAAAAGGTCTTGTCTATTTTCTATACACATTGTTACCTCAATGTCTTGCTAATGTTCATCAGAAATACGTTGTTTGTATTAATTATCTTTATGACAATCTTAATATATGTACATTTTTTTGTTTACATGCAGGAGTATACCTTTAGTTTTGATCACAGTTACTTTTGGGACACAAAAACTGTAAGTATGCAGTGAATATAAATGTGCTATAACTACATTGTAACGACAAAATTCAATTTATGCTCAAGTGTTGTAATTTATAAGCATTGACAAATATTTCACACTCCTGGAACCACTGCTGTGGAAATTTTGTTTGTAGAGAAAATTCCCTGAGCAGTGCTTCATTTAATATTCCTCTCATGACCATGGTTCAGATGTCAGTTTATTTTTAGTGGTAATATTATTGTATCTACTGGACATTATATTCCTGACTTTTCATTTTAATTTGCCAAAGCATTATCAATGAACTTTAGAACTTCACCAAAAAAATAAATATCAAGGAGATACAATTAAAAGAAGAAGAAGAAGAGAGTGATTTTACTTAACCCGTGGAAAAAGTAGTAGAATACTACACACAATACTCCACTTATTCCAGTGTCCTCTTTAGTTTAATTTTAGCTATTTTGCACCAGTTGTTAGGATCATGGGTCCAGTAAAATTGCTCTAATAATGATATAATTATAATTATATTGTTACTATTATTATTATTATTATTGTTATTTTACTATTGATATCTGAATCATGCTCATTTGAGGATTTTGTCCTCGGCTTATGCTTTAATTTTAACAGTTTAATTTTTTTAGTATAAATAAAAACAGACTGTATTAAAAGTTCTTATGTCTTTTTCATGTTTTTTTTTTTTATTTAGGAACAAATTTTTCACGATCTTGGTTCTCCACTGTTAAAAAAAGCTCTGGAGGGTTACAATGTGACCATGTATGCTTATGGACAGGTAAAACTAATAAAGTGCATAATATTCCAACTGGTTTGAAGATGTACTTTTGACAAAGCAGTGAGACAGATGCTCAAATTCTCAGCCAATGGGAGTTGGATGTGACCCAATGATTTAATGATGCCTCAAAGCTTATTTGTAAAAAGTCTAAAAATTTCACCCCTAGCTACAAGGATCATTAGGTTCATCTCAAACTTTCGCTTTCAAAATTAATATTATTTGAGGACTCAAGAACTTTCTATTGGTGGGGACGCAGGTGCAACATGCACAGGAAAGCCAATAAAGACCTTGCTTTTATGTAGCCTGTTCTAGGCATACAGATAGCAGAGTACTCAATTTATTTTTTGTCTACGCTCCAATATCTGAATGCCTTAAACAGTTTGTTTACAAATTGCTACCTCACATCAATGTCAGGTACATAAAATTATGTAGTTTAAAATTTTTGATATTTCCAAACTTGTCTCCTCATCATGAATGGAATTCTAGCTAAATAAGTTTGTCTCTCCTCACTTTATGGATGCGTTACAGGTCAAAATTAAATTCAGGTTAGAATGTTTTAACCTAGGTTGATCTCAATTTCCTTTGTCTCCTAGCCCTAATTAATCATGAATCAGGGCTAGCAGACAAAGAAAATTGACAATCAACCTGAGTTAAAAATCTTAACCTGTTTATTATTTTGACCCGTAACAGATACATGAGTGATGTTAGAAGGTAATTGTCAGAATATCTTTGTAGACTGGAACAGGCAAGACACATACAATGATTGGGACAGAAGAGGAACCTGGCATTATTCCACTGGTAAGAATTAGTACTTCATTTCATGCTAAAACACAGAATTACACAAGTTAGTCATGGTGGGAGTCTAAACAGAGCTCTGTAGATGGCACCTAAAAACATTGCTGGTGCTAAAGTAAGAGTAGCACCATCCATGGAGGTTGTTTGAACATAATTCACTGTCATTAATACCTCCATTCAGGGCCACACTCATCACTGAGGTTATCATGTTCAACCAGGTCAAAAATGCTCTTGCTCCAACACCAGCTAATGGCTACATAAGTGTCAATATACCTGATAATAGCAACCTGAAGATTAGGATTGTGGGCTCTTCTTGTCACCTGCAATAAAATTAATGGTTCATAATAATCTTGCTTTTCAGCTGAATCAGGGACTTTTTAAGTTTATTGATGAAGCTCCACCAAACAAGCAATTTTTTGTGACTGTCTCCTTTTATGAGGTAAGAAGCTCAGCTGACAGTGATTTGATGGAAATTCAGGTATTATAACTACGGTGTGAAGACAGAGGCCTACAATATAAAGTTACAAATATTGTTCATTTCACTGTAATAAACAGAAATATCATTACTTTATGAGTGACCCTAATTAGTTTTTGACTAGCAATGTGAGATGGAGACATTAAGAACAAACTTGGAAATTTTCCTGGCCAGCACATAAAAAGAGAAAGAACATGCATGAGTATTATTTCCTCTTCTTAAGCCTGATTTCCATTATGATCACCCGGATCACTGTGATCGCTCCCTGCCGAATTTATTCCAGATTACTGCAATAATAGTGATGATTTCTGGGATAGCCTTCAATCGTCCTGATCATCTCAGTCGTCTGAGAGCATTTCCATATGATCGCTTTAAAATTTACGATCGTCCTGATTGTCCGGATAGAACTCATTTCTATCCAAGTGATTAAGGTCGTCTCAGTCGTCCGTGTTGTTTGCGATCATTTGGGTAGTGTTTCCATATGACCGTTCCAATTAGCTGAACATTATTGGAGATGACTGGGACGATCAGGAAAATCCGGACTATCATATGGAAACCAGGCTTTAAGCTCACAAGCTTGGATTGAAAACTTGAACTTCTACCCCGATGTTAAGGTCTTTGCCTGGGTCTTGAAGTCTTGGCCTTACTGGTCTCAAGGTCTCTGGATGCCAGACTTTCACACATAGAAGTGGACTGCCTTTAATCTTGAGTTTAGATCTTTCAAAAAATAAGGGGGCTTCCTGATAACTCTTTTTGAGTCTGCATTTGACACCTAAACACCCCTAAAAAATTTTACCCCTAAAATGTTTTATTGTTTTCCTAATCATAGAGTATGTAGTTAACAACTGCATACTGTCCAGGGGCTTCCACCTTGGCACAGCCAGCCCCTGTAATAATGTTAATTTTAATGTTTTACGTATAATGCAGTAGTTAACAGTTTTAACTTTGTTTTCCTGATCTTATTTACCATTGTTTAATACTGATGCTTATTATTTATTTTGAATTTATTAATAAAATATTATTATTATCTCTTTATCAGATCTTTCAAGAAATGATTCATGACCTTCTCAACCCAACAGGTCAAGATCTGCGGGTCAGACAGCATCCCCAGTTAGGAATGTAAGGCATTTTTGACATGTTTAATATTTACAAGCACAAGTCACAGAGAATACAATTGTAAATATATTAAATATGAAATAAAAAGAAGCTCATAAATTAGTTGCTGGTGCAATTTCATAGTGAAATCTGTAATCTTCTTTTTTTTTAGTTTTTTATTGGTAGGGTTTATAGCTAGGCACCCTGCACTATCCCCAACCTTGCAGGGAAGGGAAAAAAATTGAACTTGCCCACATGGCAAGTAAATTTCAGTTTCCACTTGCCCCCACTTAAATATTACTTGCTGGAAGGGAACACAAGTGACTAAGTTATAGATTATTAAGTGTCTAAGATTACTAGTACTTAGATGCTGTGCCAGATGGATTTGATGAGTATGGTGATCGGAGGAGTAACACGAGCAAGCAATTTAACATGCACTTGGATTTTAAATTGATTCATGTTTTCAACTAATTATTGTGTCACCCGTCTTGCAGTCTTCAGTTTTGAAATAGTTCCTGTCTGGAAATTATCATTTACCAAGCTGACACTTGCAGACAGACTCAGAGGACTACTGACTAGAGACTAATTTCACTTAATTGCTCACTGGGCCACCAAACTTCTATTTTCACTTGCCCAAGATCAAAATTTTCTTGCCCGGGCAATTGCGCCTGGGTTTTTTCCTGCTTTGCCTTGAAAGCCAAGGGCCATACTTTGTGTGCCTGACTCTTTTAGTGTGATGCCCCAGCTTGTTTTGCTCCTGGGATTACAGAGACACTCATGCAGAGATCCGGCAATGTGACAAGGTGGCAATTTAGCTTACAGAATAGCTAAGGATGTTACAAATTTGTTGCTAATCCCTCATTAGTATAATTTGCACATGCATGTTTCAAATTTTGCTCCAGTTTAATGCCCAGCCAGTTTTCAGTGGTGCAACTTGATTAAGGCACTCCAACAATGTAGCTAGCCCCTAATACTTTTCGTAAATCTACAATATAAGAGTATTATTCTCAGTTTCACTTAAATGTTTTATTTTTCCACAGTTTTATAGAGGGACTTGCAGAACTTGTGGTCCAAAACAATGAAGACATTGCTGGTCTCTTTGAACAAGGCAACAGGGTTAGGAAAATGGCATCTGTTGACAAGAACTCAAGTGGTGCAAGGTACATAGGCTGCATGTAGAAATACAGTCAAATCCCCTGTAAGCTATCACCCAGAATGCAAAGATCTAGTGGTCGCTTACAAGAATCGGACTTCAGGGAGCCTCTTCCAAAAAGAGGCAGAGCTGTGCAATATAGCAGCAGCTGGTGACCCCTGGTGCCTTATTTTTAGTCTTAGGTGACTAGGAAATCTCGGTTTTTGGGTAGAAATCATAGAGCACCAGGATTTTTGTTAGAGCACAGCCTTAAGAGGCCTGAACACATCTACTGCTTTGCAGAGAATTATTGGATGCAATAAAAAATTCTTCGATACTCCAAGTAGTGTTGTACATATAGCAAGCACTATGATCAGAATACATGTCAAGTAATGGCTTAAAAGAGGTTAAAAACATTACGGAAATTCATAAAACCATCACCCCAAAAAGTAGCCTGAAATTCACCCGATTGCTTCGAGTCGGTTTCTCCTCTCAACAACGTCTGAATCAACCGGCCGTTAATGCCATCCAGTGATGTCACTCACTACCCGAAAACCGGTTAGTGATTTTGATTGGTTGATTGTCTAAACATTCGCATAATTATGTATAATTATGAAAAATTTTAGCAGGATTGTCGCTTGATATTCAGCGGGGATCACATCCCTTGCATTCTTTCATTTAGTTCAAACACTTCTATAAGCTTAATCTTTATGTTAAACAGCAAAATTGGCCTCGTCTTCAAAACTGAAATGCTAAATTGAACGGCGTATGAAGAATCATTGCGGAGAGTCGGTAGGTTTTTCATTTAGAGCCGCTTTGTGGTTTCGGCTGCCGGTGATTTTGTTTACCCAAAGTTTTGTGAGATCAATGTTATAAATTGGACCTTCTTGCTTATTGCTACCATCAAGTGTGATGATTCTGTTAGCTTTTCTTTCTTGTCTCCTTGTGTTTTTTTTCAAATAGCTTCCTTTCAATTAAAGCAAATCATTGTGTTTTTGAACTAAGTGTTCTGTTTGTGTGTTTATTTCATTGCGTGATTGCGACCGAGTTTGATTATAGAATTTAATACAACCGGTTCAGACTTGTACTACATGCAGTTGATAGTTTGAACATTAAACATGAATTACAATCGAAAAAAATAAAGCAGTTCTGTATCATGCAGACATTTCCAAACGATATTTCTCGGTTTGCCACTTGAAACTCGTGTTTTACTTTTTGCATGAATTAAAGCAAAGGTCAAGGAGTAGTGACGCCACTGGACGGCATTAACAGCCGGTCGATTCAGACGTTACTGAGGGAGCAATAACGACTCGAAGTAATCGAATGAAATTCAGGCTACCCAAAAAGTGGTCACTTACAAGAGGTAGTCGACAAAAGAGCAACAATTCGAGACAAAATAATTGCAAACAGCAGCTCCTGCCAAGTTTAAGTTTCTTTGTTGGCCACAATCATGGTCCGACAAATATTTTTGACAAAACTTGTCCCTGGGCAAGTGGCATATCAAAATCACTTGCCCAGCAGAGTGAGCTGGTTGTCCCAGTTAATAATGGTAGAGGAGAAGCGATTCCTTTAATTGTAGCAAAATCAATTCAGGTTATAGTTTAGGAGCCATAATAACAATAACAACTTAAGTTAAGGACAATGCATCTCAGTGATGTTATGAAAAAACTACAATCACAGAAACATTTGGCCACGCACTGCATATTTTACACTTCCTGACACCGTGTGTTGTGTCCATTGTCAGCCACAAAAACTCTTACAACCATTTTGGTTGGAACACTCATCTGCGTTTCTTTGAATCGTATTCCTTCTAAGGAAGGTTCCAATTATAGGGCTATGACTGAAAAAGTTCAGTGTACTCATCTTCTGAAACTGTTGCAAAACAAGATGTCATTTTGACTCTGGTCTTAGAAAAGTGAGTTAAGCCAAGGATATTCAGTGGCACAGGAGCTGGTCAACACATGTGAAAATTACTATCCAATGATTTTTTAACTACTAATAAAAAACTGTTTGTTATTAACTTTTAGCCTCCCATTTTAGTTGCCCCATCATTTCTGCAACACTTGCATAATGGCTAGATGCAAGGAAATAAGGCGTTATTAACTTTGTTAATAGGACAATTGCACAATGATGTCATTTTACTACAACTACCAGAACCCTAGAGTTTGTTGTTTTCTTGAATGTGCAAATTAAGGCCATTGTTCTTTAATCCTCAGCAGGATTGACAAATTTAAATAACAAAGTGAAACCGAAATGAATTCTGGTAGTTGTAGTCCAATATCGTCATCGTGCAATATTATTGTCCTATTCAATTAGCCTTTGTTGTAATTACCTCTATTTACCGGTAGGTAAAGGGGTAAACCTGCCTTCATTTGTCAAAGAGTAGGATAGGTAATGATCATGTCTTGTTTTGCAGGTCTGACTGTGTCTTCACTATTCATGTTGAACAGAAGGGCAATGGAGGATCTTCTGAAACAGGAATGAGATCCAAAATTACCTTGATTGATATGGCAGGTATAATAAAACTGTAACAGACTATTATAATGATCTTTGACATAATCCTTTGTGTAACTCTAAAGGTACATTACTTTTTTCAAAAAGTCTTCCTTTCATCTGTGAATACTCATACCATAATCAAACAATTCTTTTGAATGTTTAATTAAAACACCATAACTTGCAATAAGTTTCTCCAAATAAAAAGTAGGGATGTTTTCACATTTTTTAGGATATTATTACTGTAACTTACAGAACATGTTTTAGCTACCCGAAAGTAGCAATTGGAAAAACTAAATCCGAAAGTAATAAGGGTCGTAAATAAAGTATTGCCTGACCTTTCTTCCACTACAATACTGTGTCACCTTTTTCAAGTCTGCCCCCCTGCCCCACCCCTTCTGCTTTCAAAGATATTTCGATTTTAGCAGCATCACCTCAAGGGTGGATTTCCTCGGCCACCCCTTTTTCTCTGAAATTTTGTATTATTTTTATAGAATTCTCAGAAAAATAAAAAGTATCTATATAGCTGGCAAGTGGGCAAGTGTCCTGGTCACCCCTTTCTGAATTTTCTGGATACCCCCAGCACCTTACTAAGAAGTCTCACTAACAATGTATCAGATATAAGTTGTCTTTATTATAAATGTTTTGTCGCCTTTTTACATAATTTCTTTTTTATTGTCAAGGGTCTGAGAGGATGGAAGGAGTAGATCTCAATATTCAGAGTGAAGGTGCCTTCATCAACAAAGGGTAAGAATTTACCTTAATTTACCCTACATAAAGAAACAGTTTTCTCATCAGAAATAAACTTATCATAAAACTGCTCGGTCTTGTTTTTGCACTCGCTGATTGGTTGAGAGCTATGGTCGATGAGAGTACAGACCATTCTTAATCTCTCCCTTATGTTTGACTGGTACCGGACAAGGCTTTTATATTCAAACCAAACTTTTCAGGGTCACATGTACATGTAACAAATTTTTCCATTTCTCTGTTTTTAGAATCAGTGCTTTAAATGCTGTGGTCAGTGCCCTAGCGGACCCAAAAAAGAAGGAAGGTCATATACCATACCGAGAATCCAAACTAACTAGAATTTTGCAGGTAGTATTAATTTTACTCCATCTGTTTTAACGATGTAATATCAGTGGCACTTGTCCCCTCTCAACTGATAAAAATTAACTACTTGATAGAAATGTGATGGTGAATTTTAAGCCTTGTGAATACATGAGAAAGATGTATTTTTTAGTCTGTGACACAAGAGGTTCGGGAAGAAAAAGTCTGAGTACTCCCAACAGGATCTTGTTTCTTCGCCTTTCAGATCCTAAAACCATATAATAAGGCCTTAAAATCTAACAAGTTTGAATTGTGAAAACACACGAGCCTTAGCTTGTCCCCCTAACATTTCTCCAAACGTCACATGCATGACGTGCGTTTGCAAGGTATTTGTACTATCTCCCCGAATTTTCTTTCCACATTACAGTGGCGGATCCAGGGAAGGGGCCCGCCCCCTCCCCCCTTATTTAACTGAGGCCCGAAGGGCCGAAAAAGTTTTTTTCGGAGGTCTCGATCCTGTACTGCATTAGTCCACTTGGAAGGCAATAGTATTCTGGACGTTCCTTTGTTCACTTGTACCTGCGTGAACCATTTGATTTACTTCTATTTTCTATTTTCTGCATTTTTGAATAGAGAGAAGAAGTCGTTACATCACGTTGCCATGGCAGCAATATTTCTGGTTCTCAAAAAACCGTGGTCCTGCAAAAATGGCAGAAAAAACGAAAAATTGACGTGTATGATTTTCCTGTGCATTATTGCACTCAGGAACTAAACGGTAGCCTATACTTTTCTTCCATCAACCGTCAATGCAAATGACCGCCTCTGTCAAGAAAGATTGTTGAGATCCAGAAATTTTGCTATCATTGGTAGTAATGTGACGTCACATTCTCCTCTCTATTGATAGTATTTTAATGAAATGACTTAAAGGTGGATTTTAATTTGTAGGATTCCCTTGGAGGAAGTGCATACACTGCAATAATAGCAACAGTATCCCCTGCTGGTAAGATAGTAACCTAGGTACTACCCTGGGTATCAGAGGTTTTTCTCGCGTGCGGTGGGAATTTTTGGTGTTGACCGAATGCCGACACATCTTCGACAGTAGAAAAGTCTCTGGCACCCAGAGTAGTAACCTACTGGCCTTAGTTGTTCAAAAGATGGATAGCGCTATCCATCGGATAAATGGCTATCTATCGGATAAGTATTAGGAAAACCAATTGTACAATCCAGTCGATAGTGATTTATCCAGTGCATTGCGCTATCCACCTTTCAAACAACTGACGACTGGTCACACTTAGGCTGACAAAATAGTCGACATTTCGTGACGCCACTACTGGTTTCCCCAGGAAATGACTTCTGAGAAATGAGCGCAGAAATTCCGTACTGATGATGTGTCATTACTTAGATCTGGTTAGTGCTTCCGATTGGTCGTGCCACGGAGGAAATCCGTTTCAACCAATAAAAAGCGCTACCTCGATCTTGGTAGTGACGTCTCGTCAGTACGGAACTTCTGCGGTCGTTTCTCGGAAGTCATCTCCTGGGGTAACCAGTAGTGCAACAGCGAAATGTCGGCGGATTTCTAACCCAGTTCATATCATAGAAAACGTTAGTTAAGTATCTGGCCTTCGTACAAGTACCTGGCTGTCAGAGGTTGTTTTTTTCCTTCCTGATTCCTGATAGTTCACGGTTAAGCCGTGACAAAGAGACGCGAAGTGCAGAGAAAAAAAAACCTTAATGCAATATTTACCGAGCTCTGTGAAACCGAGAGCACAGTGTATTTAAGGTATGTCGAGAACAGACCTCTGAAGCTAGGGTATAGTTCAGTTAAAGATTTTTAAGAATTTTTTTTCTTTTAATTAGATAATTAACACAAACTTTGCTTCTTGAATTTTTCCTTGTTAAGATTCTGATTATGAAGAAACTTTGGCCTCTATGCAGTGTGGAAACAGGACGAAAGCCATTGAAAATGCAGCCAAGAAAAATGAGGTACTGAAGTTGTTTCAAGGCCGAGTGCAGCTTTTCAAAAGCGCTTTTTTAAAACCAGCTACATACTACCAGCTTGTGTATATTCAGGCTTGGTCTTTCAGTAGCCATAATTTTCATGAGGACTTCATTTTGCCACAAGGACCAGGATGTGTTTTCTTTTTCTCTCTCTGTTACCTCTCCTCCTATACACTGCCCGTTTTGTTTTCACTTATTGTTTTTTGTATTACACAATAGGGCCATTTATACGAGGAAAAATAAGACGCGAACTTTTCGTATAAACGGCACATTTCGTCTAAAATAAGACGCGGCTTAGCTATGCTCGTATAAATGGTACAGTTCGCGTCTTATTTAAGATGCGTCTTATGTAAGACGCGTCTTTTTTTTCCTCGTATAAATGGCCCTAATGTAGCAAGCGGATATAAACTACAATTAATGGCCCTAATTTGCACGATAGAACAAGACCCAGACCGAGTATAGTCACCCGTGAAGCCGTTTAAGTCTCGTCACGCAACGCTCCTCCCCGAATAACTTGAGGGGAGCTTTGCATGACGAGACAAAAATGGCTGCGTTGGAGAGCTTACTGCTCGTGTTAAAAATTGTATTGTAAGAGGGCACGTCTGTTGTCCTCTCATCCACTCTTCATCCATTCTTTCATTCAAGACTAGGCTGAGCAGTGCCAAGGACAATTAGTGCAAATCCATCAATTCGGCCCTGGAGGATTCTGGTAACTGAAGGGATAACAACATCGTTCTCAGGGTCTGTCTTTCCCCCGTCCCTTAGACTGAGAGGCCCTGGGAACAAGGATGCTGTAGGAAAAAGACAACCGTTATAAAACTTGAAATAGAAGGCATCATTGTTTTCCCATATTGTTTCTGTTATTAAAATTGGAAGGACTGAAACAAAAGAATCTTTTTTTACAAGAACCAATGCGCCTTTGGTTGGGACATTAATATTAACAGGTGACGTCAGCGTGAGTATGGCTATAGCGTTATTTAGATAAAGCCTTTTTCTTTTATTTTTGCATTAATCAGATTGAGAACACAAAGATCATTCAGGATTTAAGGGATGAAATATCACGTTTAAGAGAAAAGTTAGCTACCTCTGGTAGAGCAGGAGGAGCAAGCAAGGATGATGTCCAACAAATGGAGGTAAATATTGGTGCTTATAGTATTAATATTTACTAATAAATACTGTACTAATTTTAGTTAGCTCCTGAGCTCTTTTCTTCTTCTCTTCCGCCTTTGGATTTTATTCCTGTAGGCAAAAGATAGAGCCACCTTGTACAGCAAAATAGACAGTAATACAGGAAAGAACTTCTTAGTGGCTTTCATGCGAATGGTCACACTTATAACTCAAAAGTTAGAACCACTTGTATGTTGTAAGTCGTACCCTTTTCCGCTATCACAGTGTTTTATCTTGTGGTGTTTTAGGAGCTTATTAAGGATCTTCAGACAGCAAAGAGACAAACCTGGGAAGAACGAGAGAGGTTGTCAGAACACTATGATAATGAACGAAGAATAACACTAGCGAACAAGGTACCAACAATAAACTCTTGTGGCTGCCTTATTTGCTTGATATCTTGCTTTTTTGGATTAATTAGATTGATTCAACTAATGGCGAACCTTAATTTCCTCTCTATTGTGTTATGGTTCAACACTTGAAAACATCTCTGTGGTGCATTGCGGATGCATCAAGTCGCTCGCTTGAAATCTTGAATCCGTCAAATTAGCATTCCGGAGAAAGCAACTACTTTTTGGTAGAAAGTTTTCGCCATTATTACATGATTTTAGTTGAAAAATAGGTGGAGTCGTACCCGATACAATGGTAAAACTTAAGGCTCTTAAGAGAATGACAGGCGTATTCCACAGCAATTTGTCAAAACATGCATTTCTGTCCTTGAAAATTCTCGTTTGTTTGGTTTTTCGCTATTTGAATTTTTGTATATCTATGTTCTTTATTGGAATACCATGGCAAAAGTACAATTTTAGTTCGTTGTTGTATTTTTTCAGGGCATTTTAGACTGGGTTATGGACAGCACAAAAAGAGACAATAAAGAAGTGCAGGGAAAGTTGATGGCTCTGCAGAAGGAAAAAGATCAGGTACGACAGATAGCATTTCCTTTCGGTTCAAGCCCAATTCTTTGACGATCGATTAGCCCCTAAAACAGTTATAAAATTTTAACCCACGACTGGGTAGACTAAAGGACTTACTATGAACATTCATTGTCGATCTTGTAAGCACCGGTATTTGTCGCAAAATTATGATCACAGTGCCAAAATTCATGAGTAATGAACTACCTGTCAAAGTCTTCGTAAAAAAAATGAACTGGCTCAGGAGTTTTATCAGGTAACGTCAGCTTCATTTTCTCATGGAAAATAGGACGTTCATTTGAGGAGGACATATCTGGTTCTAGGCGAGGTTTTGTCGGCTCAATTTTCCCATAGCTACGCTGGGATATTTCATTTAAAATTTGGTTTAATCCTTTGTTACAGTTAACTTCTTTTTCAAGGAACCCGAGCCAGACTTACAGTGATGATTATAACTTCGATTCATTTTCGTTCTGGACTTTTAGCTGACTGCCGAGTTTAAAGAAAAGCGGAAACTCGTAGATGAACTGAAAGATGACTTACAATCCAAAATTGCTGATTACTCCAAGATGGCTGAATCTGGTAAGAATGAGAAACAGTTTTTTCAGTTTTTTTCCCCTTATTTCTACATGCACAGGTTGGCCAATGAACCAAAGCCTTCCCGACCCGTTTATATTCTGTTCCGCATGATGCACTTATGTCCAGGATCGCACTCTGCAGCGAAAATTTAACAGCAAATCTGGGTAACAATTTTAGCCAAAAAAGGGTTAAAGGAAACTGCTTACAGAAATTTCTGCACTCGTTTCTTAGACGTCATTTCGCGGGGAAACCAGTGGTGGAGACGTGAAATGTCGGCTGTTTACTCAGGCTAGAATATACCTACGAGAAAATATCAATTTGCCGAACTAATTTCTATTTTATCGCATTGCGTAGGGAAAAGTAGCGAGGAAGACAACAAATCCAGAGTGGCTGCAATACATGATTTGAAAGAAAAACTGAAGAGTGAGAATGATGAGTTGAAAAAGATTAAACACAAACTGAAAGAAGTACAGGAAAAACAGAAAACCGAAAAAGAGGTTAGCTTAACTGATTGTTCCATGATAAAGAAAAGTTTTTAGTCATGATGTCGAGATAAAACATTTCTAAGATATATAAATATTTGTTATCGTAATGAGATCTGTTTAAAAGACTGTTTATATCATTGTTGTTTATCTGTTTAGGTGACTGTAAATATTATTTTTGTTTTGTGTCAACTTCATAGGAAGCCAAGTCTCAAACTACATTTTTGAAAGGGAATGCGGAATTGCGATACAGGATAGAGGTATGTGTAAGCTTTCTCAAACTTTTTATTTTTGTGCGGCAGTGCTGCTCTTGCTCGTGCTTCCCACTAAATTTTTGTGTTTTGCCGTAGGTTTTAACGCTTCACACACGGCTTTCGCGCATCAAACTAAATCTTCGCGTTCTGCGGTCGGCTTCGCAGTGAGTTTTCGCGCTTTACACTAAAGGTGTTCGCGCCGCGCGCGTGGTTTTCGCAGCTGGAGTTGTAAGCAAATCAAAAGTATCTGTTAAAACGCCACTGACTGGTTAGCCTATTGGTTGGATCCTGGGACATAAACTACGGGAACAGAACAAATATCGGTGGTTTTTTCCGTGGAGCCGGATATTGGAGTCTTATGCATGTCAAACCTCTTAACGCAAAATAAGAAAAGAAAATTTGTTGTATTGAAATGACATTATAAGTCACGATTTTCTAATTTTATCGTAAATCGTTTGTACTTCTTTTTTAGAGTGAAAGACGTGAGAAACATGAAAGAGAGAATGCTGCTACATTAGCTGACGAAGTGGACCGGGTTAAAATGGAGGTGGAACAAGAAAAGGCTGAGCTTCAGGTAACCCGGCATTATAACTTTTATTTGAAGCTAGTAAAAAGAAATACCTTTTGTTTTTGGAAGATTTTGCTGAAACGGAATTTTCTATTTTTTTGTTTCGACATTGGTTGTGTTTGAGGGTGCATGGCCATCTACATTGACGCTCTTTTCGCTCTTCAAGCAACGATCCCTCCCCAGCGTTGCGGAGGAATGCGTGGCGAGGGGATAGGGGTAGGGAAGTCAAACGAAATGCACGATCTGCTTGGGGATAAGAGAACTTAGTCCGCGAGCAAGCTCTCCATTTGGGGGAGTCGCGAGAAGTCACGCGAGAGCCGCACGCGAAAGGAGACGCTCCTTTCCTCCACTCCTCGCGGCTTCGTCGCTCGCTCGCGCGTTCTCTCGCGGCTTGGAGAGCCTAGTCGCAGGCTAAAGATAACTTAGATACGCTAACGCTAATGATGATGATGTTATTTTGAACAGCTGAAAGCAGCCGAGGGTGCACAGTATAGCACTGAGCAGGCCATCAAGTTAGAAATGGAGCTGGTAGAGTTGAAAGCTGAGCGAACTGTCATGTCACTGCGGGTAAGGCCTCACTTCTTCGGCAGTCAACACGAATTTTCCTCGAACTGTTCTCGATACTTTTCTTTATTGGCCATCTCTATTATTTTCACGACCTTAATGCTAGATAATCAGGACAAATTGAATGCTTGTCACTCAAAAAGCTAGTGGTTGAGAGACAAAGAGCTGCGAGACAAGTGATTCTTTCTTCCAGGGGTGGACAACAATTGTAGTGAGGGTGTAGCCAGCATGTTCAAATCGTCACTCAGTTTCTTAGCGTAGAATATTTAATTTCCCTCCAGGAACATTTTAGAGGAAAATATTTCACTGTCCATTTTTTGCTGACTGGTAATGAATTCAGTTATAACCCTAAACCGTATTGTCACAAGAAATGTGTTTAAACCTCATAGCCGTCCAATTGGAAAATCCACAAGTGGTTTACTCATTATAATAGGTACGGCTCTACAACGCTAGTTATGGAAAAATCAAGAAGAGGTTTTCTTTGCGTTGTTCTGTAACCGGTTGGCCTGGGACTTCATAAAAACTGTAAATTTTCATTATGATTTTGCCAAAAAACGCTTCGATCTACACCCTATTTTGGCAATGATATGTGTTATCAGCAACACATAGAACGATTAAACAAAGGCACAATAGTTGATATAGGCTTCATTTCCGCCGCTCTCTAGGGTCCCCTCCGAGCGTACGCTCTTTTCCCGAACAGTGCACGTTATTTGAGTGTCAATGTATTTAGCACGAAAGTACTACATGTAATTGGGGATACTATATTCGCGTGTTTTTCTGGTGCCGCCATTTTACATGGCCGCGCGAAGGTCGAGCCATTTTATTTAAGACCCTGAGTATTGGTCCGGCCTCTGTAATCGAACCCCAGACCTCCCGCTCTGCAGTCAAGGGGTTTAAAGACTGAGCTAATCCTGCCGCAGTAAACTGATTTGTAGGAGAGTAAATTTTTAAATGCAGAGACGATCATCACAATTAAATACTCAACTTATGCTTAATTTGCGTATTTAACTGTGAAGATCTGCTCTGCATTTATTTCTTCACCCCACAGTTCATACATTCATCATTTCAATTTTTTTTTTGCTTCGTGTTTATTCGTTTGTTTCTTTATTATAGATTCAATCTGTAACAGAGGAGAAAAAGCGTTTAAAAGCGGACCTGGAAGAGGCATATAAAAGGCATAAAGAAGAATTGGAAATACAACAATTACAGCACTTTCAAACATTTAGGAATTACCGAGAGGTTTTCGAGGAGCAGAAGGCGGCCATTGAACAGCGCTATCGAACTTTGCTAGAAGAGGCCATACAGGATGCGGTTTTCCTGTCTACAAGAAATCAAGAACTCATGCACGAAAACCAAATTCTCAAACAAGGTGCGACAAATATTCTTCGAAGAGTTTGTTGGAGTTTCGATTAACTTGTGCATTGTTATCTTAGGGTCCCAATAGGGTTCTTCAATTTCGTCATCTCGACCCAAATTTTCGCTCAATCTCGTAGTCTCCGGTGGTTATTTTTGGTATCCCGCATCCTGTACATCCTTTAAATCCCGAATTTCGCCCCTATATTATTATAACTTTAAAATCTCGATCCTGGCCTTCAAATAAGGCAAATCGCGAATCCCACAAAATCTGTTGGGAACCTTCTTATCTTTACATGTACAGTCAAAACTGTATATAACATCCCTGTATAAAGCAGTCACCCTGTTTTTTACGGTCACGGGACAACTTCCCAAAATTTTAAGTTGCCTAATATGTTCTGCAAAGTTGACCTGTATATAGCGGTCACCTTGCTATTTCCTAAGGGTGATCGTTGTACACAGGTTTGAGTGTATTTGAAGAATTGCTGAAAAACAAACATTTACAACCCGCCAGTTTTTATTTATATGTTAATTCTTTTGGAGAGTAAGCGAGCTAACTCCTATATACCGTTTGCTACTAAATGTTTGCTGGTTATACTTTTAACATTTGGGCATTTTGCTTTCTTTCTTTTTTTTTCACGATCCGCAAAAAAATACCTCAAAATTTTCAGTAACATACGACTTCCTGGAAATCGGAAAAAATAAAATCCCAGAAAGAAAAGCCAGTCTTTCACGGTCGCAAAAGTAAGTTCCTGGAAAATACAATGGAAATACAGATCACTGGATTCTTTTCTTCAGCGATTTTCGCGATGATGGGGCAACCATGCTTAACCTTTGACTTCCGGTTTCTTTGCATTGATGTTTTTTTCCTCTTTTTTTCAGAAATGGCTGAACTGAAAGATCAAATGTCACTCGGAGGAGCTAAAGTCGACAACGCGTAGTGTTGTAACTCCGTAACACTCACAAAACTGAAGACAAGGAGCGTTCACTAAAAAGTTATTTGGTGCAACTTATTCTCATCCCATGAGTTGATATCCTCGGATGGAGAGCTTTAGCTGGGGCAGGAACGGCTTTCGGCGCTACCTTTTAACATCGGTTACAAAAATGGGAAACTACGCATGCGCAGCGAAAAAACACGTGATCAATCAGACAGTGAAAGCTAGAGCTCTCGACGCTGACCACAAGGATCGCAGCTCTGGGACGAGAATAAGTGCAGTTCGTTTTTTAATCAAACAAAAAGGGCTTTCAAGAAAAACTTGGCAGTAAATTGAATATAGTTCGGCGAACCTCCTGAGAATCGTTTTATTTATTTGCACAGATTGTACTTACTAAGGTAGCAGTTATATTTATAATCGTTCATTTTAAAACTGTAAAATACCGTGTAGTGACTTGTTTTGAGCAAAATGTAGCATAATGTCTAACCCAGATACGTTTCAGTGAAACGTGGATACAGGGCAAGGGGCAAGGCGAATGAGGGCGAAACTCAGCTACTTGGGAGATTCCAGTGTACCTGGGTTATGGTGTTTTAATTCTTGGTAAACCATTGATAATAAAAATATATTTTTTTTTATAATTTCGTGTCAAAGTATTTCGTTAGTGCGATATCTTATACCTACGGTGGCCCATAAGGGACAGCATTTTCAATAATAATTTCACAAACATTGTGGCTTATGGGCCACCGTATATACCCCAAAAGGAGTGTAACTCTCCTCAAACGGTTGCGCGCTGCGAGGGTTGAAATGTAATAGACCGCTTGGCCACTCCCTTTTCAGTCGGTGGCAACACTCTGGAGGACAGCAATCGCTTTAATATTGCAGACGATTGTATCAAAGATTAATAAAAACTAAACAAAATAGAAAAGCAAGGCAAAAGTAATAAACAAGAGGTACATAGGCGATGACAACGATCACCTATGATCACCTATGCACAAAACATTTATTTTTCCGCAGTTTGCTACTCGCTAACATGTGGGGTGCGTAACTGCTGCCTGTAAAACACAGGCTTGGAACCAGTGTTACCTCACCGCACTGAGAAAAACAAGATTTAATTATTCCCCGTCCGGTTTGGCCTACCGTTCACACGTATCCAGCGAAAATAGTCACCCAACGCATCTTTTCATCAACGTTCTTAGAAGAGGAGGTTTTTGAAAACGCAGTTTTGCTGTACTCCTGTGGGTGGATGAAAACGTAGGTTTTTGAAAACGATCTCGTCACTGTGTTGAATACCAGTAAATGCGCATGCTCCCATCCAAGGTGGTACCGTTTTCATTCGCTATTGGGTTTTCGTGAGGACGAGTCAAAAGTATTCAAAAACGCGTCGTGTGGACGCGGATTTTTTTGAAGAAGGAGGAAAAATCGTTTTAAAAAAGATGGATTCGTTTGGACACAGCGTTATTTTGGAAGAAATGCAAAATCAGTCCAATCACTCGCACGGAAACAATATTAGTGACGGAAGACTGGAAAACTTAGCGTGTACCTACGATTTAAAAAGGCTGAAAGAAAATCGATCTCTATCCATCTCTTTATCTTTAATTCGGATACTTTTGCCTGTGTAGGTTTAGAAAAAACCTTCCAGCAATCTGCACCAGACTGATCTGGTCACAAGCCACATAAAGTGCATGAAATGTTCAGTCCTCTGCGAACAAGGCTGCGCTAGCAGAACCAAAAACTCAGTATTTTCTAGCCGCAAGTATAGTGACGAAAATTAAGAATTATTCAAGCTTAGAGCATTGTAGTTTCTATGTAAAACACATAAATTTTAATGACCGTTTTGTATGAAATTTCATTCTTTAATTTCTTCACAACTGATTAACTTCATCGTAAGAACAATGCTTTAATTGAGGCTACCCACCCTTGATTTTTCAAATCTTTTTTTTTATTATTCCCGGCAATGACCGTTTTTGTATATGAACTTTTCTAGCTTAAGTTTTCTTTGCCGTATGTCAGTGTCCTCACATTGAAAAAAAAATTGAATTGCAAGGTGATTTCAGGTTTTTGCGTGGCAGTCTTGGTCATTGATGGTTTTGATAGATGAAAGACCATGGAAGTGTACCCGACAAAGTATACCAATTTATTATATGGAGGAGAGTGTTTTACTGGGAACTAACCCACTCGTAGATTCCATACGCCACTTCATCCGGGACCCGAGTGGCGTATTTTCCGTATGTCACCTTTGTGAGAAATGACGTCATTCCCGCCTTCCGTGCTTTCAATTGAAATGGTTTCTCCATATAATAAAAGAACATTACACGTTGGCTCGAAGATATTATGGGTGGCAAACAATATCTCACGAGTGAGCGTTTAAAATTCATAGGGCTGGTACCCAGATCCCCTGTACATCTCTTGTACACAATCCGGCCATGTAAGAACCAACTCAGGATGGGAAATTCACGTTGAAATATAGGGCGACTCTAATTTGGGAAACTATTCCAAAAGAATAGATGTCTCTTAATAGTTTTGCCTTTAAAAGAAACTGTAAAACCTTTCTATTACAAAACCAATGATAGCGAAACAGCTCACAACCCTCTTTTCTTCAGCTTCCTGTCTTCCTTGAACAACGCAGGAATAGTATATTTTTAATATATAATTAGGTAATTTTATTCTCCTTTTTTTAATCATAAATTTTAATATAGCATTTTATCGCACTGTATCAAAAAGTCTAGAAAAAATTCGATATAAACAAGTATTCTCTATACCCTAATTTATTATTAACTCACACTTATATCTTGGACAGTAACCAACACGAAAGCGTCGGCTACTTTGGTCACTGTGGACACATCAACAAACCTGTATATTATATTTACTTTTCATCATTTGTTAACCTAATGATTCTCTAAGCCATCTTATACTGTATCAACTTGAATAGTGCGAAATAAACTTGAACTTGAACTTGTGGGCGATGCTGCTCTCACAGCAACCCTGGTGTTTTCGGTGGAGTTCATGCTTCGTTAGGCTCGATTTCCGCCGTCTCCCGGGTGCGATGAGTGCGGGTTCATTTTCCGAACAGCGGTTGGTAATCGAGCCTAATGCTTCGTTGAATTTCCGCCGGAGTAAACTCGACCGTGACTTGAGCTCAGCTTAAAACTGACACAAGTTAGCAATCGCTGTCACAGTCTTAGTGGACAAGGAAAACTGCAAGTTACATTATTCCCCACTCTTACATTATTCCCCATTCTTCTAGTTTTTCGTATTTCCTTTCGAACCCTTTGTAGTTTCTTTTGCGTTATTATCTTATAGTACTTGTGGTTTTTGCCGCGGATGTACTTGCCTACGTATGATTTACAAATCGTTATCGTTTGTATTAGTTCAAGCATTGTCGAACGTGCTCAGGAAACTTTTTCAGTTCTAGTCAACGTGTCATCGTTAAAAGCCTAGCTGATTTTGAAACACGAAATTTCCCTACATATATAGGCCCCTTCAAAAGGCCCTGTGAAAAATATTAGCCCCGGGGCTTATTTCGGAATTTTACGGTTGTTTGTAACGAGTGGGTTAGTAAATCTTTAGCTACACAAAGTTTCTGTCAAGTGATCGAATTGTCTGGAAGCAATTAAGCGCTATATTTTAACTTCAAAAAGGTACGTATGTCTTCATTTGGAATGATAACTGTGTCCTTTTCAAAGTGTCTTAAATTGCGCAATATATAAAAACTCATGCATTAAGGTCAGCCATGTTGATGAATTGCGTCGAACCCAGAGGATCGGTCTACGAAGCGAGAACTTCGTAAAACTGAACGTGTTTTAGAGCCAAAAGTTCCCAAAATTAATTTCAACTCTACATATTTTGAATACCTTTAATTTTAAGGTATAACAAGGCAGCTTTTAGTCTACATTCCTCGCTTCATCGACCTCGAAGTTTTTCCGTGTACAACATTTACAGCCAAATTCTAGATTTGCTTTGTATCTTCATAGTGAGTGTTTATTCTAATTTTGCCCCCGGAATATTGCTGATAACTATGAAAACTATACGTCAAGCTCCAATGCTAGTAAAAGAAATAAAGAAGCAAGAATCTAAAATAGTGGGAAAAAAAGTAAAAAAATATTGTTTTCCTAGATTGGACTAACCACTTTGTTGCCATGGCTTCTGTTGTACCAGTAAGCCCTTCAACAAAAGAAACAACCAATTATGCCAGGTTATGCCGTGTTCTTGTAGATGTGGGCACTTGTGCCCTCAGGGATTGCTTTGATGCCATCTGCACACCACCAACTCTTCACACGGTCTTGGCAGCCAATCAAGCCACCTTGCATAATTTGAGAACACGGAGGATTATCAATGCAACACAATGGGGAAAACTCTTTCCAGCCATTCCTTCTTCAGTCTCATCAAAGAATTTTGACATCACTCTGCTGACAACTTTGTTACGCAACATATGCGGTCTTATTCCCCCAGTGACTGGATGGGATGTGCTCCCTGCTTCCACAGACATCAGCTGTGAGGCAGACATCGCAAGAATCAAACACCTCAGAAATATTGTTTACGCTCACGCCGAAAGCGCTTCTGTTGATGCTGCAACATTTAACAAACTCTGGAGGGAAATCCGGGACACTCTAGAACGACTAGGAGGAGTTACATATAAGGTAAAATAGACTTCCAATGTTCAGTATGACATGTAGACTGCAAAACAGTAGGTTTTTTTTCTCAAAATCAGTATAGAAATGTTGGCAAGTATGACCTCATTCCAGTTGTTTGAGTTGAACACGCAGTTTCGCAGTCTATATGACATGTTGAGTTGATATCTTTAGTTAACTTATTTCCATTCTAACTAATCTGGCTCATCAATGCAGTAATAAAGTGTAATCATGTCCGATTTAAGGTTGCTGTTGACAACTTGGAAGTTTGCTGCATGGATCCCGATATGGAAGTCCATTACAAAGAACTCCTTCTTCAGTGGAAAAATGATGAAGACAACATAAAAGATGAACTGAAAGACATTGGCGTAGACATAAAAGTAATTGGCACCGAAGTAAAAGAAATTAGCACTGACATAAAAACCCTCACAAAGAAGTTTGATGACTTGTTAGCATCAAATGAGTCTTCCGCCAGGGAAACAGGTGATGTGAAAATACCAAAATATTAGTTGACTGAAAACCTCCCCTGTGCTCGTTATAGACCATACTCACTGGCAGCAAAAATCACTCCAATTTTTATGGTCAAGATTTTGGATTTTAATTCTGTGAACAAAAAGTTATTGTGTGTATGTTTTCTTTGTTCTGTATGCAACATTTTTGTTGTTGAAAATACAATTGCTAAACCATTATGTATTGATTAAGAGCCTAATCAGCCTGAATTGTGAAAAACTAGCCCGGCCTAAAATATAAGAGCCAGTGTTCAGCTTGACTTCGAAAATTCTAGGTTCTTATATGCATGTTATTAACTTGAGCTTGATTTTCTTTTTCATAAGGTAAGGGCCTAGAACTGATGGGAAAACTGGATACCTCTTCGGTGTACAAAGAGAAATTTCATGAGAATGAACTTTTGTCGTCTTTCTGTATACAGTGCAAAGTATGCATTTGCGACAAATGCAAACAAACTCGTCACAATCAACACAACACAGTGTCTATCCATCAAGCCGCAGAACAGCACAAAGTTGATATCGAAGACGTTGTAGAAGAAATGAAAAGAGAAATTGGCCTTTACGAAGAGCAGATGAAAAGCATAGATGAATCCTTGAGAAGAGGCCGATAGAGGATTGCTGCAGCACGCAATGAAGCAATGACGTCTGTTGAGGAACTGATGCGACTTTTACAGGAACATGAAAAGGCTGTGCTAACCAGTTTAGATGTAATTGAGGGGAAGGCACAAAGAGACCATGCAACGCAACGAGAACATTTTCAAATTTCTATGAATCAGTTACAAACACATGTCGATTGGTGCAAGGATATTTTACAGAGAAAGAAAAGTGTTGAAATTTTGCAAGCACATGCTCTAATTGCCCAGTGCCGAGGTGTTCTAAATGCAGAGAAAAAGAACATTTATAAACCATCGCATGTCAGATACGAGATAAATAAAGAGCTTGTGGAGGATGCTAGAAGCGCAGTTTCGTCGATGGGTCAAGTAGTTGTTAGTAACACAGATCCTTTGCAGTCGCTGGCTGAAGGAACAGGTCTGAAGGTAGGCGAAGTTGGACGCGAAGCAAAAATTACCCTGACGACCAACGATTTTGATGGAAACCAATGCTACGATGAAAACGATCGAATAGCTGTGACAGTAAAGACTCCTTCGAGCAAAGGACTTAGCTACGTGATTGAACCCAACAAAAATGGTGAATATAGCGTCAGTTATACCCCTGATTGTGTTGGACAACATGAAGTGCTGATTGCTGTTAACGATGAGCCACTGAATGGTAGTCCTTGGAGCGTTTATGTAACAAATCGTTACAAATATTCATTTTCGATTGGTTTACATGCAAGAGGACAAGGACAATTTTTCCGGCCCATTAGTATTGCAATAGATGATAAATCTGGGAATGTTGCAGTTGCCGATGAAAATAGAGTCCAGATTTATAGTTTAGAAGGCACGTACCTCAGAGATGTTGCTAAAAACGGACTAATTACACCCACGTCGGTAGCATTCACCAAGTCAAGTGAACTCATAGTTGTTTCTTCGTCAAATTTGATCTTTTGTTTTGATCAGAGTTACAGATTTGTGAAAACTATAGCTCTAACCAACAAAGAGCTTAATTCACCACGCCGCCTGACTATTGCAGGTGATGGACGCCTGGTGGTGTGTGATTGGGGTGACCATACAGTCAAGGTACTGTCCTCTGATGGTTCACAGCTATTGCTTACCATCCGTGAATCTGCCAATGCACTTCCAAGGCATGCTATTAGTCATCAGAAGATGATTTTTGTTTCCTGTTATCTGGCAGGTGTTGTCAAGGTATTTAGCGAGAAGGACGGTGTGTTTCTGTACAGTATTGGTGTTTCCAACCTGAGTACTCCTGCTGGTCTTGAAGTTGACAGGTTTGATAACCTGGTGGTATGTGATTGTGATAACGCTAGACTTCAGATATTTACTCTTGACGGAAAATTTCTAAACACAGTAAAAGGACGGCACGATGGGCTTAGTGAGCCTTACTCTATCGCCGTGTCGAGCGCTTCTCAGTTGTTTGTCACTGATTATAGCAAGCACTGTGTGCACGTTTTTCAGTGAAGAAATAATTTTTTTTCATACTAAACATTACAGCAAATTAGGTTTAACAGTGCATTCTGACCGTACTTAAACTGTGCGTTTTTCACGGAATTTCATAACGGGATGGGAGGAGCTTTTAATAAAATTTGATTTTGACCATGCAATTTATATCTTCGTGACGTGTATGTTTAATGTATAAATAAAGACCACTTTACACTCAAACCATTGATACTTTGCAAAATTTGTAATATAAAACTGGGCCATGATAATAATAAAACTTATAAAGCGCCGATATCAATATTGCTATTTTCATCAGCGCTTTATCAGCCATATCGCCAGGTGCGAGGTTCGAGTTGAGTGCTATTACCACCGTGTCAAGTTGCTTCGGCGCTAACCATTTAATTCCGTTATGGAAGTTTTTTAAAGACAAAGTGCATTGTGTTGAAAAGACCCGTCTGAGAATCCCCAATATCACTCGTGCGTAGGCTTTGTTTGACTAGTTTTTCAAACCCTAACCAACTCGTGATACTTAGGGCTGATTCAGGAAATGAGTCTCACTGATGTGTACTCTAAAAACGAAATATGTCTCTAGTGTATGATATTACGTTCCTGTCGCTTCCTCTCTCCTCCATAGAAACTTCTGTCTATGACTGGAAAGAGAGAAAAAAAACGCAGCGGGTGGTGGAGGTGGTGTTGGTGTGTGTGTGTTTGGGGGAGGGGACGGGGGATTAGCAGAGTGGCCTTTTCCTCTCCCCCCTGTTGGTTCCGTTGTTTTTTCTTTGCAGTGTAGCGTCGCTCCTATCACGAATTTGATCTCCCACGGCCATTCTTATACCCAGAAATTCATAATACCACACGACATATGCATTTTATTCGGTGACACATATAAACACCATTATATTCTGATTGTGATTATGATTATGATTATCGTCGTTATCTCTAATAGATCGTTTTCAGTCACGTTGTCAGCAGCTTTGCAAATTGCTTGGAATAAAAGAAAGTTTTAACATGTGAAAAGAGTACAATTCCCACAGGATTTTTTTTTTTGTAATAAAATTCATTGTTTTTACAACAAAACGGTGTGGAGGTTTAATGATCATTCCAGTTTCTTTTCATTCTGGTCTTAAAGAAGTGCAGACCTTTCCTCTTTCAAGTGACTTTTGTAAGTTGTTTGGTATCACTGCTGCCAGACGTCCCACAACGAATGGTCTACTTATTTGTCGTTGCTCTCCTACCAGATTCCCTACTTGATATTCTAGTTTCTATTTCTCTCGCTCTTTACCAATGATGAAGGTTTGTTCTTGTTCTTATCATGGACAGTTCTGACAGTTGCATAAGGTTTAAGGTGATTTATCTCAGGATTGGTTTGTATGATGAAATCCGCAATATTTTCTCTTTTTTTTTCTGAGATATACCTGTGGGACTGTGTTTGTAGATCACTAGCTACTGTATCACACACTTTAGAGACTTGCCAATGTAAAATAGCCTGCGAGAGCAGCCGGTAATTTCGGCTCTTGTTTCACCCGCCGAGAAACTATGGCCGAAAAAACCGGATGCTCTCGCAGGCTAAATGAACAACCAGAGCCAAAGTTTTACATTCTTCTGACATTTTCCACACATGTACAAATAAGTCAGGGTTAAGTTCAGTTAACTTTGCTAATTTTTTGGATCCATTTCGGACAGAATTGCGGTCAGAGTTGCCGCACCTATTTGGTCATTTGCCCGTGTCATTCGCGTCCCTTTGTGAAACACTTATCTCGCTCCCAGGCCTAGGACCTCAAAGGGGAATGTGGTTCCTCTCCTGAGCAATGCTAGACTGTTCACAGTCCACTATTGTTTCGTGAGGTCGTTGAGATATAGCGCGTGTTGTTAATGACCAGAATAACGGCCATCTTGATTTCCAAATGTCCCGAGGGGGCAGGCGTCGGAGATTATAGTTCTAGCGGGAGGGGGTGAGAAAAATATTTTCCTCGCTTTCTCCCAAATAGACCAAAATTCGTTCAATTTATTCAGTTTATTGATTGATTAACAAGAGTTTGCGCATTTATTACATTCTTGTTCAATGTGAAGATCCAAGTAAGGAGTCTGACATCGAAGTTGAGCTTTTTCAATATGTCTATTAAACGCTCCCTCTTGGCTCCTAAAATTAGATAGACGCCCTGAGCGTCTATTAGATCATTTACAATACTTTTGTTCCATCTAAAGCTTGATGGCGGGTGGTGGTTGTGGTTTGTTCTCGTTGCTTTGTCCATTGCCCACGCTGAGTAACTGTTGCACTGTCGTTTTTCCTGACGCAGGTCTAAAGAGTCTGATACTACACAGTCCGCTCTATGATGTATGTACAAAAAATGGAGAGCTCATGCTCCAGTGACCCCAGTAGTTGCTTTGATCTTTAATTCAGATACTTGCCTGTGTGGGTAGGTTTAGATAAAACCTTCCAGCGATCTGGACCAGACTGATCAGGTCACAAGTCACACCAAGTGCATGTCAAGTTCAGTCCTCTGCGAACAAGGCTGCCGAAAGCTCAGCTGATTTTTTAGCTCAAGTGTAGTGACGAAAAGGATCGAATGAAACACTAGGCAAGATTGAGGCGGATTTCTAGATGTATCCGACGCGTACAGTTGATTCTGGGGCGAGGTAAACGCTTTTCAAACTGGCAAAAGTAGTGTCCAGGTCAGCGCGGTCCCATAGCTGACTGTGTCCCTTTAAAGCATTGTAGTTTCTAAGTAAAATACATAATTTGATGACCGTTTTATATGAAATCTCATACTTTTTTCAAATCCTTTCACAACTGATTAAGTTCGTCGTAAGAACAATGCTTTGGTTGAGGCTCTAACCACCCTTAATGTTTCTAATCTGTTTATTCTTTTTGGGCAAAGAACTTTTTTGTATTATGAACTTTTCTAGCTTAAGTTTCCTTTGCTATATGTAAGTGTCCTCACATTAAAAAAAAAAATTGAATTACAAGATGATTTCAGGTTTATGCATGGTAGTCTGGGTAATTAGTATCCGGCAGCAAATATGCAAGCTGCTTTCGCCGCACCCCGGTAGTTTCGGTGGAGTTCATGCTTCGATGAATTTTCGACGGAGGAATCTCGACCGTGACTACAGCTCAGATTAACACTGACACAAGTTAGCAATCGCTACCAGTACTGTGTTAGTGAACAAGGAAAGCTGCATGTTATATACATCATTCCCCAAGGATAATCTGTCGAATGTATGTTACAAATAGTTGCAAGGCTTAGAAATAGTTTGTAACAAGTGGGTTGGTAAATCTTTAGCCACATAAAGTTTTTATCAAGTGATCGAACTGTCTGGAAGCAATTAAGCGCTGTATTTCAACTTCAAAAAAGGTATGTATCTCTTCATTTTGGAATGAATTTGACTGTGTCGTTTTCAAAGAGTGCTGTATTAAACTGTCCAATATATGAAAGCTCTCGCGTTAAGGTCAGCCATGAAAAATATCACGCAGTTGCGTCGCACAGAGGATGAGTTCTATCCAAGAACTTTGTAAGTTATCGAACACACAGGAGGCAAAGACTAGCTGAAAAAGGAGACAATTTTATTTCATGCTTTTTGGTAAACCGTATTTTGGAGCCAACAGTTCTCTCTACATATTTTGAGTACCTTTAGAAAACAGGTATAAAAAGCCAGCTTTTAGTCCGTCATTCCCCGCGCTTCATCGACCTCAAAGTTTTTCCGTGTACAGCGTTGAAAGCCAAATTCTAGTTTTGCTTTATATCATTATCAGTAATGAGTGTTAATTCTAATTTTGCCCTTGCATATTGCTAATAGATAACTATGCAACTTAAATCAGCTTTAGACACCTGTTTAATGAGCCTCTATGAATTCCAGTGATAAATCCGGAGATTCGTGCATATTTAATCCTTGATCAGGAAGAATTAGTTTGCGTCTGGCAATAGGTTTACTATTTATCATAGGTTTCACTTCCTCGTTTCAACATAAGTGACCTTGTACTGCACGCTCTTCGGACATTGTAGGACCTCGGTTTCTTGATAGTAATATCTCTGAACGTAAAAGCCTTTTGATCTTGGCCCTTGCATTTAAAACTCTTGCCTGAGGGAAATTTTTAGATGGAAAACATGACACATCAATAAGTAATACTCATTGATATTCAAATTGGTGGATGTGCATTGGCCTGGAGTGTCAGTATTACCCATATTTTGGCTTATTGAAAAGATAGCAAATACGTAGCGCGACATAGTCCCTTTAAATGACTGCTCGAATACAAGTTATGACCAATCCAAAAGCGTTCATTGTTTAACACGTAGTAGTCAGTAGAAAAGAATGACTTTGTGAATGCCGGGAAAACAAAGGTGCCGCAGTTCTGGCCCCAGAATCTCTACGTGAGTGCACTGACAACCTCACCGTGTTTGTGTTAATTCCATTCACTTATTTGATAACGTTGTCCATAGCTAAGTACAAAAATGCTTAGAGCAACATATAACAGGCCTTATTACCACTGCACTTTATAATTATTAACTATTGTTGAAAGTAAGTAAACCTAGCCTGCGTGCAGACGATAACTAAACTCTGATTAACCAGAGTTTAATTTCGTCTGCGCGCAGGCTAAAGTAAACCTCGCTTAAATATGAAAACTAGAATCGTCAAGCTCCAAAGCTAGTCAAAGAAATAAAAAGGCAAAAATCTAAAGAAGTGGGAAAAAAATAAGTAAAAAAATATTGTTTTCCTAGATTCGACGTGCACGAACCTCTTAGTTGTCATGGCTTTTGTTGCACCAGCAAGCCCAGCAACAAAAGAAACAACCAATTATGCCAGGTTATGCCGTGTTCTTGTAGATGTGGGCACTTGTGCCCTCAGGGATTGCTTTGATGCCATCTGCACACCACCAACTCTTCACGCGGTCTTGGCAGCCAATCAGCCCACCTTGCAAAATTTGAGAACACGGAGGATTATGAATGCAACACAATGGGGAAAACTCTTTCCAGCCATTCCTTCTTCAGTTTCATCAAAGAATTTTGACATCACTCTGATGACAACTTTGTTACGCAACATATGCGGTCTTGTTCCCCCAGTGACTGGATGGGACATGCTCCCTGCTTCCACAGACATCAGCCGTGAGGCAGACATCGCGAGAATCAGACTCCTCAGAAATACAGTTTACGCTCACGCCGAAAGCGCTTCTGTTGATGCTGCAACATTTAACAAACTCTGGAAGGAAATCCGGGACACTCTACAACGACTAGGAGGAGTTACATTTAAGGTAAAATAGACTTCAAATGTTCAGTATGACATATTGAGTTGATATCTTTAGTTATCTTATTTCCACTCTAACTAATCTGCATGCCAATGCAATAATTTTAATGTGTAATCATGTCCGATTTAAGGTCGCTGTTGACAACTTGGAAGTTTGCTGCATGGATCCCGATATGGAAGTCCATTACAAAGAACTCCTTCTTCAGTGGAAAAATGATGAAGACAACATAAAAGATGAACTAAAAGACATTGGCGTAGACATAAAAGTAATTGGCACCGACATAAAAGAAATTAGCACTGACATAAAAACCCTCACTAAGAAGTTTGATGACTTGGTAGAATCAAATGGGTCTTCCGCCAGCGAAACAGGTGATGTGAAAATACCAAAATATTAGTTGACTGAAAACCTCCCCTGTGCCCGTTATAGACTATACTCACTGGCAGCAAAAATAGGACAGAGAATTCCTAGAAGGTAGTTCTCGGCAATTTCCACATTCCAGGGTAGAAGTGCCCACTTTAGACTAAAACGTGTGACAGAGATACTCAGGAGTCTTGCTTTAATGTAAATCTGCCGGCAGATGTACAGTTGTGGACTGCTAAGTCCAGACTCGGATCGTCAACCTGATGCTTAGCCTTAAAAAACGTTGTTTCAAAATGACCGATTGATTTAATATTGTTTTGATTAATCGCTGTAAAACCTGCATGCGCAATTTAGCAAAATGATGGGATTACTTTTTCGGAATTTACTATAATGTCCTCTCAAAAGTGTAGTTTCCGGAGCTCAATTTACAGCAGAAGGAGCCGATAGGTTCCTGACTAACAGGTTAAGAAAGTCCATCTGACCATCTGCATGGGTAACATAAAAACTGCATTGCAATTACAATAGTCCTATACTCAGCATTTCTAACTTGTTACAGAAAAGTATTATATCACGAGTTATGATAAGAACCTGTAAGTATTTCCAACTTACTAGTAAGACTAACTTATCTTCCCTAGAAATATTAACACTGTCTCCATTAGTCTTTTCAGAGATTGGCATTAGCCACTTATTTCATTATCCTCTTTTGCATTAAAGCGATAATGGCTACGACAAGACAAGAGATAAAAATTATGTTCTTCGGCTCCCGTCCCCTCTAGCTGCAGGTCGCGGCTGTGCACATGCGTAGTCTCGAACTGAAATATGAAATGGATTATATTTTGAATTGCGGATAAAGATGTGAACGTGATTATGATCTTCGCAGTAGAGTACAGTAAAAACCGGCATAAGTTATTTAAGCACCTACATTTGAATATCCAAATAGCCTGGCAAAAAAATAGGTTCGTGTACAAAAAAATCACTCCAATTTTGATGGTCAAAATTTTGGATTTTAATTGTGTGAGAAACGTCTGACAAAAAGTTATTGTGTATATGTTTTCTATGTTCTGAATGCAAGCATTTTTGCTGTTCAAAATACAAGTGCTACATCATTATGTGTTAGTAGCATAATATTTTCTGCCAATGGTTACACTACGACAACCTCTGAAAAATAAGAACCTAGTATTAAGAATTGTATTAAGAACCTAATTAGCCTAAAATTTTAGGTTCTTATGTGCATGTTATTAACTTGAGCTTGATTTTGCTTTTTCATAGAACTAGAATTGATGGGAGTACTGGATACCTCTTCGGTGTGCAGAGAGAAATATCATGAGAATGAACTTCTGTCGTCTTTCTGTACACAGTGCAAAGTGTGTATTTGCGACAAATGTAAATTATTTCGTCACAATCAACACAACACAGTGTCTATCCATCAAGCCGCAGAACAACACAAAGTTGATATCGAAGAGATTGTAGAAGAAATGAAAAGAGAAATTGCCGTTTACAAAGAGCTGATGAAAAGAATAGATGAATCCTTGAGAAGAGGCAGACAGAGGATTGCTGCAGCACGCATTAAAGTGATGACGTCTGTTGAGGAACTGATACGACTTTTACAGGAACATGAAAAGGCTGTGATAACCAGTTTAGATGTAATTGAGGGGAAGGCACAGAGAGAGCATGCAACGCAACGAGAACATTTTCAAATTTCTATGAATCAGTTACAAACACATGTCGATTGGTGCAAGGATATTTTACAGAGAAAGAAGAGTGTTGATATTTTGCAAACACATGCTCTAATTGGCCGGTGCCGAGGTGTTCTAAATGAGGAGAAAAAGAACATTTATAAACCATCGCATGTCAGATACGAGATAAATAAAGAGCTTGTGGAGGATGCTAGAAGCGCAGTTTCGTCGATGGGTCAAGTTGTTGTTAGTAACACAGATCCTTTGCAGTCGCTGGCTGAAGGAACGGGTCTGAAGGTAGGAGAAGTTGGACGCGAAGCAAATATTACGCTGACGACCAATGATTTTGATGGAAACCAATACTATGATGAAAACGATCGAATAGGTGTGACAGTTAAGACTCCTTCAAGCAAAGGACTTACCTACATGATTGAACCCGACAAAAATGGTGAATATAGCGTCAGTTATACCCCTGATTGTTTTGGAAAACATGAAGTGCTGATTACTGTTAACGATGAGCTTCTGAATGGTAGTCCTTGGAGCGTTTATGTAACACATCGTCAGTACAAATATTCATTTTCGATTGGTTCACATGCAAGAGGACAAGGACAATTCTTCCGGCCCATTAGTATTGCAATAGATGATAAATCTGGGAATGTTGCAGTTGCTGATGAATATAGAGTCCAGATTTATAGTTTAGAAGGCACGTACCTCAGAGATGTTGGTAAAAACAGACTATCTTCACCGACATCAGTAGCATTCACCAAGTCAAGTGAACTCATAGTTGTTTCTTCGTCAAATTTGATCTTTTGTTTTGATCAGAGTTACAGTTTTGTGAAAACTATAACCAACACACATCTTAAGGCACCATGCCCCCTGACTATTGCAGGTGATGGACGCATGGTGGTGTGTGATTGGGGTGACCATACAGTCAAGGTACTGTCCTCTGATGGTTCACAGCTATTGCTTACCATCCGTGAATCTGCCAATGTACTTCCAAGGCATGCTATTAGTCATCAGAAGATGATTTTTGTTTCCTGTTACCTGGCAGGTGTTGTCAAGGTATTTAGCGAGAAGGATGGTGTGTTTCTGTACAGTATTGGTGTTTCCAACCTGAGTACTGCTGGTGGTCTTGAAGTTGACAGGTTTGATAACCTGGTGGTATGTGATTGTGATAACGCTAGACTTCAGATATTTACTCTTGACGGAAAATTTCTAAACACAGTAAAAGGACGACGGCACGATGGGCTTAGTGAGCCTTATTCTATCGCCGTGTCGAGCGCTTCTCAGTTGTTTGTCACTGATTATAGCAAGCACTGTGTGTACGTTTTTCAATGAAGAAAGAATTTTTTTTCATACTGAACATTACAGTAAATTAGGTTTAACAGTGCATTCTGACCGTACTTAAACTGTGCGTTTTTCACGGAATTTCATAACGGGATGGGAGGAGCTTTTAATAAAATTTGATTTTGACCATGCAATTTATATCTTCGTGACGTGTATGTTTAATGTATAAATAAAGACCACTTTACACTCAAACCATTGATACTTTGCAAAATTTGTAATATAGAACTGGGCCATGATAATAATAAAACTTATAAAGCGCCGATATCAATATTGCTATTTTCATCAGCGCTTTATCAGCCATATCGCCAGGTGCGAGGTTCCAGTTGAGTGCTATTACCACCGTGTCAAGTTGCTTCGGCGCTAGCTATTTAATTCCGTTATGAAAGTTTTTTAAAGACAAAGTGCATTGTGTTACAAAGACCCGTCTGAGAATCCCCAATGTCGCTCGTGCGTAGGCTTTGTTAGACTAGTTTTTCAAACCCTAACCAACTCGTGATACTTATGGCTGATTCAGGAAATGAGTCTCATTGATGTGTACTCTAAAAACGAAATATGTCTCTAGTGTATGATATTACGTTCCTGTCGCTTCCTCTCTCCTCCATAGAAACTTCTTTCTATGACTGGAAAGAGAGAACAAAAGCGCGGAGGGTGGTAGTGTTGGTGTTGGTGTGTGTGTGTTTGAGGGAGGGGACGGGGAATTAGCAGAGTGGCCTTTTCCTCTCCCCCCTGTTGGCTCCGTTGTTTTTTCTTTGTAGTGTGGCGTCGCTCCTATCACAAATTTGATCTCCCGTGACCATTCTTATACCCAGAAATTCACAATACCACACAACATACGCATTTTATACGGTGACACATATAAAGACCATTATGGTATGATTGTGATTATGATTATGATTATTGTCGTTATCTCTAATAGATCGTTTTCAGTCACGTTGTCAACAGCTTCGCAAATTGCTTGGAATAAAAGAAAGGTTTAACATGTGAAAAGAGTACAATTCCCAAAGGGTCTTTTTTGTACACAAATATGGCCGCCGTGACGTCATGTGAAAACGATCTATTCGTGGAGGTATTAATGATCATTTCCCCGCGAACAACAAAATTTCTACTTTCATTCTGGTCTTAAAGAATTGCAGACCCTTGCAAAGTTCTGGCCCTACTTGAAGACCTATTTCTTTCAAGTGACTCAGTTTATAAGTTGTTTGGTATCACTGCTTCCAGACGTCCCACAACGAATGGTACTACTTAGTTTGTCGTTGCTCTCCTAGACAAGCCTAGATACTTCCCTGCAAGGTCTTGATATTCTAGTTTCCTGTTTCTCTCGCTCTTTACCGGCAACTTTCCTATCGCCAGATTCCACTGTGTCTATGATGAAGGTTTGTTCTTGTTCTTATCATGGACAGTTCTGACAGTTGCATAAGGTTTAAGGTGATTTATCTCAGGATTGGTTTGTATGATGAAATCCGCAATATTTTCTCTTCTATATTCTGAGATATACCCGCGGGACTGTGTTCGTAGATCACTAGCTACTGTACCAATCCCTTTACAGAGTTCCCAACGAACAATAGCCTGCGAGAGCATCCGGTGTTTTCGGCTCATGTCTCACCCGCCGAGAAACTAGAGCCGAAAAAACCAGATGCTCTCGCAGGCTAAATGAACAACCAGAGCCAACGTTTTACATTCTTCTGACATCTTCCACAAATGTACAAATAAGTCAGGGTTAAGCTCAGTTAACTCCGTTCATTTTTTTTGATTCATTTCGGACAGAATTGCGGTCAGAGTTGCCGCACCTATTTGGTCATTTGCCCTTGTCATTCGCGTCCCCTTGTGAAACACTTATCTCGTTCCCAGGCCTAGAACCTCAAAGGGGAATGTGGTTCCTCTCCTGAGCAGTGCTAGACTGTTCACAATCCCCTATTTTTTCGTGAGGTTATTGAGACATAGCGCGTCTTACAGTTAATGACTGCCTTCTTGATTTTCAAATATACCGAGGGAACGGGCGTCGGAGATTATACTTTTCTCCATTCCTCCCAAATAGACAGAGTTTACTGATTGATTAACAAGAGTTTGCGCATTTATTACATTCTCTGTTCAATGTCAAGTGCCAAGTAAGGATTCTGACATCGAAGTTGAGCTTTTTCAATACGGAAATCTAAAGAAGTATGAAAGGATGGACCTACAAGAAGGTGTTTATAAACTGTGGTAATATATTTGTATCCTGGGTACCAGAGGTTTTGTCGCGTGTGCGACGGGGAGCTTCGTTTCGTCGGCAGCAGGCCGACACATGTTCGGCCGAAGGCCGAAGACACGAGGAAATCGGAAACCGAAACCGGAAACCGCGCATGAAAAGCCTCTGACACCCAGGGTAATATATTGGTCGAAAGCACATTATTTTTGTGGAGTTTGCTACAGTCAAGAATAAACGCCTCCTATCTATTAAACGCCCCCTCTTGGCTCCTAAAATTAGATAGACGCCCCGAGCTAGCGTCTATTAGATCATTTACAATACTTTTGTTCCATTTGAAGCTTGATGGCAGGTGGTGGTTGCGGTTTGTTCTGGTTGGTTTGTTCATAGCCCACTCTGGGTGGTTCAAGAGTCTGATACTACACAGTCCGCTCTATGATGTAAGTACGCAAAATGGAGAGCTCATGCTCCAATGACCCCAGTAGTTGGTTTGATCTTTAATTCAGATCCTTGCCTGTGTGGGTAGGTTTAGATAAAACCTTCCAGCGATCTGGACCAGACTGATCAGATCACAAGTCACATAAAGTGCATGACAAGTTCAGTCGTATGGGAAGGATGCCGAAAGCTCAGCTGATTTTTTAGCTCAAGTGTAGTGACGAAAAGGATCGAATGAAACACTAGGCAAGATTGAGGCGGATTTCTAGATGCCGTGATCCGACGCGAACAGTTAATTTTGGGGCGAGGTAAACGCTTTTCAAACTGGCAAAAGTAGTGTCCAGGTCAGCGCGGTCCCATAGCTGACTGTGTCCCTTTAAAGCATTGTAGTTTCTAAGTAAAATACATAATTTTGATGACCATTTTATGTGAAATCTCATTCTTTTTTCAAATCCTTTCACAACTGATTAAGTTCGTCGTAAGAACAATGCTTCGGTTGAGGCTCTAACCACCCTTAATTTTTCTAATCTGTTTATTCTTTTTGGGCAAAGAACTTTTTTGTATTATGAACTTTTCTAGCTTAAGTTTCCTTTGCTATATGTAAGTGTCCTCACATTGAAGAAAAAATTGAATTACAAGATGATTTCAGGTTTATGCATGGTAGTCTGGGTAATTAGTATCCGGCAGCAAATATGCAAGCTGCTTTCGCTGCTCCCCGGTAGTTTCGGTGGAGTTCATGCTTCGATGAATTTTCGACGGAGGAATCTCGACCGTGACTACAGCTCAGCTTAACACTGACACAAGTTAGCAATCGCTGCCAGTACTGTGTTAGTGAACAAGGAAAGCTGCATGTTATATACATCATTCCCCAAGGATAATCTGTCGAATGTATGTTACAAATAGTTGCAAGGCTTAGAAATAGTTTGTAACAAGTGGGTTGGTAAATCTTTAGCCACATAAAGTTTCTATCAAGTGATCGAACTGTCTGGAAGCAATTAAGCGCTGTATTTCAACTTCAAAAAAGGTATGTATCTCTTCATTTTGGAATGAATTTGACTGTGTCGTTTTCTAAGAGTGCTGTATTAAACTGTGCAATATATGAAAGCTCTCGCGTTAAGGTCAGCCATGAAAAATATCACGCAGTTCCGTCGCACAGAGGATGAGTTCTATGCAAGAACTTTGTAAGTTACCGAACACACAGGAGGCAAGGACTAGCTGAAAAAGGAGACAATTTTATTTCATGCTTTTTGGTAAACAGTATTTTGGAGCCAACAGTTCTCTCTACATATTTTGAGTACCTTTAGAAAACAGGTATAAAAAGGCAGGTTTTAGTCCGTCATTCCCTGCGCTTCATCGACCTCAAAGTTTTTCCGTGTACAGCATTGAAAGCCAAATTCTAGTTTTGCTTTATATCATTATCAGTAATGAGTGTTAATTCTAATTTTGCCCTTGCATATTGCTAATAGGTAACTATGCAACTTAAATCAGCTTTAGACACCTGCTTAATGAGCCTCTATGAATTCCGGTGATAAATCCGGAGATTCGTGCATATTTAATCCTTGATCAGGAAGAATTAGTTTGCGTCTGGCAATAGGTTTACTATTTATCATAGGTTTCACTTCCTCGTTTCAACATAAGTGACCTTGTACTGCACGCTCTTCGGACATTGTAGGAACTCGGTTTCTTGATAGTAATCATCTCTGAACGTAAAAGCCTTTTGATCTTGGTTCCTTGCATTTAAAACTCTTGCCTGAGGGAAAAAAAAAAACATTGTTTAACACGTAGTAGTCAGTAGAAAAGAATGACTTAATGAATGCCGGGAAAACAAATGTACTGTAGTTCTGGCGCCGGAATCCCCGACTGAGTGCACTGACAACCTCATTGTGTTTATGTTAATTCCATTCACTCATTTGATAACGCGGTTCACAGCTAAGTACAAAAATGCTTAGAACAACATATAACAAAGAAATCTATCGTGCATTATTACCACTGCACTTTATTAACTAAGGTTGAAAATAAGTAAAACTCGCCTAAATATGAAAACTAGAATCGTCAAGCTCCATTGCTAGTGAAAGAAATGAAGAGGAAAAATCTTAAGTAGTGGGAAAAAAATAAGGAAAAAAATTGTTTTCCTAGATTGGACGTGCACTAACCTCTAAGCTGTCATGGCTTTTGTTGTACCAGCAAGCCCATCAACAAAAGAAACAACCAATTATGCCAGGTTATGCCGTGTTCTTGTAGATGTGGGCACTTGTGCCCTCAGGGATTGCTTTGATGCCATCTGCACACCACCAACTCTTCACACGGTCTTGGCAGCCAATCAAGCCACCTTGCATAATTTGAGAACACGGAGGATTATCAATGCAACACAATGGGGAAAACTCTTTCCAGCCATACCTTCTTCAGTCTCATCAAAGTATTTTGACATCACTCTGCTGACAATTTTGTTACGCAATATATGCGGTCTTGTTCCCCCAGTGACTGGATGGGACATGCTCCCTGCTTCCACAGACATCAGCTGTGAGGCAGACATCGCGAGAATCAAACTCCTCAGAAATACAGTTTACGCTCACGCCGAGAGCGCTGCTGTTGATGCTGCAACATTTAACAAGCTCTGGAGGGAAATCCGGGACACTCTAGAACGACTAGGAGGAGCTACATTTAAGGTAAAATAGACTTCAAATATTCAGTATGACATGTTGAGTTGATATCTTTAGTTATCTTATTTTTATTCTAAGTACTCTGCATTGGGGCAATGCAGTAATTTTAATGTGTAATTATGTCCGATTTAAGGTCGCTGTTGACAAATTGGAAGTTTGCTGCATGGATCCCGATATGGAAGTCCATTACAAAGAACTCCTTCTTCAGTGGAAAAATGATGAAGACAACATAAAAGATGAACTAAAAGACATTGGCGTAGACATAAAAGTAATTGGCACCGAAATAAAAGAAATTAGCACTGACATAAAAACCCTCACTAAGAAGTTTGATGACTTAGTAGAATCAAATGGGTCTTCCGCCAAAGAAACAGGTAATGTGAAAATACCAAAATATTAGTTGACTGAAAACCTCCCCTGTGCCCGTTATAGACTATACTCACTGGCAGCAAAAATAGGACAGAGAATTCCTAGAAGGTAGTTCTCGGCAATTTGCACATTCCAGGGTAGAAGTGCCCACTTTAGACTAAAACGTGTGACAGAGATACTCAGGAGTCTTGCTTTAATGTAAATCTGCCGGCAGATGTAGGTACAGTTGTGGACTGCTAAGTCCAGACTCGGATCGTCAACCTGATGCTTAGCCTTAAAAAACGTTGTTTCAAAATGACCGATTGATTTAATATTGTTTTGATTAATCACTGTAAAACCTGCATGCGCAATTTAGCAAAATGGCGGGATTACTTTTTCGGAATTTACTATAATGTCCTCTCAAAAGTGTAGTTTCCGGAGCTCAATTTACAGCAGAAGGAGCCGATAGGTTCCTGACTAACAGGTTAAGCAAGTTCATCTGACCATCTGGGTAACATAAAAATTGCATTGCAATTGCAATAGTCTTATACTCAGCATTTCTGACTTGTTACAGAAAAGTATTATATCACGAGTTATGATAAGAACCTCTAAGTATCTTTAACTTACTAGTAAGACTAACTTATCTTCCCTAGGAATATTAACACTGTCTCTATTAGTCTTTTCAGAGATTGGCATTAGCCACTTATTTCATTATCCTCTTTTGCCTTAAAGCGATAATGGCTACGACAAGGCAAGAGATAAAAATTATGTTCTTCGGCTCCCGTCCCCTCTAGCTGCAGGTCGCAGCTGTGCACATGAGTAGTCTCGAATTGAAATATGAAATGAATTATATTTTGAATTGCGGATAAAGATATGAACGTGATTATAATCTTCGCAGTAGAGTACAGTAAAAACCCGCATAAGTGATTTAAGCACCTACAGGCTAAAATTTGGCATTTAAACACCCAAATAGCCTGGCAAAGAAAAATAGGTTCTTATCAAGAGAGGATGAAGGGGACAGAGGAGGTATTCCTGTTACTCACCCTGTTCCATAGGTAATTCGTCTCGAGTTATTTTTAATACCAGTAGATCCCAAGGGGGATTAGACAACAGCCAATCATATAGCGCGAATGTGTTCCGCGTGGATGACCCTCGCTCAGAGCCACTCGTTCTTCACGAATTGACGCAGAAAAAAATGGCGGAAGACGCGAGGAGCGATATTGCTATTTGCTTTGTCGACGAAAACGACTAAAGAGAGATTTCTGCTAAAGCTGTGTCAGTGAAACGGAAATGTATAGAGAAATGTATAGAGCTAACAGTGCAGCAGGGAAATCCTCATCACACTGAATATTCTCTCAGGATCATTTATAATTTACAGTTTGAAGAGAGCAATTTCTGGTTTGATATTTATTCTTTTATTATTCAATAAAAATAATACTTGGCGTCCTACTTGCCTTATTATACATATGACGGGTTTCAATAGACCGGCGAAATTTCTCGTAATCACTGAGGTCACGACAACTTCGAGTGAAAGTGATTTCACGGGTTGTCAACGAGTCCAGCGATTCCCTTTTCCCAGGTGAGCGCCGACTCATTTCGCTTCAATGTTCAGAAATGCTCTCGATCTCTTTACGCTTTCATTGCCTTTCGCCCGACATGTTTTGCACTGCGTTTAGTCATGCGAAACCTCCACGAAACATCCACGCAGCGCGCGAGGTAACTTCATGCCGGTTCTAAAAATAAGTCGAGACGAATTACCTATGGAATAGGGTGTGTATGGGGGATGCCTTCTCTGTCCCCTTTATCCTCTCTTGGTTCTTATACAAAAAAATCACTCCAAATTTGATGGTCAAAATTTTGGATTCTAATTGCGTGAGAAATAACGTCTGACAAAAAGTTATTGTGTATACGTTTTCTTTGTTCTGTATGCAAGCATTTTTGCTGTTCAAAATACAAGTGCTACACCATTATGTATTAGTAGTATAATATTTTCTGCCAATGGTTACACTACGACAACCTCTGAAAAATAAGAACCTAGCATTAAGAATTGTATTAATAACCTAATTAGCCTAAAATTCTAGGTTCTTATGAGCATGTAATTTTGTTATTAACTTGAACTTGATTTTGCTTTTTCATAGAACTAGAACTGATGAGAATACTGGATACCTCTTCTGTGTGCAGAGAGAAATTTCATGAGAATGAACTTTTGTCGTCTTTCTGTACACAGTGCAAAGCGTGCATTTGCGACAAATGTAAACAAACTCGTCACAAAAAACACAACACAGTTTCTATCGATCAAGCCGCAGAACAACACAAAGTTGATATCGAAGAAATTGTAGAAGAAATGAAAAGAGAAATTGCTGTTTACAAAGAGCAGATGAAAAGAACAAATGAATCCTTTAGAAGAGGCAGACAGAGGATTGCTGCAGCACGCAATGAAGTAATGACGTCTGTTGAGGAACTGATGCGACTTTTACAGGAACATGAAAAGGCTGTGATAACCAGTTTAGATGTACTTGAGGGAAAGGCACAAAGAGAGCATGCAACCCAACGAGAACATTTTCAAATTTCTATGAATCAGTTACAAACACATGCCGATTGGTTCAAGGATATTTTAGAGAGAAAGAAAAGTGTTGAAATTTTGCAAGCACATGCTCTAATTGGCCAGTGCCGAGGTGTTCTAAATGCAGAGAAAAAGACCATTTATAAACCATCGCATGTCAGATACGAGATAAATAAAGAGCTTGTGAAAGATGTGAGAAGCGCAGTTTCGTCGATGGGTCAAGTTGTTGTTAGTAACACAGATCCTTTGCAGTCGCTGGCTGAAGGAATAGGTCTGAAGGTAGGCGAAGTTGGACGCGAAGCAAAAATTACCCTGACGACCAATGATTTTGATGGAAACCAATGCTACGATGAAAACGATCGAATAGCTGTGACAGTTAAGACTCCTTCGAGCAAAGGACTTAGCTACATGATTGAACCCAACAAAAATGGTGAATATAGCGTCAGTTATACCCCTGATTGTGTTGGACAACATGAAGTGCTGATTGCTGTTAACGATGAGCCACTGAATGGTAGTCCTTGGAGCGTTTATGTAACACATCGTTACAAATATTCATTTTCGATTGGTTTACATGCAAGAGAACAAGGACAATTCTTCCGGCCCATTGGTATTGCAATAGATGATAAATCTGGAAATGTTGCAGTTGCTGATGAAAAGAGAGTCCAGATTTATAGTTTAGATGGCACGTACCTCAGAGATGTTGGTAAAAACACACTATCTTCACCGACATCAGTAGCATTCACCAAGTCAAGTGAACTCATAGTTGTTTCTTCAAATACGATCTTTTTTTTTTTTAGGAGTTACAGATTTGTGAAAACTATAACCAACAAACATCTCAATGAACCACGCCGCCTGACTATTGCAGTTGATGGACGCATGGTGGTGTGTGACTGGGGTGACCATACAGTCAAGGTACTGTCCTCTGATGGTTCACAGCTATTGCTTACCATCCGTGAATCTGCCAATAATCTTCCAAGGCATGCTGTTTGTCATCAGAAGATGATATTTGTTTCCTATTACCTGGCAGGTATTGTTAAGGTATTTAGCGAGAAGGATGGTGTGTTTCTGTACAGTATAGGTGTTTCCAACCTGAGTAGTCCTGTTGGTCTTGAAGTTGACAGGTTTGATAACCTGGTGGTATGTGATCGTGATAACGCAAGACTTCAGATATTTACTCTTGACGGAAAATTTCTAAGCTCAGTAGAAGGACAACACAATGGGCTTAGTGAGCCTTATTCTATCGCCGCGTCGAGCGCTTCTCAGTTGTTTGTCACTGATTATAGCAAACACTGTGTGCACGTTTTTCAGTGAAAAAAGAAATTTTTTTTAGTACAAACTGAACATTACAGCAAATTAGGTTTAACAGTGCAATCTGGCCGTGCTTAAACTGAGCGTTTTTCATGGAATTTCATAACGGGATGGAAGGTAGCTTTTGATAAAACTTGATTTTGACCTTTCAATTTATATCTACATAACCTGGATGTACGTATTAAATAAAGACCGCTTTACACTTAAACCATTTACGCTTTACATAACCGGGCCATATAGCCAGGTTCGGTGTGTAAACCATGCTCGGTGCTAGCCTTTTAATTCCGTCATGGAAGTTTTTAAAGACAAGGTGTGTTTCAAAGACCCGCCTGAGAATCCCTAATATCGCACTCATGCGTAGGCTTTGTTTGACTAGTTTGTCAAACCCTACCAACTCGTGATACTTAGGGCCCGATTCAGGAAATGCGTCTGATTGATATGTAATTTAACAACGATATATCAATCTGTTATATGATATTACGTTCCTGTCGCTGCCTCTCTCCTCCACAGAAGCCTTTTTCTGTTACTGAAAAGAGAGAAAAAATGCGCGGAGGGTGGTGGTGGTGGTGTTGGTGTGTGTGTGTGTGTGTGTTTGGGGGAGGGGACGGGGGATTAGCAGAGTGGCCTTTTCCTCTCCCCTATTGGTTCTTCCCATTCTTCTCCTCACTTTGTTTTTGTTTTGCAACATGGTGTCGCTCCTATAGACCGTTAATTTTTCACTCACGTGGCCAGCATCTATGCTAATTTATTGGAATAAAAGAAAGTATTTACAGGAGAAAAGGGTTCAACTCCCAGAGGATTTGCTGGCTACACCAACATGGCCGCCGTTATCTCATACCCAGAAATTCTCAATACCACACAACATATGCATTTTATACGGTGACACATATAAAGACCATTATATTATGATTATGATTATGATTATCGTCGTTATCTCTAATTCGTGGAGGTGTTCATGATCATTTTCCCGGAACAACAAAATTTCTAATTTTTTTCTGGTCTTAAAGAAGTGCAGACTTTTGCAAAGTTCTGTCCCTACTTGAAGACCTATTTTCTGTAAGTGACTCAGTTTATAAATTTTTCGGCATCACTGCTGCCAGACGTCACACAACGAATGATACTACTTAGTATGTCTTTGCTCTAAAAGACAAACCAATATAGTTAAGAGGGTCCACAATAGGTTTGGCGGGATGCGGGATTAGGCTATTTTGCGTGGTGATACTCGGGATGCGAGCTGAAAACAGGAGCGGGATGTGGGAATTTTAATACCTTATTCTCCTTAATTTTCGCGGGTTCTTAAATTCGCGATTTTCGCGATTTTAAAAAATTGCGACCATCATTAGTTTTAGTCATATTATGGCTTAAATACAGGCGTTTAGTACTTGATTGTAAGACTCCCTGAAGAAGTCTACGTTAGTTAGACGAAACGCGTAGGAGAATAAACAAGTTTTACAGCAACAGTTCGCAGAGTGCTGCTCACTAGTTTAGTTTTAAAAATTTTAAAAATTGTCACATCACTAAAGGGTGGGAAAAGGCTGGCATCGCCCAACTATTAGATGAATCGTTTAGTCTTCCCCCTGAGGATCCATTTCAAGAGACTGAAGGTTCTGTTGAGATCTCCTAGAAAGGACATGTAACGATACTCTCAATACTCGATGACGACTCGGAAGAACAAGAGGACTTTTTTTATTACTGTAAGACTGAGTTTTAGAGGAATACGGCTGCTGCTAAGGGACAGCATATTGGTTTTGTTTCAACTGTTGATTAACGTACAATTTTTGTAAAAAAGAAAAAATAAAGTCACTTAATCGTCAATTTCGCGAACTTAAATTCCCTGCAAACACAATTTTTCTCCGCGATCGCGAAATTAAAGACTCACGAAATGTGCCGAGAAAATTTTCGCGAAATTTAAGTCCCGCGAAAATAAAGGAGAATAAGGTAACCAGCGGGAGCGGGATCATGGAGACGAGATGCGAGAATCGTAAGGGACAAATTTCGGGATACGGGAATTTAGTTTTGTCTTGACTAATAATTTATTGAAGTTATGAATATATGAAAATCATATATGTGAACTGTGGAGTGAAGAATTAAATGAAAGATGATCATCGCAGTTATATATGCAACTTTTGCAGTTGCGAAAAGAAAACCTGACAAAAATTTAGGCTTGTACGGATTCGAACCCTTGACCTCTGCGATATCGGTGTAAGCAAACAAGCCAACTGGGAGCCGTGGACTACACAGGATGGAGAAGCAAACTTCCTGCTTGGAAGGGTTGGAAACTAGCAGCTACGCAGTTGAATCATCGTGAGACGGACAGATAACATCAATCTACCTATGTCCAAAAATACAGGACTTAAAATATCAAAGTATACATACACCATGAGCAGACGAAAAAATTAGCAAAACAGAAAATAAAGTTACGGTCGCTAATTGTGATGTTGAGAACCTTAACTTGACCATCAAAACTGACAATTGTTAGAAGGTAGGTCTTATATATAACGTCTATTTTAATAATCAAGCAAAAAATCTCGTAAAAAAATGGGACGGGATCGGGATTCGGGCGTAAAATAGGGCGGGATGGCGGGATTGAGAAGAAAAAAAGGCGGGAAAGCGGGATTTGAGAGCCCCTGTTGTGGACCCTCAGTTAACTATTCCTTTTAAGGTCTTGATATTACATTTTCCTGTTGTTCTCGCTCTTTATTTCCAACATTCCTATCGCCAGATACCACGGTGTCTACGACGAAGACTTGTTCTTATCATGGACAGTTCTGACAGTTACATAATGCGGGTATCAGCGGCCATCCCGAGGGGTCGACCCCTGGGCACCCTAGGGCATTTGTCAAAACAGCTCTGACAAATGCTTTTTAAAGCCCCTGGGGAAGAGCTTTTTGACAAATGTCCGCACCCCTAGGGCAGTGCTGTATTCCAGCAAGCAGTTTTCACAAACCGAACAAGAACGTTATATTGTTGGTTTTCACATGACGTCACCAAAATTCAAACTACAAAACTATCGATCCTACCAAGATTTTACATTGACGATATATTAGAGCAACTGAAAACTAATTTTCATACAAATTTTCGCTTTAAAAGGGTTCTTGGTTTGTGATAGAGTCCGCTTAAATTTTTAAGCTTTTGCGTGACGCGGCATTTACATGACGGCTAAGAGAGCTGCCATGTAGGTTAAAACGCGTTTCTGTGTTTTCAAAGTTACATTGTTAGGGATATATCGCTGACTGAGATATATCGCTGGCTCGTTACTTTTGGGAGTGTTCGCTGAGACATATCGCTGGCTCGTTACTTTTGGGAGTGTTCGCTGAGATATATCGCTGGTTCAGAAATTTGAAGTAGGGAGCAACAACTGTAACCATGTAAATATTGATTCGATTAGTTTGCACAGGGAATGGTTTAATGCGACTATATTTACCACTTATCAATAAATGAGATCCCTGTCTATTGCAAAATATTGTTACAGTATTTATCCTAGCGATGACAAAGCTTGGTCGACGTAGAACTGTGTACACTACGACAAAGCAAAAATCTTAACTTATTTTTCCCACTCCCTACAGGAAACTTCGTCAAATATTTTCCGACAAACAATTTAAACTCATTAGGAGGAAGTCTATCACTGCTTTGACTTATGAAGCAACAAAAGAAAATATTTTCAAATAACCTTTGCCACGCAATATTTACGTTAGCGAGGTGCGCAAATTCTCAACTGTTCAAAATGCGGGATTCCCTAACATTTTGTCTTTTCACATTATTCATTAGACGTTGATGTAGAATTTTTATGTTTTTCTCCTTGGTATTCTTAGCTACTTTGGGTTCTTGTTGCTAAGAAATATCTTATTATTATGTAATCGATCTGAACACGTGAGAAAAACTGGGTAACTTGACAGCCTAAGGGCCTGTTTACATGGAGGTGGGGGACCCCAGGTAGGTGAGGTAACCTGCTTATGTGGGGTAAAAACGTAACCCTCCTTTACATGCAATCTTACAACCCCGCTATCCCGGGGTGCACTTTCCCAAGATTATTGAATGGTCGCTAGGCACGTAAACAAGAAAAATGCTGGCAAACCACGTGTTTTGGCGATTAATGCACTTCTACACTCCCTTGTTGCTCTTGCTGCAACCTTCAGTACAATGGCTTTCTATTGTTCACTTTAATAATGATGCAAAGCCACCGCCAAAGTGAAATTTGCGCGAATTTGATGTATCACGAATCCGACCCCGGCCAGGCGGGTTACCCCACCTTGAAACGTTTACATGGCAAAATTTGACCCCGGCTGAGAGGGTAACCCGGTCTGGCAGACCCGGCTACCCGCCTTAGCGGGTCACCCCACCTATCATGTAAACGTGATCAAATTAAAATGAGAGATTGTATGGACAGGCGGGTTACCCCACCTAAGCGAGTTACCTCACCTACCTGGGGTCCCTCACCTCCATGTAAACAGGCCCTAAGACCCTCATCTACTGTTCTGGAGTTTTAATTACATGTGACCTTTGCTTCAACGCAGTCATTCGTTCTAACACACTCGCCATGCGAACAAATTACTTTTTCCCTCCCCCTCCCCTTGCCCTTTCCTCTTTCCTTATTTGCATTAAACCATTGCTAGGGCGTTTTTATGCCCTCACCTTTACTGGACATAATTGTTTACCTTTGTGATTTAGAAGAATATTGAAATAATTCAAAGAAAATTAATTATTCATTAAATAGGCTTAGGGCCAAATATTAATTCGATTAGTTTTGGAACGGAATAGTTAATGCCACTATATTTGCTTCTTATCAATAAATGAGATCCCTGTGTATTGATAAAAATTGTTACAGTATTCATCGTAACGATGACAAAGCTTAGTCGCTGTTGAACTGTGTACACTACGACAAAACAAAAATCTTAACTTTGTTAAACTTGCATGCGCGAAACTTGGTTTGTACGTTTCAATACCTTACAATTCGCACTCGCTACAGGAAACTTCGTCAAATATTGGCCGACAAATAATTAAGACTCATTACAAGAAAGTCTATCACTGCTTTAACTAATGAAAAACCAAAAAAGACTGTTTCACATAACCTTTGTCCCGCAATATTTACGTTAGCGACATGCGAAACGGCTCTCAACTGTTCAAAATCAGGGATTCCCTAACATTTTCTCTTTTCACATTATTCATTACACCTTGTTTTCATCTCTAAAGAATATTTGCAATAAAAAAGATTTTCATGTCGCCCGACAAACTTGTTGATGAAAACGACCCTTCCACGTGGGTTGCCAAGACAAAAGTGGCCCCGGTAAAATTCACGAACTGATTCTTGTTTCAGGGAATTTTGCTATCTAAACAGTTCACGTATTAGAAAAAGTATTACTTTAAGGTGGCTCCGTAATTAATACAAGAGCATTTAGCTGTGACAAATTTTCCGTCATAACTTTTTCGATTTTAACGCGATGGCTGCGAAACTTTGCAAAGAACAACATATATCATTCGGCAATAATACGAAATATTCCGATTTCATTGATGGTAAATATTTCTTGAGAAATTAGCGCTTAAAAGGACCCTAATGTTCAAAGAAAATCGCGTCTAGTAAAAAATTTTGCTGATATTTTTTACTGAAATTTCTAGTATCGGCTTTAATTGATATAATAAATATGCCAGAGGAATTTCAGAAAAATCGTTTGGAGCAGAAGTCCGTAACTAAAAGTCGCTCAAAATTCAGCTGTGAAATTGTTTTGGAATTTCAAAAAATAAATTACTATCAGGAAGAAGGAGACACCAGTTTGAATTTTCTGGACAAGTAAATTCAATGTTTGCTAATTCTGAAAACAAAAGCCGATTGCCTATCGTGCTATTCTTTAAAGGTACTTTTCAGTTTTAGAAGCACTATAAATTGCTCCAAACCTTGCTCTGAAGTAGAATGACTTGTTCCTCGACATTTTAAAATATCCCTTAGCAGTTTTGGTTCAAACTCCTGCTACATACATTTTGATGTATTGCAATGCATCCTCAACGGCTTTTCTTGCTGTACGTTGTTTCCAATTCAGGAAAAAGGTATTGGGATTGTAAGCTACCTTGTATCGAAGCTCAGATAGAACTGTCCAGCACCTTTGTTTATGACCAGAAAATGAGCACGTGCGGCAGCTCTGCGAGAATTCGCACCTCAGCCAGGGGACGAATGATAATGATACCCATGTCTGAGAACCGATCTGTATAAACATGTATTGCAGAGCAAAACATAATAATCAAGAAAAAATACCCATTCATTGAAGGAAGGAGTGACAAAAATTTCAGAGTTGTAAATTTATTCACGGGCAGTATTTTTGCGATAATTTTATTTTGCACTGTGATGTTATTCGGTTCACAGGCATGGCCATCATTGTCGTTCGTCCCCCCTAGGTGAGGTGCGAATTCCTCGCAGAACTGCTGCTCGTGCTCATTTTGTAGTCATAAACAAAGGTGCTGGACAGTTCTATCTGAGCTCTGATACGAGGTAGCGTCCAATCTCAATACTTTTTTCCTGAGTTGGAAGCAACGAACAGCAGTAAAAGTCGTTGAAAATGAATTGCAATACATCAAAATGTATGCAGCAGGAGTTTGAGCCAAAACTGCAAAGGGATATTTTAAAAATGTCGAAGAACAAGTCATTCTACTTCAGAGAAAGGTTTGGAGCAATTTATGGTGCTTCTAAAACTGAAAAGTACCTTTTAAAGAATAGCACGATAGGCAATCGGCTTTTGTTTTAAGAATTAGCAAACGTTGAATTTACCTGTCCCGAAAATTCAAACTGGTGGCTCCTTCTACCTGATAGTAATTTATTTTTGAAATTCCAAAACAATTTCACAGCTGAATTTTGAGCGACTTTTAGTTACGGACTTCTGCTCCAACGATTTTTCTGAAATTCCTCTGGCATATTTATTATATCAATTAAAGCCGATACCAGAAATTTCAGTAAAAAATATCAGCAAATTTTTTTACTAGACGCGATTTTCTTTGAACAGTAGGGTCCTTTTAAGCGCTAATTTCTCAAGAAATATTTACCATCAATGAAATCGGAATATTTCGTATTATTGCCGAATGATATATGTTGTTCTTTGCAAAGTTTCGCAGCCATCGCGTTAAGAACCAAAAAGTTATGACGGAAAATTTGTCACAGCAAATGCTCTTGTATTAATTACGGAGCCACCTTAATGTTTATGAGTTTCTCGAAGAATGAATTCCCGCTTTTTTTCCCGCAGATGATTTTATAGCAGATTATTTCTGTGGGACTGTGTTCTTAGGTCACTTGCTACTGTATCATACACTTTACAGACTTTCCAATGTACAATAGCCCGCGAGAGCATCCGGTTTTTTCGGCTCTTGTTTCACCCGCCGAGAAACTAGAGCCGAAAAAACCGGATGCTCTCGCAGGCTAAATGAACAACGAGAGCCAACGTTTTACATTCTTCTGACATTTTCTACACATGTACAAATAAGTCAGGGTTAAGTTCAGTTAACTTTGCTCATTTTTTTATCCGTTTCGGACAGAACTGTGAAGAATGCTTGCAAGTGATCAGAGGTCACAAAGGTACCTCAGCCGCATTCTTGCCTTGGTTGCCTACTTGAGTGCTCACGTACGTTGTTGAAGAGCTCACCCAAATTTCTTTATTTCAAGGTTAATCACTTTGTTATAGTTACTCAACCTCATCATCCTCAGCACTTTTCTCCCAGATAGTCGGAGGGGTGGATAAATCTAAGAAAAAAAGCCCTGGGTGCCCTGTGTTCAGCTCTCAAGCACACGTACCAACTCTTGTCCATGGCTGCCATAGCCTGCGCGCAGACGAAACTAAACTCTGGTTAGCTAACCAAGGTTTAGTTTCGTCTGCCCGCAGGCTATGGCTGCCACTGCCAGGTGATATGGTTGTGCACATGCGTAAGGTACTGGCCATCGCCGCGGAGACTGCTAAGTTGGTACCGTGAACAGGGCTGAAATTGGTATTGACCCTTTGTACAGCCGCCCTCTCCCCTCATACTAGGGCGAGCGTAGTACGTGAGGAAAAAATGTTTGAATGCAGAGGTCCACGCAACGCGTAAATATAACTGACTGGCACCTCTTGCCGGATCTCTAATTAAAGAGATGCCGTAGCCGGACGTCACTTAAAGTATATTATAGGCCTATAATAAATCAGCCCTTTGCCGTAGTGCCAGCCCTACATTCAGTTTTTGTTTTATTTTGTGGTGAGTGAGGGTTCACGGTTAGGTAGTTTAAGTGAGCCTGGCTGACTAACGCGCCGATGCCTCATAGCGGTGATCATGATGTGTGTTTATTGTGTAGTGGAGACAATATAATTGATCTTTTACTTAAATTAGCCCGTAACACTACTCTCGGGCCAAAAAAGTTAGTTGCATGATCAGTAAATGACAGTTTTGTGCTGCAAAATTAGCCAAAAGTATGCTAGCAGTGCTTGTTTTGTGAAATAGACGAAAATTATGCTCGTGATGTCTAATTATGCCAAAAATGATGCTAGCACAATTTATCAAAGCCTAATTTAACTACTCATTGATGTTAAATTTTCAATTGGCTCCTTCGGGCAAATACAGCCTGTAAAAACAGCCGTTTCTCACCCCTCTCCTCGCCGCTTGGGACGTTTTCCCAGAAGTAAACAACGTCTCTCCTTGAGAAACGTCCCGCAAGCGGCGGAGAGTGAGGAGAAACGGCTGATTTCGTAGGTTAGCATAAAAGACTGATTGTAATTGACTGAAGTAAGGGAAAAAAATCATTCCTATCACTCTCTCTCTCAAAAAAGATCTCGTTTGCGTCTGTCACGATACGGGATGATACGGAATACGCGTAATTTTGTGTTCTTTTTTTCACGTTTTGCAAAAACAGTGGAATCCAGCAAAACGATCTTTGATTTTCTCGCAACGGATTTCTCGGAATGGACCGGAGTAAATTCACGGAGGAGTTTTGCAGTATGTGCAGGCCTTCTGAGTACACGTCCTGCAACTCGAACCCCCAACCCCTCCAGTTCAAGCTGTTACACCTGCGCGTTCACCTACAGCCCTGCAATACCCAACGGTAAACTCACGATGCATCCCGTAGGAACAAATTTAAAAGTGGGGGAGAAGCGTATGTAAATAGCAGTACCAGAGGCTGGAGACTCATACTTTCAGATAGGTCTAGGCACCTCATTAAGTGTCGTCTAGGGCCCTCATGATGCGCAACGCTCCTCCCAGGTAAAAAAGGGGATAGAACTTGAGATCGGAGAAGCTCTTATTTAAGTGCGCGATGTCACGCGCGTTAATCGTGACGGTGCGCAATGCATCGCTCTTGCCACGTCGCTTGGAACACGTTTACTGCGCATACTCAAAGACATCTGCATTTCGTGGCTGCAAATCGGGTACATCTTTTATCGATATAGTCAAAAAATTAAGTTCCCTCACGCTTATCAGAAGCCACTTGAAAATCGCCAGTGAAGCTTATTTTTAAAGGGATCAGAAAACATTTGTTAAATGTTTGTTAGGTGATGTCTGGAGCAAGGTTACCACCGAGTAATGCGTTCTCGGTTGGTCAACAGCAACCATACCTCAACCACGACGCCGGAAACCATTTTCTTCCTTCGCCGAACCATGGTGCATTTGTGCAGCAAGAGAAAAAAGGAATAGGCCAGGAAGCTCATAATACAGCTAGTTTGAACAGTCAATCTCAGAGAATATCTCAAGAGGTGAATCCGACCATGAGAGGTGAGGAAATTCGTAATGACAGATTGGGTTACAAGCAAATTATGTCACCCTCTCGTCAAGATGTTAATTTCAGCCTTGATTTTTGTTATGTATTCTTTCCATTTCACCTTCGAAGACAGAGAAATATTCGGAAATTTTATCCAACTAGAGAATCGCAGTTAAATTGATTTCGTGGGACTTTCTCATTTATTATGGCGTCATCGGTTTATGATAGCAGGTTTCTCGCTGTCGTGGTATCGACGTACTTGTACCGGTATTTTTTTCCTCCTGTGTTTACCTTGTATAATTTAAGCTTACAACTCTGAATTATTCAAGTCAGCGTATAGTTTTGCAAGTGTAAACTGTGGCTTAAGCTGGCGTAATATACCAGGTTTGTTCAGCCAAACAAGCTTTGTTGCGGGAAGTCTTCTGCTCGTAAAATACATGTAAAAATACACTTTGAAAACGAGACTTTAATTTCCAGATTGCTCATTCTTAAAAGTTTGTACAGTGCACTGTAATTTATCATCAATGGTAATGTATCGTTAAAATTTACTGTTTGTTTGGTTTTCACTTATTTGAACTAAATTAGTATAGACATTAATGTGCTAAGTTTGCAGTTATAGAACCAATTTCACCTATTTGGAGAACAACTACAAGTACGAGATTTGACTTTACGTTTTTTCACGTCTACTGAAAAACTAAACACCTCGGAAAGCTTCACCATACTTTTTTCACCAGAAAAGTTAGCACTGTTATCTTTATTGAAGGAGGTTAAGCCCTCTACTGGTCACAAAATGACAAAACCTTTAACATTTGATAACTTGTTTCCAACACCACGTCTTTCTCGCAAAAACATGTACTAGAATAACAATGGTTATCATATTTTCCAGCCAAAATGATGCTGCTTCATGTGCGTGCGCCGCTGATTATTGAGAAAATCCCGTACTCGTAGTTGTACTTGTTTTAGAATCTAGAGCTCTCTAATAATGCTAGTTGATGGTACATGTACAGCAGAATCCCAATTTCTCAAACCTGTTGGTTTTTGGTGTTCCCGATGATTTGAACCATCTTATAACTTCCCTTGAGCAGTCAAACACTGTAATTTTACCCCCAATTTTTCAAACCCCTTGATAATTTGAACCAATTTACCTTTCCCAGGGTGCTTTGAAAATTTAGGATTCCACTGTAATTTCAACTAGCACAACCTTTAGGCCATCAGCTGTCATAGACTATCATCAACTACCACACACTTTGACCACTTTCAGGGTTGTCACTAAGATTTCAAGTTGCCGGGTAAATACAACAAGTAGGCGGGGAATCAAATATATAGGGATTTCTTTTGGTTCTATTTTTCTTCTATTTTCCAATAAAAGTAGCCGGGGGCCACTCTCTTAGTAGCCGGGGAAAATCCCCGGCCCCCGGCTCTTAATGACAACCCTGACTTTTCAGTTTGTCATGGTGGCTGGTACTTTTTCGTTCCGTATTCTCATTATAGTGACTGTTTTTAGCTAGCTGTTTCTGCTTTGAGTTGACTGGCTCAAACTTTGTTAGCAATCAACTTCAAGGTTGTTGATTGTCCCTAAGACCAAAACAATAAAAGGTCTTTTCAAGTGACCAGGAAAGTTTCATTTGATGGAAGCATCCCTTCTTCTGGTTCCTAGCTACTACTGAATCAAGGACTAAAAGTACATCTATAATACACTGCCATGAAAATGAATATCACAAGTCATGATAATAAATTATAGTTAATGATAGCTTAACCTCTTATCAGCAAAGAACTACAACTGTATCATGACTATTTGGCTTGGCTAGCTGTGAAACAGGGGTACACTTCTTGACCATCTGGCTCTTGAACTTTTGTAGAAATCCTGAGCTTGCGCATGTGTGTTGGCTTTGCATTGCTGATGAGATCTAACATACATGTATCTTTGGTTGCTAACACTCAGGCTCACATTGCTACACGTATATTGTCCAGTATTTCAAGAAGTAATGCCAGCTATATTATGAACATACTCATTGTGAACATTTTCAGAATCTAAAACAATGGCTATATTTGTAAATTACACTCGTAAAAGTTTTTTTAAAAAATTGACGACAACAGTAGTTTCTACCCAAGCCTTACCCAGGGCTGTCACTAAGATTTCAAGTTGCCAGGTAAATACAACAAGTAGGCTAGGCAGGGAATCAAACAGTTAGGGATTTCTTTTGGTTCTATTTTTCTTCTATTTTCCTATGAAAGTAGCTGGAGGCCATGTGCAGAGTAGCCAGGGGAAATCCCTGGCCCCCGGATCTTATTGACAGCCCTGCATACCTTCTCTTTTGACATGCAGATGGACCTTTGGACATCAGAAAAGTAGTTCTGTATTTCGTGGCTATTTCAAAAGACAGTAAATTATAATAAATTATGAATAATTGTGACCTATTTGGGCAACAAAGCAACTGCTCCTAATTTAACATGTCTGTGTAAAGTGGGTGTCTAGTGCCTTGGGTTCGACTGCTTACGCATGATGGCACTAGAGATGATCTTTGTCTTCTTTTGAACTGATCCAATTTCCTTTGATTCTCAGGATACCCAGGCTCACCACCAACTGGACAACAACAGCAGCAGCGCATGTACCAAGCTGCACCTCCTCAGTCGATGAATAACTCCTCCCTTAATCCATCTCCATCAGCCACACCACCAAGGCGAAGTCCAGTCAATCAACAATCTGGTGAGTAAACACAGATCTTTTTATATGTACTTGTTTGTGTAAAGCATGTCTTTCTGTAAACCAGCTCTTCACAAAGACAGTATTGTCACCTTCTTCAATGTAGATGCGAAAGGGCAGAGCCCTTTACAGAAGGGCCTGTTCTATAGTGGTAGCGATTGTGTAAACTTTGGCATTTTTGGGACCAGAAAAACTATCTGTGTTAGGGAGGTGGCAGTGTTATAGATGTGTCCTTCAGGGTATTAAAGGATATTACGTTCTGCCATAGCGAATAATCATAAAGAGCTATATAAAGGTTGGAGAGGTTCCCTTTTTTGTGTCCCTTTTGAGTTTTGAAATTTTGTACAATCAAAAATTATATGTGCAAAATGTTTGATTTTTTCAGGTTAGAGGTCGGTCATCATTTTGAATGAAAAACTTACAACGTTCCATCTGTTACGTTGAATTTTGTAAAACGTGTTAAATACTCCAATTTTTTCATTCACCTATTCTTTCTTACCTTGCTTAAATTATAATGATGTTTTTGTCATTATTTTGCCACAATTTCTGTTGTTTTAGGGCTTTCTGGTTTCCCCTCAGCGGCTGCCCGACCTCCTGCATCTCAAGCAGTTGTTAATGGTCCAGTTACAGGGTTCACACCATCACCTCAGGGACATCATCAAATGGAGCTGCGGTCTACTGCAAATACAAACCCATCAACTTTTCCAACACAGGCTTCTCAGAGACTTTCAGCACCATTGTCACCTGGGGCTGCGCTAGTAAATGGGCTCTCCTCACAAGCTCCTGTCAGTAAGTTTGTTTCCCCACCCACAAGTAACGTTCAGGCTGGGTCAGCGTTTACTCCTGTAACATCCTCTTATCCCAACCAACCATTGCCTCATTCGTCGTCTGGATCAACCCTCCCAGGTCAACAACAGCCTGGATTTCCTGTACAGGGACAGACAAACATGCATCAGGGTCAACTTGGGCAGACAACAAGTTACACAGGACAAGCTAGAGGTTTACCTTTAGACACAGCTGGTCTGTCTCCTCAGGGAAACCAAACATTTGCGCCTCAAGAAACCCAATCATTTTCAGCTCTTCATTCTAACAAACCCAAGAGGCCTGTGATGCCAGGCAACTCAGGAACAGGTTATCCTGGACAACGTGGTAGCCCATCTCCAAGGTCCACTCCCCCTCCCCCTGTAGGTCCACCTGGTTCATTGGTGTCCCAGGGATCAACTCCACCTCCTCCATCAAATTTACCAGTATCCACCATGCCTCAAACCTCTTACAGTGGTCTAGCATCAGGTTATCCCCCAGTGGGACAAGACTCTCAAGCTGGGACAAGGCCTATATCTTCACAACGAAGAATGTATCCTGCTCAGGTATACCTTAAATAAGGGTGTAATGATTCATATTCCTTGCAATTTAATTTGATGTTGCTTTTTTCCTTTCAATTTCAATTTGATCTTGTAAATGTTTCTCATTAATTTCTTATAACATAATGCGTAATGTAAACAACATGCAACCTAAACCCTCAATTAGAGAATAGTAACAGGGACAGGAGGATTCACGGTCACTTGGTTATTTGTCGCCATGTTTGAAAACCAGACAAAGAGCATGTTGCCCATGGTTTGCCTTATTTGGAAATTCTCAAGGGGTGGTTGAAGGACAGCATTTTTTACCAGGCAACACAAAATGGCACACAAACTGCAATCATCTTTGCATGTTTATCAGAAAGACACATTTTAAAGTGATCTGGATTCTGATTTTACCATATAATAACTCACCAGGGGCACTCTGGAAAAGGTATGCAAAAATTGAACCAAAATTGAAACGTGTAAGCAAAGAATAGTGAATCGAACCGAAAGGTCATAATTGCGGTTAATTGAGGATTTGATTAATCATTACACCACTAACCTTAAATTAAAAAAAAAGAGATTATTAATACAACAGAGCCTTTTCACATGTGGTGAGAAGTTATGCAAATTTATTGGAACAAAAGAAAGTTTTTACATAAGAAAAAGGTTTAACTCCCAAGGATTGGTTTGGAACACCAACGTGGCTTCCATTTCATTGTTTTGGGACAACAATATGGTGTCACGTGAAAACCCTCTATACTAACTTGAACACTTCAAGATGTAACTCCAAGTTTGAGGAAAGAGGCTAAAATAATAGAATGATGTAAGTTGACACATGGAAAAGAAAAATGAAAGAGAGCATAGTACAAGTACAAGTACATACAAATAACAAAATTTCTTAGTTTTCTAATACCAAATGTGTCATTATTTTAAAAGCCTTTTTGATATAGTGATTATTTTTCCTCCTAGTCTGTACCACCCTCCATGCCTGGTATTCCAGCTGGAATGATGAACGTTCCTGGTCAAACAAGCCAGACTTATCCTGGACAGATGCCTGCTATGGCTCAGCAACCTACTGTAAGTGCTTTTTGAATAAAATGCACTTTATTGAATGTAAATGTATTTAACATGAAAGTACTAACTGGGGACACTAGTTTTGTCTCCAGCCAGAGACAGGACCACCATTTTATGTGGTCATCTGAGCCATGCGAAGGTCTAAGCTGCTTGCAGGACAAAGAAAGTACCTTCATTTCTCAGAGATTTTAGTATTTGTCTGGCCCGGGGAATCAAACCTGTGACCTCCTGCTCTGCAGTAAAGCTCTCTACTGACTGAGCTAATCCTGCCGTGGTATATCAGGGGCAAAAAACAGAAAGTGTTTTAAGACAGGAATGTTTAATTGACCATTAACTTTATATCAGTTAAGCCTTAAGCGGTCAGTTTCCTGGGTCCCTTGGGACAAAATTGTATATAAATCACTGAAAAAAAGAACCTTATTAGGCAGTCACTTCTCCCCTCCATGAGGTCATGGTTGGCGGCTTAATGGAGGGTTTTACCGTTATTTTTTGTATCTGCCTGGAAAGTCATTCTCACAGATAACTTAGGGTACACCACAAGCGTAGAAACTTGATTTTGAAAAATTCAAAGTACTTGCCAAACATTCACAATCATAACTGTTATTCAGTGAACATACATGTTATCAAAACTCTGCACAATGGTCATGAATTCAAATCATTTGATAGACAGAAGAGTGAACACGCAGTTTTACTTCGTGCATGTAACTTAGAAATTCTATAAGATTATGAATGTTTCAAGCTTCTCTTAATTATAATAATGTATTTGAAGTATGTGGTTGAGTAGGTCTGCAGGACTTGGCTGATCCACTTCGATAATACTCTGACAGAGTTTTTAAGCACTGTATGTTGCAAGATCCAGCTTTTATTCATGCTGATTTTGGTAACACTCTTATGAACTTTACAATTTGATTGGGTATTATTGACGTTGTAATTGCTTTATTTGTTCCCCAACAGATTTCACAAACTGGTATCCTAAAGAATGGGTTTTTTTAAATTGACTGTGACGTGTTTTTATAGAGTGTTTCATGAAATTATTTTAATGACTTTGTTTTCAGGGTCCAAGCCTCTCTCAGTTTCCTTCATCTGGTGGAATGGGTTTGGAAGGCCCCATGGGACGACTTACAGTCCAGGTACAGTGAATACTCTGCAATAATAGTGCTTTATTATCAAAGATAATCAGATCAGTGTTATCAGCAAATTCTAAAACTCAAGTGAAAAATCATATATTGCAGCATGTACAATGAACTGCACCACACTAAAATACAATGTCCATGAATTTTTAATTAACATTCATTTGATTGATCACACTGTCTTTTAATAAATATAGGATTTCATTCACAGTGACATGCTATTCAAGGTCAGAAATTGCATGCTACTTTTGGTTTGATTTGTTTGTTTGTTTGATTTTTCACATTGTAACAGTCATCTGTCATTCAACCTATCAATCTTCTGGAACAGAGACATGTCCTTCCCACAACCCCAATTGAACACCCAACACCTAACTTACCACAGGTAAGTGGATGGTTCTTTCTACCTGCCTAAGTTTTTAACTGCATATTGTTGATAAAGAGCAGGGCCAGAATCAGTGCAATGTTAAAGTTATTACAAGGTATTGTCTTTATTAATAATACTGTGAGAGTATTAAGACAAGACAAGACAAGACGAGACAAAAGAAGACATTTGTTATCATAATATTGCAAGTTCCATTTCTTGGCACACAGTTAGCAAAAAAACGCTGGACGAGGCGTGCCTAATTAATTCTATTACAAATCAGATATCACAGATAATAAGTAAAAAGCAAAGAAAAAGAAAAGAAGAAACATGTGTAATAAATTCAAAAGCAAGAAAGACAAATCTGTTTAATGCAACCTGTGAAAGAAGCTAAGGTTTAGGATTTCGTGATTTTATTTCTCGTGTTATCATGGTTTCATCAAGGTAATAATCTTTGTCTTTTAATATTTCAGTAATAGTACACTAATAATAAATTGTACTGTTAACAGCAGTTTTTCAAGCTCAATGGTTATGCTTTTCAAAGTCGCCTTTTGGTGATCTAAAATTACATGTATAGGGTTGTTACTGGATTTTTTTTTTTGTCTGAAAAAAGACAAATGTTAGTTAAGAAGGTTTGTGTGTGCAGACATGTCTTTCTTGACTGTATCGCGGGTTTGCATATCTGTCTTGAATTCTCCCAACATCTTCTCATGTTTATATCAGGCTATGCAAACACAGTTCTAAAAGGTTTTATATGTAGAAAATAAAACAGTCAAGAGGGATGTCTTTTTATTAGTAACAATCTTAATCTATTGTTAATGAAGTTGTCATTGTATTTGTTAGTTGGTTTGGTTTCTTTTATGTAATTCTTCTATACTTCCTCTTTTCTTTTCAGGATATTCGTAAGAAGAACTGTGACGCAAGGTAATATTCATTTTTTTCTTTTGATTGCACTTACTTCTCATGTTGTTATTGAAACCAAGTGATAGGAGTTTGCTGTCAATAACAAATACACTGTCTTCAGAGCTTTCTTTAACCTTTACTTACTTTTGTGTTTTGCTTTTTTGGTGACCTGGTAATGGTAGATGCGAAACTTTTTATTTGAGACACATCAATATTATTAGGGTGTGCCTTGTCTAACATAGTTCGAGATCAAACCAGGGCATCTGTATTCAAAAGCCCCTGATTTACCCTCATTCAACATGACCTTTCCTAGGCTGGGTGTTTGGACATAATAGCACTTCTTTATTATTAAAAGTACAACTGGTCAATCTGCCTTGCTGCAATGAATTGTCACTAAGGACTCATCTATTCACTGTACACGTACTTATGACATTTTGGTCTGTTGTTTAGACTGTGACTCATTCTTTTTTTTGTTTCTTTGTTTGATTTTATAGTGTACTTTGCTGTACATTGAATGCTGTTCCTGAAACCAAAAGCCTTTTAACAAAATCTAAGCTGCCATTAGGAATTCATCTTCATCCGTTTAAGGATTTGCAGGTCAGTTCCACAGTGAAAGGAATGCTATGAATTGTAACAACAAATGAAGTTATACTTTTTGCTAATATGTGAAGAGTTTCACAAGCAAACGGTAACTTGTTTTGATAAAGTTCCTTCAGAATCTTTTAATTTGTTTGATTACAACAACCTATGAAATTAAAAAAAAAACATATTTAACTTCCTGAGGGAAATAATGCATTTTCATAATTATAACGAGGTGGCATGGCTTAGTGGTTAGTGCAGTGGGCTTGTAATGCACCTATCAATGTAACGCCGGCAGGGGGGAGGCAGAGCATAGGGTGGGGATTTGACTTTTTTCAAAAATTTTCAATCAAATTCCCTGCCCACGGGCAAATTATTCCAGTCAAATGCAACCAAATTTCCCCACCCCAGGCTGCACATTGCTGTCCATCCCAAGGCAGAACCTAAGAAAGGCACAATAAAAATATCTCTGAATAAAACTCTGCAATCTTTTATAAACGTTGCTGCATCACCAAAGATACATGTTCCTGTTACAGCTGCAATTATACGTTTTAACCATAATCCGTGTTACACTGCGTAGAATACATAAACCTTTAGGAGAAAGTCCACATTTTGTAAGTCTAAATGTACCGTTCTTAGTAAAGGGTACAAAGAAAGTCAGTTTTATAAGTTTACAGGGATTGTAGCGAATGAGCCATACACTAATCAATTGTACTTGCAAAAATCGACTCGGTTTCTCTTTACTTCCGCTTGCTTTGATACCACAGTATATTAAGAGGTTCAATTGATCAAAAACACGCTAAAACAAACGAAATTTGAAGACAAAACAGTGAAATCCATTCAGCCTTCACTTGCTCTCATTGGCCTCCATGACTTCCTGATCTTTTCAAACCGTATGATGCATGCGTGAAGCGTGGAAGCGGGAAACGTATGTTCGGTCTAAGTCTTTTTCGTCCGAGTCGGCAGTCAAATATCTCCACGTCGGGCGAAGAAAGATTCAAATATCCCATCCCCCGGGAGAATAAGATAAGTCAAATGCCCTACCCCAGGGACAACAAAGACAATCAAATCCCCACCCTATGCCCTGCTCCCCCCCCCCCCCCCCCACCTGCTTTTCATTGATAGGTGCATAATTCAGAGGCCCTGAGGTTAAAAGGTTTAAGTCCCATCCTGACTGCCAGCTGGATTTGTTCTCTGGTAGTCCTGAGTTCAAATCCTTGGCTATGCTTGTAAATAGCCAACTGGTTTGCCTCTGGCCAGTTGGGAATCTTAATCATTTTATGTTCCATTTAACCCATTCGCTCCTGGAGATTTTGCCCAAAAACGCGTTTTGAAGCTAGTCGAGTGGTTTTCTGGTCACTGTCGTGCCATAAAGAGCTAAAACTTACCACAAACCGGTTTACAGGTGGTACACTTGGCGGCCTTCTGATCCAGATGCAAAATATCAGCTTGCGAAGTTCGGGCATGCGCAGAAAGCAAAATTTCGAGATAGTTTTTGGGTTTAAAAGTGACACAGCAGTCTTGACTTTTACTTTTCGCTTTCTCTCCTCCCTTCTTTTTTCGCTTTTCTTGCCTCATTTTTTTTTTCTCTTGCTGGGCATTTAGTAGGCTTCATTTTGGGGGAAAGAGTTTTGAGGAAAGCTTTTAGGATCTTAGGATTAGGTGAAAGGAAAGGTAGGTGGGTAATGGAACAAGATTTTCATGGAGATTTTCAGGTCCTTGTCACGTGGTTTTTTGCTTCTTTCTCCGGTGTCCTTGACTGAATTGTGCTCATTCTGGTATGGTTTGAAAGAACTCTTCACTCTGCACAAGTTAGCGAAGAAAGTTGTCCTTGACCGTTAAAACTGATGACGTCACAAAGGGTAGAAAGGAACTGGATCCGCACGGGCAGTTCCGGGCGGTTCAGGGGCGAATGGGTTAAATAATTGTTTCATTATCCCTGAAAAGCCCTAAGAGGAGAGAGGTAAAGTATTATTATTATTGTTTTTATTATTATTATTATTATTATTATTATTATTATTATTATTATTATGACATAACTCAAACTGTGATTTAAATAAATACAAAATTGGCTCACCTGTCTGTGTACTTGTGAATGTACAGTGTACATGCATATCTGTTATAGGTTAAAATTATATTCAGGTTAAGAATTTTCAACCTAGTTCAGTTCTCATTTTTTTTAATCTCCTAGCCCTACTTCATGAATAAATTATAAGGATTAGAAGACATGTTGCATTTGGAACATATTAGAAGTCTTAATGTTGTGTTTCCACAGAATCTTCCAGTTATACATTCCTCTGTTATAACAAGATGCCGTTCCTGTAGAACCTATATAAATCCTTTTGTGACTTTCACGGATTCCAGAAGATGGAGATGCCCGATGTGTTTTAGAGTAAATGAAGGTATGTCATTGCAAGACCTATCTTATCCCTTGAACATCTTGAATGGAGCAGTACATACTGCAAGTTCCTCTGTTTGATCTTATATTATTATGATATCAAACAAATGACCTGAAAAAAAGAAAAAAAAACGTGTTGCCATGTGTACAGTGAATTCCCTATCCTAGCAGACAAGAGCAAATACCTTTTTGTTTTTGCACTGTAAATCCAAGAACAGATTCTTGGATAGTAAGCTTTATAATGTGGTTAGTAAAATTGTTTATCTGCAAATCCTTTGGGTTAGTAACTGTTATCTAAAAACTTGAATTTAAGACCTGCTTTCTGTATAATTATTATTGTTTTGTAGTTCCAGAGGAATTCTGTTTTGATCCTACAACAAGGCAGTATGGAGATCCATCCAAAAGACCTGAAGTTAGGACTGCAACTGTAGAGTTTATAGCACCTTCAGAATATATGGTAAGCAGATAAAATCTAGTCCCTGAGACTACTGCCCACTGAGTATGTCATTTGTAAATGAAACCAAAATACTTTTTTACCGTAATGTATGACGAGCTATCATTTCCTTTGCCTGGGATATTTTTTGAGGACACTTGAAAATACAGCTGTATTTCCCATTATTACATATAATCCAAAATAATAGAACTTTTATATCATATGTGCTGTGTGCACCCCCCCCCCACCCTCTCTATGAAGGGCATACATTCTAGCTCCCAACTTGGTAAAGTAAGGCCACATTAAGTTTATTTTCAAGCCTGGATACAATTAAAAATTAATATTTGGCTTTTCAAGAGGTTTGACAGACTAATCACTGAATACTATTTTTTTTAATGTGTTGTGTTTGTTTTCAGCTGCGTCCCCCTCAGCCAGCGGTCTTCCTGTTTGTTTTGGATGTTTCTTTCAATGCTTTAGAGACAGGTACATTCATGGTTCTCAGCAGTCAATAGCACTGATATTGGGCTATGACAACTTACTTTTTACCATACTATGCTAACTAAACAGTATGTTTTTGTTGATTAATCTTTTTCTCTCTGTGAATTGGAATGCGTAAAAAACAGGGTACAGTGTATCTGATTGTTCTGAATTCACAGCCTATCAAATTTTCTTTTAAATGTTTTGAAAAGGACATTATTAATACGAGTTAAAAGACCCTGGTGGTTATGTGGAAAAAATGCAGAAGCAGAAATTTAACCTACAACTTTTTTGTAAAATATTTATTATTAATAATTGAAACTCAATATGGACATTACATGAATAAAGAAAGGCATTGATCCATTCTAGACTGTTTTAGGGGGTGTTTTATGTTGTAGTTAATTTTTTATCTCAGGTAATTTTCATATTTCTTCTTTTTTCAACTTCATTAGCATACATTACTATACCACAAAACAAAAGAAAAACAAAAATAATTACCTGAGATAAAAAGTTAACTACAACATCTGTCTTGCAGAGACCACCGGGAGACCACTACTTTACTATTTACTGCTTATGTTTTTCAGGTTACCTAAATATGTTTTGTAAATTACTAAAAGACAACCTGGATAAAATGCCAGGGGACCTGAGAACACAGATTGGATTTATAACATTTAATAGCACAGTTCACTTTTATAGCCTAAAGGTAGGTGACTTCCACATAACTGGCTTATGCTAATTATGTTAGATTCTTCCATATTGGAAGTCCTTTTCCTCTCCCTGTGCTAATCAAGACAATGAACTCATCCATTTATTTCCTCTTCCTATTTTTGCAGTCTAAACTTAGCCAACCTCAAATGCATATCGTATCAGATTTAGAAGGTATGGGCTTGCGTCATTTTGTTTACATGATACAGGTAGTGCTAGTTCGTGTATTTATTTGTAAAAGCCAAAGCATCGATGTTACATCTCCTTATTATATTTTCAGATGTTTTTCTACCTTCCCCGGATGATTTGCTTGTCAATTTAAATGAAAGCAAAGAGGTGAGCAGGACTCTACTTTAAAATGCAATGTTTATCAAAGTATCTATTAGCTACTTAACTCAGTCACAAAGAAATTCATGTGAGTTTACTGTGATGTTGAATTGGTCAGCGGTATGTAACTTACTGGTAGTATCAAACTTCTAAGTTCATGATATTTGGCACAGTATATAGGCAAGCAGCGATATTCCACTTAATCAGTGATGGTTTGGAATGTATACATTATGCACGTGCAAACAAATGCACTTGGATAGGACGGCATTTGAAAGAAATGGTTCTCTGGGATAACATCACATGGTCTGAAATGGGAAAACAAAATATACAAGCTAAAAGCGTCTATTAGTACAAACATTTTTATCTTGCATCTCTGCACATAGTACTTGTTATTGGTACTACTTTAACAAATCATTTTATGGGATTCTAAATGAGCATTTCCATCACAAACACAATAAAGCTGTTTGTGATTGAAGGAGATGATTAGTACTGTACACAGAGTGAAATGTTGACACAGTCTCTCAATTTGGCTGTCAAATACTTCTCTCCTGCAACTGCCACGTAAGATGTGAAGAAGTTTTAAAATTATTGCCTTTCAACAAAATCAAAGGCTCTTACTCAGGGATTAACAGACACACTCAGATCCTGATTGGGAAAGTAGTTACTACTTTCCCAATCAGGATCTGAGTGTGTTTGTAATAATATTTTTTATCTTGTTTTTCAGCTAGTATTACAGCTACTAGACTCTCTTCCAACATTGTTCAGCAAGAATCCAAATGTGCACAGTGCCACAGGGGCAGCCATGCAGGCAGCACTAAAGTTAATTGTAAGTAGCCACATCCTTCTCTTACACATAGGCAATTGTAAATACAGTGGAAACTCTATTAACAAACCTTTATATAACAAAGTCCTGGGTATAAAGAACAATGTATACTCCGAGCCGCTGTAGTAGTAAAATATATGGAAAAGAACGTCAATACAACAAAACTTATATAGTGATTCCACTGTGGTCTGGTATTTGCCATGTACATTGTAGATTATAGTAAAAAGAGAAACCTGCCATTGGGAGGATAAATGGCTCTTATAACGACATGCAATGCTTGGGGCTAAGAGAGAGGTTATTTCATGGAGGTATCAAGGTCACAGGTAAATCAGGTGTCGCTAATTTTTTCTTCGTGAAAATGTATTATTTTTCTTTGCTTTTTTAAAAATATCATACACTATTACGCCCAAAAAGAAAAAAAAATGATAAAAATTGAATAGGTTATTTGCACTATGGTACCACTTAACTACTGTGCCACGATCAGAATCCTCTTTGTTATTCCTTTCATATTTAAATTTGGTAATCCCAGTGAGGTTTGAATAACATTAGCACTAATCTGCACAAGAAAGGAAAACCCTGAAGGATTCTGGTCAAAGTAGTAAAATGACATCGTCATCGTGCAAATGCCCTATTAAGGATATGTTTGAACCACAACAGACATAATAATATAAGAAGGCTTATGTTTTTTTAGCTATTGTGATAAGTTAATGTTTTTGTTTTTTTTCTCATATGTGAAGGGTCCTATTGGTGGCCGTGTGACAGTGTTTCAGACAACTCTTCCTAATATTGGTCCAGGGGAGTTAAAAAAGAGAGAAGATGGACAGAAATCCAGCCCAAAGGTTGGTTACCAAGTAATATGCATGTTCCACGAGACAAAGTCTCTCAATGGTTACAAGACAAATTATAGTCTCTGACCTTAGGACTCTCAGCTGCCAACAGACAAGTCAACTTGTGCTCTGCAGTTATGTTACATGACGTACACTGTATGCCATAATCTTATTGTGGCACTCCAACAGCTGCAGCTGATTCTAAATCAACAGGGTTTTTTTTTTTAGCAAGATGTTGTGTGACTTTGCAGGGTTGGCATTATGGACTAGTGTCTGGGGATTTCCCCTGGCTACCAAGAACATGACCCCAGCTATTTTCATAGGAAAGCTGTTTAGTTCCCGTCCCGGCAACTTAGAAACTAAGTCATAGCTCTACTTTGAATTGAGGCTTTTTAACCCATTCGCTCCTGGGAACGCGTTTTGAAGCTAGTCGAGTGGTCACTGTCTGGCTATAAAAAGCGAAACCTTGCACAAAGCCGTTTACAGGACGTACACGTCGCGGCCTTCTGATCGGCATCCAGATGAAGAAAGTAAAATTTCTCTCCTCCCCTTTTCTTTCGCTTTTCTTGTCTCGCTTTTTTTTCTTTTGCTGGGCATTTACACTGTAGTAGGCTTCAGTTTGGAGAGGAAAGTTTCTGGGAAAGCTTTTAGGATCTTATGATTAGATTACAGGAAAGGTTGGTGAGTAGTGTAACACGATTTTCATGGGAATTTTCGGGTCATCGTTACGCGTTTTTTTTCTTTTTTTTTTGCTTTTTTCTCTGACCTCCTTTACTGAATCGTGCTCATTCTGGTATGGTTTAAAAGATCTGACTTAGACTGCAAGTAGTCTCCCATTTTCCCTCAGGGATAGTAGAGCGAGCGAAACGCGAGCGCGCGTGAAAATCACCCCACGCGAGAAAAGGCGACACGCGGCGGGAAGAGAGAAAACTGAGGCCTTTTCTCGCGTGGGGTGATTTTCACGCGCGCTTGCGTTTCGCTCGCTCTACTATCCCTGAGGAAAAATGGGGGACTACTCGTAGTCTAGATCTGACTCTACACCCCGTACAAGTTGACCGTTTAAACTGATGACTTCATAAACGGTAGAGTGGACGTGGATCCGCACGGGCGGTTCAGGGATACTCGAATTGTGGACAAGCTCCATAGCGCATGGCATTTTTTGGAGTCATGTTTAACCGCAACTTTCTCTAAGTAAAAACTTGATTAATTTATGTAAATTTATACCTAATGAAGAAACATTTTCGCTTACTTCGCGTACGTAGGATGTTCAGAATCTGACACCAGCAACAGATTTCTACAAGAAGTTTGCCTTGGACTGTGCTGCGGAGCAAGTAGCTGTTGACCTGTTTTTGTTGTCAGGACAATATGCTGACATTGCAACATTAAGTGAGTATTCTGGTAAAGGATAAATACCTCTGTGTCGTGGTGTCTTAATCTCTCAGGCTTCACAAAGCAGTTGCTACACATTATTGAAATGTCCTTTGTTTTAATCTTTCAGTGTGTGCCTCTAAATATTCTGGTGGATCAGTGATGTATTACCCAGATTTCCATGCGGCCAGGAACCCAGCAGCAGCAGAAAAATTTGAAAATGAATTTGTGTAAGTAGTGATAATTTTTAAAGGTTAATGCTGTATTCCTATTAAATCTTAGGAAGATTCCTTTAAAAAGATATTCTTCCTTCCTTCTTTCTACAATAATATACTTATAGTTTACTCAAGCAAAAAATAAAATCGTGTAATGCTAAAGCGCGACGAGAACGAAAACTCCAAAATAAAGGGAAAAAAAGGTCTCATTAGCAAAAAACAGCACACTTTTTTGTACATTTCTTTGCTGTTGTTTTGCCCGACTAAAACGTGAAACTTCCTAGTTACACGTTTTACAAAGGAAATGTCGTATTTTTGAAGTGTCTGTTTGCCTTTTTTTTAATCTTGGTGGCCACAGCGCTAGCGTTTCTCGTTTTCTCACCGCCGCTATAAAATTTTCATGTTTTTCTTTCAACGAACTTCGTATCCCTTGATTTTTTTATGTTATGCTTTAGCTCTTTCTCTGTTAGTCACGTTAGTGTAGTAGTACTTAAGGTGACATTTGACATCGGCTTACATGCAGTGGGTGGACGAACGTACGGATGGTCACGTGATTGTGCGGTTGTTGAAACGTTGGATCGCGCTATCCACTGTATCTAATACAGGGTCCGAAATTAACTTTTTAATACAGGCGCCAACTGGCGATTAAGTATAAATTTTTGGTCGCCAGAGGGCAAATTGTCGTCGCCAAAAATTCCCCCTCCCTTTTTTCAGATAAAAGTTTAAACACGAATAAAAAATGTATGGTATGGACGTTTTTATGCTCAGTAAATTGCACTACTTCCGCTCCCGATACCAGAAAGCAACCGTAATTGTACGAGTGACGTCTTATTTTTTCCACAAATCGCTTTTTGGAGATATAAAGCTATTTGACCTAGAACGTAGGAACAGAAACCTGTCTGCTCATGACTGTACTGATCATCAAAACTCTATTTTCTTCTGATAACTACCACGAAACACGTAACATAAACACGAGTCAAGCCGCCATGTTGCTCGTACCGGGCCACAACTTTGCCACATCCACAAAGTACATAACGTACTTACCGTATTACAGCTGAAAACAACATGGCGGCATGGAAACGTTCAACTTGTATTGATCGTAGCTGTTGTGGAGGTATTATTACAGGAAGATTCGTTTCACTTTTAATTTAAAAAATATCAGCAGGAAAAAAAGTAAGACACCTGTTGGCAAATAGCTTCAATGTTTCAATTCTTAATCAGTTTCTCCAAACGTTAAAGTCCACAATAACAACCAGCTTTACAAGTCGCTAGCTGGCAACCAGCTATGAAATTCTGGTCGCCAGGACTAAATTTTTAGCGACAAGGAAGGCGCAATTTCGGACCCTGATCTAGTCTAGCGGATAAGTATTAGGGAAACCAATTGTGTTATCCACTGGATATAGTTTCATGTGGTTAGCTCTATCCAGCTTTCGAACAACTGGACTCAGGAGGTTAGGCTCCTCTGGTCACCCACGACAACAGGGGTGAACGTTAATCTAATTTTTTGCTTTATCATTTGCAGTCGTTATCTAACAAGGAAGATTGGATTTGAAGCTGTCATGAGGGTCAGGTGTACTAAAGGTAAATTGCAAGTAAAGTTTATGCTTAAACTCTTCGCACCCTGATATTTTGTTTTACCTAAAGACTTAGCATTTCAACGTTGTCTTTCCCTCCCCTTTTTCTGTCAACAGGTCTTTCTATTCACACGTTTCATGGCAACTTCTTTGTACGCTCAACGGACCTAGTTTCCTTGCCAAATGTCAGCCCTGATAGTGGATTCAGTATGCAGATTGATATTGAAGACTCATTAACAGACTCTAATATCGCAGTGTTTCAGTCTGCACTTCTTTATACAAGCACTAAAGGTAATGTTGCATCAAACAAACCGATTGCAGTTGTACCTTCTCTTTGCACCCCAGGCTCGATTTCCGCTGCTCTCTGGGGCCTACTTGAGAAGAGACTGTTCTGAAAAGAAGCGCGGACTCATTTCCTGGATGAGCCTATTTGCACCCTTAACCACTCTCTTTACTTCATGTCGTAAGTGAAACTTTTACTTCAAGGTGTTAGTTGAGTTACCTCGGGTACCGGCGGTTGTTTCTCGTGTGCGGGATGCTTCGATGTCGGCTGCAGGCGACAGAACTTCGGTCGAAGGTCGAAGCCACGAGCAGTGAAGCTTTTCGTTGGGACACTAGAAAGACTTTACTCAAAACGGAAACCGTGTGTAAAAGTCGAGTAAAGCAGTGAATAAAATGCAGTCCCTTGGTAAGTTAAGGGCTAATTTTGTTTGCAGGTGAGCGGCGTATCAGAGTGCACACACTGGCCTTACCTATCACTAACAAGCTGGCCGATATATATGCCACAGCTGATGTTCAAGCCATTGCTACACTCTTGGCTAAAATGGGTGAGTGTACTTAATAGTTAAACGAAAGGATCTGTTGGTTTGCACAAATCAGCTGGAGTTTTGCCCTCTCTTTTGAAATTAAGCTAAACTAACGCAATGCGGCACCATTCAGGAGCTAATTCATTTTTATGTGCCAGTGATGGGGTATTGCAAGAGAGTCCATCGAAAGTTTTGTGTTTGTGTTTGGTAAATTACCGTCAGCCATCTTTATATCTCTCTCATCAGTTCCCAAACTTGCCAGTTATCACTTAATTTAATTGTTTTCTGACGCACTGGATCGCTTTTCTTGTTATCATTGTTACACTTTGGGTTAAGGAGGTAGAAGTAAGAATATGACCACAAAAAGCGCTGCTTATACCATTTGGATGCGGAATTGAACATGCTTCCCAACGTTTTTCACCAAATCACTAAGAACTCACTAAAAATAACAAGACAAATTCTCAAAACGCGTAGCGACTACCTTTAAAAATCTAGCCTTTTTCCTGTATCTACCTCAAATGCCTCGGGGAATTGTCCTTACTTTTTTTCTTGGTTCATTTATCATTGATTAATAAATTTGTTTTGTACCTCACTGACTGTTACAATGTTTTTTTTCTTGTTCCGCAGCTGTTGACAGAACACTGAGTTCCTCGTTAGGCGATGCAAGAGAGGTTAGTGCTACATAAATAGAACGCTTTTTATTCATTAGTGGCGTAGATCAAACTCAGTAATTAAGTTTGTAAACAATTGAATTCTCACGGCAAGCTAATGAAAGAAACGCTGAAGAATCTTCATGAGAACAGTCACTCGGTGGCTGGTTCGACCGCGAGCGAGCCACATACTCCGAACGAAAATGTAAAATGATGCAAATTAATGATAAACTGGGCCGAGTTGTTCAAAGCAGGATTAATATAACCCAAGGTTAGTGCGAAATTTGAATTCAGATATGAAAGCTTAAAAAGCAAATTCAGTTTTACTCTTTTAGCCTACAATTTGATGATTGGATGCCCTAAAAAGAATAGAGAAAATTATCCTGGAAAATGCTTTTGAACAAAAGAAAAAGAAACCCAATCGGCCTTCGAACAACTGGGCCCTGGAGGAGATATTAGGATGGAGAGAGGAAAAATATTTTTTCTTTGCCCTCGTTCCACACGGCTTCTCTGCTCGCCTCTCACGCGTGCTTTTAATCTACTGTCGTTTATGACTGTAAAAAAATATAAAACACTGCTCGCACCCTAGTAGTCGGGAGAATTTCATCTGTAATTCTGATACAGGTATGCAGAACGACCTTGCACAGTATTACAAACAGGATCACAAATATAAATATTTAAAGCAGCTTGAACTGCGTATTAAACAGTATAACAGGAAAGTTTGGGAAATAAGATTTAGTGCTTGAAGTTTTAAGCACACTGACAGATAACTTATCAAGATCCCTGTTGACAATGAACTATTTCACGTTGTTTGTTAGGCTCTGATGAATGCTTGTATAGACACTCTTGGCGTGTACCGTACATCAGTGGCAAATCAACCTCAAAGCAGTGGATTGCTAGCTCCTCATTCCCTCAGATTACTGCCTCTCTTTATACTGGCCATCATGAAACATGTATGTTTTTGAACAGATATGTGTGTTTGTTTGTTTGTTTTCTAATGAAAGCATCATCTTATTGCGTCATGTATGTAGTGGGAGAAATCAGAAGCAACACGGTGTTGCTTCTGTGGAGCTACGTTACCGTTTCATTTAGCCCAGCAGTTTTCCAGCGTGTAGTTTGTAAGCCATAGTAATCTTCTCCATTCTAAAGTATTCTATGAGTAAAGTAATATTTTGAGGTCAGTTTCCTTCTATTTCCAGAAACGTCCGAGTCAGAGAAGCGAGTTTAATGACATTGATCAAAATTCAAACCATTCAAGTTTCTAAAAATCTTACTTCTTCCTTATGCTTAGTAACAAGGATGCAAAGACAAAAGAAGTGCTGACTTCTAGTTATCTTAACCGTTGTTGTTGATATGGAAAAGTTACCCTTTCGAAGTTTTTATTGAACGTCGATAACCGCCAAAATAGGAAACAAAGATACTTGTGCTCTCTTTTGTAGTTTTCTATTCTCATTGACATTTCTACCTTGCCATTGTCAATCCATGCCAATCGAATTAGGTCGTTCAAATTTGTTGAATCTCTCATATCTGGTTTTAATTTCCGTCCTGACATTTTGTTTATGCTGTTTGATTCTTTCAGGTGGCCTTTCGTCTTGGTTCCAGCAGCCGCTTGGATGAGCGGTGCTTTGCGATGCAACAGTTCAAAGTGATGCCTCTTAGCCTGGCCATGCTGTCTGTTTATCCCAAAATGTACCCAATTCACGACTTGTCAGATGAGGTGAGCATTGCCATCATGCCAGCCCACCAAAGCATTTTGAGGGGTGGGGGACGAAGAAGGAGACAGTATTTGCTATATCATCAAGTAAATCATTCAAAATTAGGTTAAGTGACTGGGTTACAGTGTGAGAGACAGATAAAGAGAGGAAAGCCTCCATACAGCCCACCCCAGGCAAACTTCTTCCGTTTGCATCACTTTTTTCTTTTATATGCCCTGGATTCCATAATTAGCTATGGTCTAAACGAGTGGGGGAGTGGTACGACTTACGACCGCAAAGGCCCAAGAGATCGTTTGGAGGGACAGCCGCAAGCCATCTGTTAAAGACGCTCTCAGTCAAAGTTATTCTGACTGAAGATTAAGATATCGTGCATCAGGGTCTTTAAAAACTCTTAAATAGTGAAGATAAGGTTCATTTCTGAAATGCAGTTTGGAATACAGCTCTTGCAGTGCTCCACGTTTGTTGACTGCCAGGCAATCCCTCCAAACGATCCCAAAAAACTTTGTGGTCCCATTTCTTGCTCAGTTTTTTACTTGTTTAGAACCTGATGATTTTAAAAATGTTTTGTTTCACAGGGTGCTATTCAAACTAAAGCAGGGCTGGTTGCAAAACCTCCTATCTATCACTTATCAGGAGAAAAGCTGAGTCGGAAGGGAATATTCCTCATGGACACCGGTCATGTAAGTATAGCAATGGTTTGTATCAAACACAAACAGCAAGTTAGTTTATTTGAAAGCTTCCTCCTCAGGGCTATTGCCTAACAGAAGACTGGATTCTATAGCATCCAAGGAACCGACTTAGAGAGATGTAGCCTGCGAATACAGCCTTCATGTATCCCCGCTCCTCGCCACTTGGTATGTTTCGCGAAGAGAGGAGAGACGGCTGTATTCGCTGGCCAGGAAATAAGAACCCATTAGTTTGATGTAAAACGATGTGTAAACAAACCAACCTCTCAAGACATGGGTTCTTAATTTAGAACCGACATTTCTTAGCTTCATCTATAGGCCTGCTCTAAGGCTATTTATAGATAGCTTTCGCACCGCCACGAAAGCCATACCGGATAGGGTTTCTGTTCTCACGTAACAACGGTGATTTCGGCGCGATTTCTGTAGCGGAGGGAAGCTGTCTCGCGTCGATTTCTAAAGTGGAGAGTCACATATCGGATAGGTGTTCATACTATACTAGGTAGCTTCTCGTATTGGCACGGTAAGATATCCGCTATAGTTTAAACATAACCTAAATTTGCCTCAAGCAACTGAGCTTTGATACTTCTGCTACTTTTGTTTTTAGTTTTGTTCGTGGCGGACGTGGGCCACGTGTAGACTTCCTCGAAGTCCTTCGCTTCTTATTTCCGGTTCCGGTAGTTGGCCCCAGCGCAGCGCGAGCTCCCGCTCTCTCGCTCGCTTTTGCCGCAGAAAGCAAAAAAAAACTTCGCGCTCGTGAAAAAATTTGACCTCGACTTGTAGGCAAGTCCAGGCCACGTGGTGGTGCATTGCATTACCAAAAAGTATTCGACAATGAGTGGATAAAGTACTAAGATGCAATGTTGCATGTTGTTTTTTCAGGCTTTCTATATTTGGGTAGCACGGGACGCTCCTATTGATGTCATTCAAGCGCTGTTCAATGTCCCAAATTTTGGCAGTATTCCAGAAAATTTGGTAGGAAATTTTTCTTCGTATCACTTTTATCTCTGACAGTTCGGTACTGAATAGTCAGGTGCAATCGGTGAACATTCCTTGTAGTTATCAGGTTGAAATAACTTTTATAATCCATGATTGATCGAAAATTGCAGACTCAACAATTTTCAGATTTTCTTACCCACTTTTCACCGAAGTGACTCAAAGAAGGTGATTGCTGAGTTGCAATATTTTGTTCTGTTGCAGGGTTCACTTCCAGTGTTAGAAAATCCCCAGTCAGAAAGAGTAAGGACATTTGTGGATTACTTGCAGTCACAGAGAACGTGTCATGCTAACATATATATTCTAAGGTATGTTAATTATCGCAGAAAAAGTGGGGTTGATTCAGGTTCCCTAGCGAGACGCGAGACGTAGCATAATCCCTCAAGTTACCAACCAGCATTAAAGAATTTTATCATAAAGACATCAGCTAGACTCCTCCGCAGACTCTAACTGAGAGTCTGTATGTAAAACTAATTTTATCTTCCTGGGAGGGTGGTTAAGTTGGAGGTTACATGTAAGTGTGAATTATCCTTTTTAAACGCTATGACGATAACTGACATCCAAGAACTATCATACAGACTGCAGCTACATGCACGCTCTTAAGTGTTATCAAGATTGAAAAGCTAGAGCTTGCGTTGTCCAAGTCATAAAAAGGTCGTCTGCACCTCTTTAAATGTAAACTTAAAGAACGTGTGAGCGGTCCAACAAAAGTCCTGGAGCAAGTCATAAAAAGGTCGTCTGCACCTCTTTAAATGTAAACTTTAAGAACGTGTGAGCGGTCCAACAAAAGTCCTGGAGCAAGAATGAAAACAAGTCTGTTCAGAGGCCAACTGCGTGACGTCTAATATGTAGCTGTCAGCGAAGAGATAACTCCCACTTAAAATTGGTTGTCACAGATGTCACAAATAAATCTACGCCCGCAGGCACGAGCCGCTTAGTAACTTTCATTGTAAGCTTCCTTTTGTTTGGTTAGATATGTTTTAACGTTATTAAACACGAGCCAATTTCTTTGATATCTTACTGTGCTTTTCTCTGCATTTTACAGGGAGGACAGTCGATTTAGAATGTTGTTCCTTCAAAACCTGGTGGATGACAGATCAGAGTCAGTTATGTCTTATTACGAATTTCTTGTCCATCTTCAAAAGCAGATTTCCAAATGAGCTCTCAAATCAAACAGCAGGTCAGGTGATGATTCAGACGATGCAAAAGAAGTAATAAAAGGGATAATTCCGCTCTCAACCAACTCAGGGACAAATGAATGGCGTCTGCAGTACTCTGGAAATGTTCAATGTGGACGTAGATGAAAAAGAAAAACGTACAGAGCTGAGCCTTAGCAAAATTAAAACGATAGAAAGAATATACGGAGCAATGCGCAAGATCGATTTTATTTGTAACTCGCACATAAAGGATAAGGACATTTAAAACAAAAAGATGTTAGGTGTCTAGTTATAGTAGCCATAAGAAACCTGGGCAGAAATACACAATTTGTAGTTGCCTCGCCCACCGTATCCTCGCGCACAGAGCTCCAACCTTTTTCTTAAAAAATTGCATCACGTGGCAAATAATGGAAAAAACTTTGGAGACAATAACGGGTCCACCCTTAGGCCTGTTATCAAGCTATGGGCTTGCGAGAATAGTTCATTGCTATCGGAGATTATAGAAACGTTTATGGTTGGTAAAATCGCTCGACGGGATACGGTTCACTTTGTTTAAAAAAACACTGCCTTCTTCTCTTACTGCTTACATTACGTCTGCGGATGTGAAACACTCGGACTTTTTGGGGATAGTATGACCAATTACGAACAATTTGTTGGTGGATTATGACCATACGGGAAAATTAAAAGTAAACATCGCCTGATGAAATACAAAGTACTATTAATTGGAATAACCACCCATTTTTCAGAGATTTAAGCCTCGGGTTTGAATAATACTATTTATAATGTCTGTCAAATCTTTGTTGAAGTCGTTTCTGCTTGGTTATCTCTGAATCATCCGCAGGTACCCTCAGTTTTGATTGTGACAATTGAAATTACTCATCCGAACAGCGCGCATGCGCGATTGTTCTTTTGTTACAAAAAGCGGATGCTTACTGTTTTTTAATTCTGAGGATTTCTCTTTTTTGTTGTTGTCGTCAAAGGAGTTTAAGACTCAGATCAAGACAGTTTTAACTGAAATATTGAAACTTGTTGTCACGACGTCTTCATCAGGCGAGTGTAACCATTTTGACGGTAGTAAGTACAGGCCTCTGTGGACTTAATTCCTGGGTGAATTTCTTCCTTTCTTTTTCTGTGTCGATTCTGTTCGAACAGTTTTGCTCTGAGTCTGAAATTCCTCTTGGCAATATTTTGTTTGCAGAGTAGGAAAGCAATAGGATTATATTTCTTACTCTGCAAATGAGACATTTTAACTACCGGTATTTAAATTTTCCAGAAGGCAAATTTTGAAGTAAAGTTTAGATTTTAAGGCACGTTTTAATGTACGTAGCCAAAAAAAAAAACAGTTGTCGTCGTGCAAGTTGTTCAATGAGAAGATTTTAATAGGACGATTATTTTTGCGCTTAGCTTTTTTTTGTGAATTCGCACCGTTTCGCCATTGGAATAAGATATTAGTAAGATTTTTATTAATCTTGATTTTCATGGTTAAAAACTGACAGTTGTCATTGAGGTCAATGAGCAGTGCCAGTTAGAAGTTACCCTGCGGGCAGTGGTTTCTGCGTCCGGCCAGGAGAAACCACTGCTCGCAGGGTAGCTTGACGTTATGTCACAAAGACAAGGTTCTTTAGACGGGGGATTAGAACTCACTGTTAACCTTTTAGTTCGAGTTCATAGATTTTCAGCATTTCAGCTAACCAGCCTAGCTGGAATGCAATGGTTTGTCGGCAACCAGTGGAATGGTTGCTTGTGATTACCAACTTCAGAGACATTAAAAAGTATTTATAAGATTTTATTTCGTTGTTTTATTGAGACTAGAGGTTACTAAAAGCCATAGTACAGATCGAATGAGGCCGCACAAATACAGGGGAAGTCTATTCCGTCATCCGGGTGTTTTTTGTTGTTGGGGAAACTATTGTTGGTTAGCTATTGAGTTGTGGCGTGGGCATTATTCAGTGTGTTTCAATGGTTTCATTACGTCATTTGGTGATTGCACCCATCCGCTACACCTGGAAACTATCCGTTATCCCGGCCTGGACTACCACCTCTTAACACGACCAGCGTGCTTCTTTGAGAATCACCGGGAAGTTGTTATCTAAACGCCCTACCCTGCGATCAAAGGTTTCTTTCTGGCCTGGCTTTTAGCATGTGCTGAGTTGTTTGCGTCGCTGTCCGTTTGTTTACGCCCCTGAGAGGAAAAAAATCAAGCCAAATACGTGAATGTCAGCGGCGGGAGTAACCTCGTATAGTAAACATGCTAAAACCCACAGCGGAAAGAAACCTGGCTAGCAGAGGATTGCTATGCTTGGAACTCCAAAGGAAAGATATCCAACAGAATATCGAGAAGAAAGCAATTTGATCAGTTTGGTCATAAATTAGAGACGCTCGGTTAGTGTTCTAAACGCTGTTTTGAGTGCGAGTGAAGCTCTGCTCTGCTCTCTGTGTTGTGGTTATGTCAGTTTAGGGCACCTTTCGCATTTTCGAGAATATGAGGGTTTTCTCATCACCTATCTGTATCAAAAAATCTTAGATTACCGTTAATGACTATTGTAAAAAAAAATGTATATATATATTTTAGGGGTTTTTTATAAACAAGCCTGCACTTTAAGAGCCATTATCTGAGAAAATCGAGAATCGCACGACACTCGTCAAAAACTCGAATTTTTTTTTATTTTGCCAAAACATCCCTTTTAGTGACCTTATTTAAGGAAAAATAGTTTTGGGTTCAAACGATTCATTTTAAAGGAGAAATTAGGAAAAGTTTGAAAAATCGATTTTATGCTCCTTTTTCGCACAAAACACGGCAGGATGCAATGGCAACTTCGAGAGAAGGGTGAACGCGTAAGAAACATTCCCTGACATTGAAACTTCACCGAATTATTATTTTGTTCTTACTCTTGAAAATCCTAAAAGAAAATTTGATAAACAATGCTTTACATTTTTATAATCGACAAGTGTAAAGAGGTCATATTTGTGACGTTAGACGTGCTAGAAAATGAAGGCCAACTTTGACTATTAAAAAAGGCCTCTGGTATATGCCGCTTGATCATAAAATCAATATAAAATGGAACCTTGGCTTTTGTACTAACTTACTGGAAAGTTTTAGCTCTGGAAATCAAATATCATCCTGACACCAAAGCAAGCGGTAAGAGCAATTGAATTGGGAAATTTATGCAAATTAGACGGCTTGCGGACGGTTGTCAAACTAAAAAGAAAGGTTTTAGATGAAAGGTTTACTCACCATTGCTTGTAACACGTTTTTACGGCAAGGAAAGTTATTTTCAACTTCTTTTACGTCGTTTTGAGTCACAAAATAAATAATTTTTAGCCAAAAGACAAACGTACGTTTGCTAAGCAACTGCGTCCGAATCCGGCCGTGAATCGAAAGTCCCAACGCGTCGAAGCAAGAGTTACAAGAGTTTTTACTTCAGTCAGGAGGCAAAAGGAATAAAAACTCATCGCAAACTGTAAATGACTTCGATTTTGAAAACCTTTCATCACTTCAATCGTTTGTCGGCTGATAATAAACATCGCACAAGATCGTATGACCTTTGGCGTGTGACCGGAAATTGGTCACACGCTTCAGTCACGTCAGCATGCTGTCACGAAATTTTCGTAGCTGTTGTCAGCAATTTTAATACAGTTTTCACATTTTTTGACAAGAACTCCCCTCATCGCAGTAGAAACAGCCATGCATATTTATTTTTCTTTTATTTACCTACTAGGCTTGGAAACAGCTTTTTTTTGCCTTCGAAGTACTAAACAGGAGGGTACCTCGGATTCCAAGTGTCGTGAGTGACCCGTGGAAGCGAAAATCAAGACCAAAAAAGAACGAATATTTTGAATACTTAAGTAAAGCCACAGCTAAAAAAAAATTTTTTTTGTTCAAAATACTTTCAAACCAAGAAAAAAACATACTTCGATCATCCCCGTGACTTGGAATCTGGCCAGGGTACCCCCTCCCCCTCCCTTCCTCCCCTATGCCGGGTCAAAATACTAAGTTCCCCCGGCCCAATGTCCCGTAGTCAAGGGAGTATACTCTCTTGCTGTAGTAAAGAACTTGCAGAATAATACCAATTCTCCTTGGCCAACGGATTCAACGCTATAGTTTACTTTGGTTTTTGCTATTTGCTCACGATCAGGAGCCTATAACCCCAACCGCGACCAAAATTAATTATGAAACCTGTTATTACCAGAAAAAAAAAAAACACAAAGAAACAGTCAGTCAGATAGACAGTACATAATAAAAAAGACCTCGATTAAGATTTAAAAAAATCAATACATGACACTGTCGAATACGAAAACCCAGAAACCATTTTGTGGAAAAAAGGTTCGTATACAGCTATCAGCTGCTTTTGTCCACAACTCGCCGGTAGAGGTGCGCGGAAACTAGTGATTGTGAAATGGCTTCAAACTATGATCCTATACTGTTGGAATATTACTTATCACAGAAAGCTACATCTGATTTCTTCTAGCAGACACAATCCTCTTGGTTCGTGTGGACAAAGTAGCTCATCCCGGCTATTTGCACCATGCTACCATAGTCTCCCTAGATTCCCAAGCCTCGCACGCAGACTTTCCTGTCCCACGAACGTTGGGTAGGATTATAGGACGAGCCAAAAGAAAGTGAAGGCTATAGGCTCTCGCGATGATGCAAGGAAGGTCGAGTATTATATTCCCCTATCCTGGTCGCCCAGGGTAAGTCCTCGGAGGAGAGTGACTTAGGGGCTGTATGCTCGAAAAGTTGACTAACGCCCCCGGGACTAACGCTTTCCCCTGGATAAATCTATATCCAATAAGTAACGCAATTGCTTCTTCTTATTCGCTTGATAGTGATTTCCTGTTGTTCAACGTTTGAACAACAGGGCCCTAAGTATTGTGTTTCGCCTTGCACTAAAAACCCGTAAACCTTATAAATTTCACTAAGGGACTTCAGCACCTCCCTTGAATGATCCATTTCGCTAAACGGGACCTCAAAACAACGATTCTGTGCATCCTAAGGGAGTGTATACTATACGTTCCTGGCTCTCGTCACTCACAGTGAGGTGATGGTGGCTCATACTCTAATAGACCTAACACAGTCGAACCTCCTTGTGCGACCGCCAATCCAAAAGACCAAATTTTCCCATTCAAAGCCTTATATTTGGAACCTCCAGTAAACGACCTTCTGTAAGTGACTGCGACCACTTTTTGGGCGTCACGGTTAATTGTTTTCCATAAGCGACCAGTTGACGCATTCTCTGCTCTCTATTTTTGCTGTGTGCACTATGTTCCTTGGAAAATATAAAGACCTTTAGTGACATCGTGGAACTACACATATCCTAAATTAGTAGATGTAGCCAACAAAGTGAAGATTCTTTTGTGATTCTAGACTATTCTATATCTCACTCACCTGAATCTCTCTTTAAATTGAGCATGATTTAAAAGCTGTATTTTTCAAAAGAGGTAAAAGATAATATTTTGCCAGGAATTTGTTACACCGCCATTTAATAGAAAGTGCCCGGACCTCTTCTCGGAATAGACCCCATGTGGTCCGATTCTTCTAAACGGCCACCTCCCGTTAGAGACCATTAAGTCTTTGCATTTTTGGTGGTCGCTTACTGGAGGTACGACTGTATTACTTTGACCTATCAGAGGCTTACCGATAATAAAGGGGATCTGGAAGGGGGCATGGATGCGACAATCACATGCCAGGTCGCTTACTTAAAATAGTGGACATCTAACTGACAATCAAAGTTTGTGCTTATTATTGGGGTTATCTGGTGTTTACTCACCTCCCAAGCTACCCTGGGCGAGCCAACTTTTCATCCATTTCCTTACAAAACTTGGTAAACCATTTACATGAGAAACAAAAGGTTGGTTCGGATAGACGCCTTACTACCAGTAGTGGGCGGGGTTGAGGGCTTCCGGAAGTCAGCCCTCCACTGAGCCGGTAGTGGGGCCTCACCCTTCTAGCCCGGCTAATATTTCTTCACTTTGGCTCGCCCAGCTAGCTGGGACGACACGGTCAAGGCTAGACAAAGACAGCATGCGCCAGCACTGTTGACTCGGACAAAGTGGTCAGTTTTTTCCTTATACAAACGCTCGCAAAAGTTGGCTCGGCTGGAAGGTTGACCTTCTCTCCGGCACAGCTTTTCTCCATCCATGGGTTCCAAACAGTCTTTTAGCAGTCACGTTTGAAATTTATAGGAAAATGATGTAGCACTTCAAAAAATAATAATAAAAAAAATACCCTTTTTTCACAGCCTGTCAATGCCTAGAAGGTATCTATAAAAGAAATCAACTGCAGAACAGGAGTCAATTTCAGTTTTTTGCGCTTTTCATGCTAGCACTGCGAAGCGGACTGGGGGTGCGAGACACGCGCGATGCATGGGGATCAAGTTCTGCAGGCTATAAAAGAAATTAAAAAACAAACAAACAAATAAAGCAGGCCTGATTTTATTTCGATGAGTCTATTTTTTGTCGAAAGCAAACGTGAAAAATCGTATTAAAATTCGTGACAGTATGCTAACGTCATATAAGCGTGTGACCGATTTCCGGTCACACGCCAAAGGTCATACGATCTTGTGCGATGTTTATTATCAGCCGACGAACGATTGAAGTGATGAAAGGTTTTCGAAATCGAAGTCATTAGTTTGCGATGAATTTTCAATCTTTTGGCCTCCTGACTGAAGTAAAAACTCTTGCAACTCTTGCTTCCAAAGGACCGCAGTGACGTGTTGTGACTTTATTTCGATTCACGGCCGGATTCTGGTGCAGTCGCTGAGCAAACGTATGTTTGTCTTTTGGACCTTTTGGCTTAAAATTATGGATTTTGTGACTCAAATCGACGCAACAGAAGTTGGAAATAACTTTCCTTGCCGTAAAAACGTGTTACAAGCAATGGTGAGTAATCCTTTCATCTAAAACCTTTCTTTTAGTTTGACAACCGTCCGCAAGCCGTCTAATTTGCATAAATTCCCCAATTCAATTGCTCTCACCGCTTGCTTTGATGTCAGGATGGTATTTGATTTCCAGAGCTAAAACTTTCCAGTAAGTTAGTACAAAAGCCAAGGTTCCATTTTATATTGATTTTATGATCAAGCGGCATATACCAGAGGCCTTTTTTAATAGTCAAAGTTGGCCTTCGTTTTCTAGCATGTCTAACGTCACAAATATGACCTCTTTAGACTTGTCGATTACAAAAATATAAGACATTGTTTTTCAAATTTTCTTTTAAGGTTTTCAAGAGTAAGAACAAAATAATAATTCGGTGAAGTTTCAATGTCAGGGAATGTTTCTTACGCGTTCACCCTTCTCTCGAAGTTGCCATTGCATCCTGCCGTGTTTTGTTCGAAAAACAGGAATAAAATCGATTTTTCAAACTTTTTTTAATTTCTCCTTTAAAATGAATCGTTTGAACCCAAAACTATTTTTCCTTAAATAAGGTCACTAAAAGGGATGTTTTGGCAAAATATTAAAAAATTCCATTTTTTGACGAGTGTCTTGCGATTCTCGATTTTCTCAGAAAATGGCTCTTAATGTATTAAGGGGAAATGTTAAAAATGGCAAATACATCTTCGGAAGATCTTAGATAAATATTAACACCCCCAAAATCTGACGTGAATGGAGAAGTCATCTAAAACTTTTAGCCTCTCTCGAGTCAGTAACAGATTTTTAGGTAATATTTGCTTCTTTGAATTTTGTACAAAACAGTCATTTTGCTTTCAGTGCCATTGGATAGTATAAGATGTCAGAAACGTTTAACTCTGTGAGTTTATGGAAGAACAGTTGCTTTCTGGATGGGTTAGGAATACTTTCATGTGACTACCATATTGCTATGCAGTTTCATCGCGTTGGTTTTCCGTCAACTAAGAGCGCTTTCCTAAAGTCAGAACTGTCCGGACTAGCCAACGTGTAGCCGCACCCTCCCCGCTCCGTTTTTCCTTTGTCGGGGGGAGCGTGCGGTTACACATAGGTTATGGCCGGACCAGTCATTTCGACGATGAAGTAGGCTTTCCGCAAGAGCTTTTGCTGAAAAACCAACTACTCTGCGCAGACTTGTTAGGATTTGACCGATCTGACTGCATAGTTTTGATGAAAAATGAAATTCTCATTACGACGGGAGTGGTCTGGCAGATAAAAAACGCCCTTAGATCGAGTTATCCCTAGCCTCACTTCCACTCAAAGGCTAACTTTTGGGCTAAGGTGTAGCCTTCACCGTAGCAAGAGTTTCCACGCTTCCGTTTCTCGATTGGAAACGCTTGCTACGCAGGCTAAGGTGCTTTTCACACAACTGTAAATTGGCCTTTTGAAATGTAGGTAGGCAAGAACCAAACCACAGTATCGTCTACTGTATACTTGAGAGTGCCTCATAATATTTGATAACGTCAATAATAAAACATACTACGGGCTAGAGCTCGATAGAGCTACTTCATATCAATTGAAGAAAAGATGGCGAAAAGTCGAAGATCGAAAGATTTATGAACTGTTTTCATACTTACTCAATAATTTAATCGTCAGTTTTTTCTTAAAAGAGGAAAGGGATTGAGAGTTGATGACCTCGTTGTCAAGTGAACTAAAAAACTTAGGCCCTTGAAAAAAGGGCGAGAACTTCTTAGGACCTGTTTACATGGAGTGGGGGACCCTGGTCTAGTGGGGTAAGTTTCTTTTGTTTTGTGTCCTCCAGAGCGTGAAAACAAAAGAAACTTACCCCACTAGACCGGGGTCCCCCACTCCATGTAAACAGGGTCTTAGTGTTTGTACCACAATACGGTAGACGGTAGGCCTGGGAATTTCTTGTATTGTAAGAGTGGAATTGATTGCTTTGAGAGAAATTGTTCTTAAACCTTGGAGGTAACAATGAATTTTTGCAAGAATACATAGTTTGCTAGTTGAATAACTTCATAATAATATGACACGAGACTTCTCTGACTTTTTTCACTTTATTTGCTACAAATAATATATCACAGTTATTTATATTCCCGTGCTTTCTTTAAGAAAACTAGATTCAAACTTCCAACAAATCTCGACCTTGATAGGATCTAGTTTGAGCAGCCTTGCCACAGGCCTCCCACTCTTTTTTGCACTTCACCATCATACAGTCATGAGCAGGCTTCAAATCGACGTTAAAATCTTTGTAACTGGCCTGGAAAGTTGACAAAGAGATAGTTGCTTAGGGGACTATACTTAACACAATTGTTCCTCTCTACCTCTCAAATACATCTGTGGTGTCAATTAACACTTTAAGCCCCAGTATCCACATACAGACTAATCTGTATCATTTGTTCAAGATTTGGTAAAAGATAAAATCATTTCCCCTTCAGCCATCATTTCATCAATTCTCATAACTTTTTCTCTTGATCATTAGAGAGATTCCGCAAACGGCAAACGTCAGATTCATGCTGAGAATTTCTCAAAATAGAAAATGAGCAGATAAAAAGAGCTAAAAAAATTCTTATGGATAAAAAATTGCATGAAACTACTAATTTATGTGTAGAAATGATGAACAGTAAATGACAAAGCAGACGGAAACTTGATCATGTGGTACAAATTCACATTTGCCGTTTGACGTAAACGTGATGCTTAACCTCTCTATTACTACTGTAAGCAGAAAAAAGATCATTTTTACACGGATGTCACGGCAGCCATATTTGTGTACAAAACAATGAATCGGCAGCCATGTTTGTCCACCAAAAAAATCCTGTGGGAATTGTACTCTTTTCACATGTTAAAACTTACTTTCATTCCAAGCAATTTGCCAAGCTACTGACCACGTGACTGAAAACGATCTATTGAGGTTGTTCATAATTAGGACTAATAGAGTTAAGGGAGTTGTTTTTATGTTTTTTTTTATATATATATATAAATTGACAGATTACTAAGTCTTGTTCTATAACATGATGCACGTCTTTGCTAGAAGGACAATGTGATATCCTGCGAATTTTTCTCAAAATTTTGTTAATTTGGAAAAAGAAAGTATAAAGAGTGATGCTGATGCACGTCTTTACTGGAAGGACATAATGTGATATTCTCCAAATTTTCTTAATTTTAATAAAGAAAGTATAAAGGGATACAAAAATTATTATGGCAATTTACCTTTAGGTCACATACATCAGTGGCTTCACAATCAAACTGGATATTCTGTTTTTAAAGATAAACAAAATAATCTTAACAGTAGCATTAATGAACCACAAGGGAAACCGACACACTGAATAATTTAACTGCAAGTTCATTTCCAAGTTTTTGTTGACCACAAGCCATGAATTTTTTGTTATTCACTTTAAATCCACTTCTTATTATAATTACATATATTTTTACAGATATAAATATATACACAAATTTGTCAGAGCACTAACACTGACCATTATCATCATTATATTTAATTTACCATCACCATCATTATTATTTTTATTTTTCATATACACATGCGACCCAATTATTATAAAATTGAATAGAAAATAACAAGAACCTCATTGCATCCTTCTCCCTTGATCCAACTGGCAGTTGCCCACTTGCAAATACACCAGGTGGGCTTATCTGGTGGACATAGTGGTTTGCCATCATTTTGATCACCATAATCACCTACATGTACATAACATAAAAATGTAAAAGTGGTAACAAATCAAAGGAAACCAAATCACTTGTTTAAGGCACCAACATTATGAATGTTTAAATAACTTTGAGTACAGAGAAATGTTAATTGAAAGACTTGCTGATGTATAGTATTTATTGTATAAGAAAACAAACAAATGTATTGCTTTGGTTATATAATCCAACTGTGGACTGTAAGATTCAGAGAGGCCAGATGCCATCCCATGAGCAGCTCTCCAAGATCTGCTACTCTTATTAGTCTTGCTTGTGTAAGCAGCAAGACTCAATCATTATATGCAAGCGGTATTTTTTCTTTGTATTTAGTACACAAAATGACTGTTGTGGTCCCAGGCATTCCAAATGGAGACCATGGAAACTGGGAATAAGTATTGTTGCGTGACCGAAGCCACGCATGTTTTGGGAAGAAAGCTTAGGTTTAGAGCTTTTCCGGAATGGGTCTGTCGATGAATTCTATCGCTTGAACGCGTTGATTACTTTGGAACAAGTGAACACTTTGGTGGTCGAAAAAAAAAGAAGAATCTTAATTAGCAAAAGACTAACTGGTCGCATGTTGTAAACTTTCATTGTATGCAAATGAGTCTTGTGATGAGCATGCAGTTTATTTTCAGCGATGATTGAAATGACGTGCCATGTAACTCACTTTTTTGATCTATGGCAAATGATGTAATTTCTCTAGAATCGACGCCCTTGAATTTTCGTATACATTTATCCTCATTTCTTGATCTAATCTCCAAGCAAGCGAGAGTTTAACCCCGCTGGAAGGGCGTTCTTGTTTAAGAGTGATCATACAGTGTATTGTTGTTTAATCCAAGAACAAAGATTTAAGACAGTCCAAAGTCCCCTAATTTTCTGTAAGACTGCCAAGATCAGGCAGTTTGCCTACTGGTAGCCATCTTGGTTTCATATGTACCAAGGGGTTGGGCGCCAGGGTTTATAATGGAAGGGTATCGCCTCCTCCCAAGCCGTCCCCTGCCTCCTAAGGACATTTGACACTCCTTCCCAGGCTAGACTTAGGACATATGAATCCAAGATGGTCACCCCAATGCAAAGTGCTGGATCTTGACAAGGATTACTTTTAGAAAATCTTAATCTCAAATTTAAGTTACCGGTAACTGATTGGTTTGAACCAATAATTATTTACTGTAACAAATATCATTACTCTAGTGTCTTGATCTATACTGTTAAGTCTCTGAGAAGTCATATGTGTAGACCATACCGTGGGTTTTTTTGGTTTAGCTCAAGCTATATTATACTCACTAATTGATCCACACCATGAACTTTGTCCTGTGAATTTCCAAAATGAAGTATCTGTAACTCCTATGCGGGCACAGACTCTGTGTGTGGGGTCATGATTGCAACGCCTAGTATTCAAAGCAATTTTGTAATAAGCATGCAAACCATATCAGGACAAAGCCAAAGCCATCATGATAGGATATTAGGCAGGCTTAGGTCTGGCAAGTTTGAAATATTAAATTTGAAATTCCTTTATTGCATAAAATGACTCATATCATTTTCATTATTTTTGTATCCACTGCTAACAATATGCCCCCACTAATTACCATAATAGGCAGAAAAAATAATAATAATAATAATGGGGAGAGGTCACAACAAGGTGATTATTTCACTTGAAAATACATATAATTTATTACTGGTAAGTTTTACTCCCTCTGCATGTACTTCGTTTCCATTTTATAATAATTAGGTCTCGCTCTAATTCAAGCTAAGGAGAATTTGACAACAACAGCGACGACATAATAACAATAATAATAATAACTGACCTGTCACCCCTAGTGTCACCTGGACAAGGCTTCAATGACCACACATAGTCAGAGAGTGGAGCCATGAACACCAATAACCAATAGCACCGCAACATATCTGACTGTCATAAATGCATGCATCATCAGGACTAAATAATTTTTAACAATGTATATTTTAGGATAGAAAAAAAAACTATGTAAATTTCATTTTAAGGAAGTGAAATTTTAATACCTTTCCATATAAATATACATGCTCTGATAACAAAAATGTGTCACAGGGGAAGGGTGCTCTGAATATTTTTATTAGTTGATGTGTTTTAATAAGAGCAGACTTGCTATTATCAGCGTGCAAAGAAAGTGGAGTCCGATAGCCCGGGACTAGTGGACTTTGCTATCGGGCTAGTGAATTCTGTTCTTAACTTGCCCGACGGGCAAGTAATGATTTTTGAGGAATTCAAACTGAGGAAGAACTGTGAAATCAATTCTGCTCGTCAGAAAGCTTTTGGGGCTAGTTGAAATGACGTTTGCACTAGTAAATGCTTTCTTCAGCTTGCCCGAATGGCAAGCTGTAAAAATGATTTTCTTTGCCCCCTGTATTATGATCAGCTCTCTTCAATAAACTCATTTGTCATAGTCCATTATGAATCATAAAATTCTGGAATACAAGAAACGAAAAAAACTATTTCAATCATAATTGTTTTTTCCTCATTCTACTCAAGTGTTATTTTTTACACAGGCCACCCAACAAACTGTGTCACTCATGTGGGAATATTAAAAAATGGATTTAATTGAAATATTGTGTGCATTGTTATTCTTATAGCTCAAAATGGCAAATCAACGTAGTAATTTGAGGTTGTTGCATTATTCTGATGTCTACCTTCAGGAGTGTCTATCAGAGAAAGTTTATTGTTTAATTAAATGGTCATACTAGTCTCTGTAAGTCCACAGTAAGAAAATTCATCAGCCAGCCATAACTGCTGCACACCACAACATATCAGGGAATTAAATTAAAGATACCGGAAGATACCGTAAAATTCCGAAAATAAGCCCCGGGCTTATATTTTTCAACGGCCCTTTTTGAGGGGCTTATTTTTGGAGGGGCTTATCTACTGAGGGAAGTTTGCATTTCAAAATCGATTGGGCTAGCCTTATAGTTGGAAGTAAATTTACTGTTTTTGCTATGTTTTACTTTGTATTTGAGGGCAATTTTCCAAGTACAAGCCCCCGGGGGGCTTATATTTAGAGGGGTGATTTAACGGAGGGTTTTTTGGGTTACCGGTTTGAGGGGCTTATATTTGGAGGGGCTTATACATGGAGGGGCTTATTTTTGGAATTTTACGGTAGGTTAAGTGTTGAAAACCTTTTATTACTCCAGCTAAAGCAAAGCAATCTGCACTTCAGAACCAAGTTCACTGCTACCATTAAACTTTAAATGATTGTGTAGTTAGATCAATAAACTGTATAACTACAGCTTCACTATATATATATGTCCAAGTGGGACCATCATTTGCACTGAAAGACACAGAGATTGAGAGAACACATGAGGGGCAAGCATTGACACCATTTTACATGCTTTTCCATGTAAACAATTTCCAGTTCGCTGCTTTTTGGTTCAGGACATTAGTTCTCCACTTATCTGTGAGGAATTCCAAACGATTAAGAAAACGGTATTAATTTTGGAATTAAGAACTCTAATGAAGGGAGAATATTATTTTGTTCTGTATACAAGGGTATAGATATTGTTTGCCTGCAATAAAAGACGATTCACAAAAATCTCGTCCTCACATCCAACAATACCAAACAGTATATCTTTGTCTGAAAGATTTTCAATCTTGACCTTATGATCAACGAGCTATTTTGTAACCTCAGACCAGAAATTCTTAGTATAATGACAAGACACGAAAAGATGTTCGCGGGATTCATACGATTCACCACATAAGGAGCACGCTGGAGATGATATAATACCACTTTTGCATAAGAGGGTATTTGTCACAAGGCATCTGTTTAGTAATTTATATTGAAATTCGCGAGTCTTTGTATCCACGGCAACACGATATGGCAAGCTATAATTTTTTTCCAATTCAAAGTGTCATTAACAAAATGAGTATTAAACTTTAGTTTAGCAGTTGGTGGAGTGACGATTCTGTTTCGAAGTTCTTCATAAACAATTTTCGAATACCCTTTTTCAAGTAAAACAACTTGACCACTTAAGCTTAACTTAATCTCACCATGCAAATTGAATGATGTGTCACCTGTCGAGATGCAGGTTTTCAACCATTCACGCCATTGAGTTGGTAGAGCCTCTATTTTAAAGATACAAGCTTAAGCCTAAAGGCTTCCAAGGGCAAAAGGTGCAAGACTCTCAACTCACTTTTGATTATAAGTTCATTTTTATTTGAGATTAAATCACCCACTCAAAGGATCCCTAATTTCTAAGCGAGATTTCGAAAATACACAGACTTGTCACCGATACAAATAAATTTGTTGTTCCATAAGATAACTTTTGACAAGTCTTTTTCATTTAAATCCTGTATATTTAAAATATTTACAGCAGAGCACTTTACAAAAAATTTTAAGCATTCTTCATGAAAGGCTGGTAATTTGATTGACAATTTCTTCAAATCAAAGTCAGAATAGGATTGTTTTCCATCCACTCTGTTGATCATTTGCCAATTTCTTGCAGCAAAGTACTCTTTGTCTTTCAATTATGGAATTGTAATGTGGGGCTTTAACTCCTCCATCTTCGATATCACTAGTATTAAAGTGCAGAGCGTTTAACGTTATCCTTTCCTTTCCAGATAAAATCAAAGATGGATGGAATCCAAACCCTTAATTCCCTGTCGGCACTCTCTGAAAAATGAGATCAGCGGGGTTGATTTTTCCTCAGCACCTTATCAGTTCACATTTTGTCAGCTTCTCTGGAGAAAACATCCATTCCTCCCTATTCAAAAACCTGCCATCCTTACGGTGGCTGCGGATAAAGAACGAAATGTCCCCACAGAGGTTTTGACTGGGCTGGTTTGAACATGAATAATGCAGTAAGTTTACATAATTTTGAACGATAAAATTTGTAAATGTGATCAATAGGACAACATAATGGTTTTTAAACGATCATTAAACGAGATCGCTTTCTTGTTCAAATAAGCTTTTGGATTCTTGTCACGTGTATTGGCTAGAGTTTAAAAAGCTTAACAAAAAAATTCTCATGTAAACGTCAACGACGGACTGTTCAAGAGTGAAAGCCCCGCAATATATAGCCGCCAGCAATGCCACGAAATCGGTCACGAAATAAACGAAGACAGGTTTTACCTTACGGACGGATATTTTCCATTTTTAAATTCCCTACAGTTTTTTCAACTCCGTTAATCAACAAATGCAGATCATCGGTCAATACTTTAAAAAGCTAACGGAATAGTAGTTTTCTCAATGGAGTTACGTAACACTTACGAACTATTTGTGGTTTGTGAAGCTTTAGACCCCGGTGGAAAGCAAGGATATGTAAAATATTACAAAGAACGCTAAGCGATAGCAGGCAAATCTCATTACCTTGATCGATAACTTAAGCCCAAGTTGAGGAGCAAGTCTGCAAACACTCTGAGTTACGTGGAGGAGCCAGTCAGCATTCGATTCAACCTCGTTCCCAGGGGAAGAAAGACCTGGGAACGAGGTTTGTACTTGGCTGGGTAGTTAAGCTGGGCAGCTGTCCAATCAGAAGCATGAAAAAGTTTTCTGCCCAAATATGGAATAGAAGAATTGAAGGCATCCCTGACTATACGCAGTGACCAAACTCTGTACATGTGTACGTGAATAAAGAAGCCCTTCCAGTATCGACATCCCGACGGATTACCAACACCAGGAGCCGAAGTAATCGGCTCCTTCCAAGACTCGTATTGTAGCCTGGTAGCGGTGAGATATAACAAGGAAGACACCTTGGAGTTTTGTTTACAGTAAATAAATTAGGTACTTTGATTAACTTCATACATCTGAACTTTTAGCTTAAAACATGTTAAATAAAATATTTTATATCAGTCAGTTAATCACTTCTAAGGCAAATAGTGCAACAGTTTTTAACGGCTGCCCTCCTCAGCAGCAATAGCAACCTCGGCTCATTTTTCTTGTAGACGCGGATTTTTTAAAATTAACATTTTCTTTCAGATAGAAGGCAGCAGGGAGGGCATGGGTCTTGCATTCCCTACACAGAAGTTGGCCTTAAAAAAAAGATAATACTAATAAAATGAACTTGAATATAAGACAGAAATTAATATGGTTCAGAAGTTCCAACCACGCTTCTAGGTGAAGGAGCTCTAAAAGTGTAACAATCAACAGCAACAACGACAAGATCGAACAAGAAATTTGATTGAATTCATAATCCACTCAGTGTTGATTGACAATTGCAAATAACCAGTTCCCACTCAAAAAGCTAAGGAACTAATCGGGGTGAGAGAAAGAAAGACATATTTTCATTTCATATTTGAGAAGAATGACTAGACAACAATGGTGACATATAACATACAATAGAATATACAAATCAGGGTAGGTAGGACGAGAGACTAAGATGAAAACTAGAGAATTAATTAACTTAACTTCATTAGTGTAGAAAATAACTTTATAAGACGGGGGAGTTTAAACATATCTGTCTCAATTCTGTCACTGAACGAAATCCAGAGATGAATCTATTATTATTCGTTTCCCGAAAATGCGATCGCTTGATCATTGCCTCATTGTTTCTCAGTTCACGGTCTGCAGGTCGATCCTTTTCTCTTTGAAAACGCCGAGATTTTTTCTTCCGCTCCGGCCTACTGCACACACGTATCCGCTGACGATCACCGAAAACGTATCTTTTTAAAAACGATCTCTAGAGTGGGGATTTTTGAAAACGCCGTATGCGTGCTGTACGCGTGTGGATGGATGAAGCTAGTCTATATGTCGCGCTCCCATAAGATGGTACCGTCACCGTTACCGCTTTCAGTCACCATTCGCCACTTGCACATCTCCCATAATACACTTTGTCAGTGCCCCCGAAAGTTTTGCACAATTCTAGATTTGTAGTTGCAATTGTCCTGTGAGGAATTGAAGGCAATGCTCCTGCAAAATTTTGGGGGGTAAACTTGGTGTATTCATGTTAATAGATGTGCAAATGGCCAATTGTGTTTTCGTGTTGACGGGGAAAACGATTAAAAATTGAAACGTGTGGACGCGGAGTTTTTTAAAAGGGAGAAAAAATTCTCCATTTTCAAAAAAAAAAAAAAAAACGAAGATGTGTGGGCCACTTAAAGAACCTTAAAGGTCTTAAAGGGGTATCAACATACCTTTGTCGTCATCGTTTGGTAGATTGTCGTTTATCTGACGTCCAAGTTCATGTTCGCCTTTTCCTTTTGTCTGAAAAATAATGCCAACTACTAGTTAATTCTTTTTATTTTGTTCTGTTTTGTTTTGGAAAGACACAGCGCAAATGCAAAAATTGCTTAAGGGAGTCAATGGACACGTGTCCTTTGCTTCGGCGTTTTTACAAAGTTCGACTTCACATTCTTTACTTTAAGAAAGTTTTTACTCTGCCAAAGCTGTGAATTTTGATTCAATGATTACTGTCGTGTCTAGCCCATAACTGAGCATTTTGTGCTAATGCTTGATGCTTGTACTTGCATTGGGTCCCTAGTGAGGACCGGGCTTTTAGAAGCCTTGTAGAAAACCGTTATCAGGCGAGGAAAAAAATACACTTGCATAACAGCATATTTTTTTGTAAGAGTAGCGCAACAAATCCATCGATAGCTAAAATTAGGAGCTGCCCGGTTACATTTATCCAATTAAAATTAAGATAGTGACAAATTCATAAAGGTTAACCCTGGATTTCGAATCGAGGAAACCGGTTTCCTGCGTTATTCATTCAGATCAGTTTGCCTTTAAGAAGGATTGTGGAACTGAGCTGAGACTGCCCTATAATCGGGACTTTTGGATGTTATGGCTTGACGGCCATTCCAATATTGTTAGAGTTCTGTCGTTCGACTTCTCGAAAGCCTTTGACTCAGTTACCCATAGAATATTAACTGATAATGTTTTTACGTTTAATCTGCCACCTTTCTTTCACATGCCTTAAAAAAAACAGTTGATTTCACATTTTCGATATCGTAACCAGAAAAAGATGAAAAAGAAACAATCAAGTGTTGAATGAAACCCCAGGTTGATATAAAATTAGATTTGTTACAAAAGAGACAAAAAATAAATAAGAATCAGAAAAAAAAAAACGAAAGCAAGACGTATATGGGTCAAAGCCGAATTTGAGCTCTGGAAGGTAGTATTTTAAGATAAGGAGCCTTTTTAGTCGTTTTGATATAAGCAAGAGATGGATGGATAGAGTCAGTCATGTCACCGCTAAGCGTCAAAAAAAAGAAAAAACTTTGGGCCTTGAAGGAGAGCGAAAACTGTGATAATAGTTCTACAGTATGGTACTCGGAAAGAAAGTGCAGACTCCAAAACCGTAAGCGGGCCCGCCTCACTCGCGCCATACCTCTTTGAGAGACTCTTTGAGCCTCTGCGGGGGAGAGAGAGTGTATGTTTGGTATAATATCTATGTGCTCAAGCTCTATCCCTGTTTATGTGTGATTCCAACAGACATCATGATGCCATTAATTGCACCACCCTACTGGGGACCGGGTGTTCACCCTAATTACACAAAAACGTTATTAAGGAGACTGGTCGATTTAAGGAATCCTCAGAAGTTACAAAACAATTGCCCTAGCTTGCTGTGAATCGGCAGATAAATCACCCAATGAAGTGTACACTGATGGACAAATGAAAACCAACTTGTGATGAGTTAAATATCTTTTATTCCAGCTTAAATGTACAACCACTACTACAAGTCACAAGTCACAATACTACTTTGATGTACTACATGCAAAAGAGAATCAGCTCTAATATAACTTATATTTTACTACAGGCATCTGTACTGTGGTTTATAAAATGAATATATATACATTTTGAAATTATTAAACTTCCATTTGGCATGTCTACGAGATATAGAAAAGGCGGGATTCCAAAATATATTGTTAAACAGCTCTTTATCACGTCTAAGATCAATCGTGCAACGATGTTGCTATCGTCAGCAGCAACCGATATCTTTGCACATTTTTCTTGTAGCCGCGGATTTTTTATAATTTACATTTTCTTTAAGATAGAAGGCTGCAGGAAGGGCCTGGGTCTTGCATTCCCTACAAAGAAGCTGGCCTATAAAAAAATTAGATAAAAAAACAAAACGAACTAAAATGAGACAGAAATTAAAATGGTTTAGAAGTTCCCACCAAGCTCCTAGGCGAAGAGGCTCTAAAAGTGTCAGCAACAACGCAAGAAATTTTATTCATACTCCACTGTTGACTGATAGTTATAAATCATCAGCTACCAGCCGAAAACACGTGAGAAGCATTCGGGGCTGTGCATAGTGGGTTTCTTACTTAAGGTCAGTTTCTCTGAGTTTCTCTTCTCAATAGTGTGCTCAGTCTGTTTCGTACACTTCTTTACGCACCCCACCCACCTCCCCACAGTAATGAACTAACTCTCTACCAAAGAAGCAGCTTCCCCTCTCCTACCGCCTCGGGTTACGTCTTCCATAGGTATTGTTTGGGATGGCCCCAGTGTTGAGAATATATCACAATTTTCATTTCATGGTTTGAGAAGAATGGACTAGACAACAATTATCAGGGGCGGATCTAGGGGGAGGGTGCAGGGGATGCGCACCCCCCCTCCCCTGAGATGACCTGCGGTTTTCTAATACAACTGGTATTCTGCAAAAAAAAAAAAAACTATGTGGTTTATTGGTGTTGAAGTAGAGCAAGCGACGAGTGCACCCCCTCCTAAAAAAAATCCTGGATCCGCCCCTGATTATGGCATTTACAACACAATGTAAATGTCCAAAACAATAAAAGTAACATACAATGTAATGAATAAATGACGGTAGATTAATAAGAGATACAAAGATGATAGACATTGAATTAGGAAACAAACTTATAGGACGGGGGACTGCAAGAATGCAAGAAATCCAGAAGTTTATTTATGCTTATTCTTTTCCTGGGATCGCTTGATGATCGGCTCATCATGTTGAGTTGTGTCAGAGACTAAAATTTAAAAAGGTATTAGCTTTTACCTTTGTCATCATCTTTTAATATATTGACATTTATCTCACGTCCAAGTTCGTCTTCGCCTGGCACAATTTTCTGAAAAATAACAAAGATTACTTGTAATTTTTTTTTTGTTTTGGTTTGTTTTCTTTGGAAACTCTAAGCACAATGGATTGTGCACTTAGATTTGAACGGCACTAAAGCTACGTGCAAACGGACGCAGTTGTTGGCCAACAACTCCAGTGTTGTTGGATGTTACATGTTGTGTCCGTTTGCACATCGTGTTGCATGTTGTGACTGTTGTTGCGTGTTGTTGGGAGTTGTTGCGCAAAATTCGAGGGTCAAACTTTTCGCCCAGTGCAAACGGACGCAACATTGTAGGTTTGCACGCAGCTTAACTACAGTAGAATAAACAAGAGTTAGTGTTAGTGTTAGTAATGTACAATAAAAATAACGCTGTGGCTATATGGCCGGTAACCGGTCAAAGTTTGCAAAACACTAAATG